TAAAATTTTATTAATTAATAATTAATAATATATTAAATTTAATTATTATTATTATTTATTTTTATATAAAATAAAAGGTTTTTAATAAATTTATAAAAGCTTTATAAATAAAAATATATAAAAAATTAATAAAATATATTTCTTTATTTTATATATTTTTATAATTTAATATATTATTTATAATATTAAAAAATTATTAATTTATAATTATTTAATAAATAAATTATTTTAAATAATTATTTATTTTCTTTATAATTAAATTTAATTAATATTATATAATAAAAGTTATTATAATTATTAATATTTTTATTTTTTTATTAATTTTTAATTTATTTTATTTATTAAAATTAATTTATAATTATAAAATTATTAAAACTTTAAATACTTTAAAATTATATTAATAAATTATTATAATTATTAATTTATATTTAATATTTTATAAATTATTTTTAAAAATATAAAATATTTTATTATATATTTATTAATAATATAATTATTTTTAATATATTTAAAAATATTATAAATATTTATTTATTATTTTAATTTTATTTTTAATAAAAATATATTAATTTTATTTAAAATTATTTTTAATTATTTATTAATTAATTATTTAATTTTATATTAATTTATTTAATTTATTTATTATAAATATATTAAAAGTTTTAAAACTTTAAATTCTTTTAAATATTTAAATTTTAAAATATATTTAAATATTATAAAATTTTATATATAATAATTCTATTATATATAAATCTTTAAAGTCTTTTAAAAGTATAAAATTATTCTTTTATTATTAAATAAATAATTAATTATATTAAATAAATAATAAAAATAAATATTTAATTTATATTAATTTTATTAAATTTAATTTAACTTATAAAAAATTACTTTTTAATATTTTTAAATTTATATATATATAAAGTTTTACTTTTATTATATAATATTATATAAACTTTTATTTTTAAATTAATAATACTTTTAATATAATTTAATATTATAGTTTTTATTTAAAAATAATATAATATTTACTTTTAAATAAAATATACCTTTATAATTATTAAATTTATTATATTTTTTATTATTTATTAAAATTAAAATTTAATTATAATTTTTAAAATTTAAAGTAATTTATTTTATTTAATTTATTAAATATTTATATATTATATTTTACTTTTAAATTACTTAATTATTATCTTTATAAATTATAATATTATATAATATTATTAAATAAATAATATTAAATATAATTTTAATAAATTAATTTAATTATTATTTTATTAATATTAATATTAATTTAAATAAATATAAACTTTAAATTTATTATTTAATAAACTATTTTAATTTTATATTTAATATTTATTTTAATTAAAATATTTAATAATATTATTATTAAAAATACTTTAAAAGTTTATTTTAATTTTATTTAAAATAATTATATATTATATATTATTTATTATTAAAATATAAATAAATAATTTTTATTAATATTTTATTAAAGTTTATAAATATATTTTTTTATAATTAAATTATTAATAATTTAATTATTAATAATTTAATTATAAAATTAATATTTATTTATTTAATAATTATATTTATTTATTTAATTTTATTAATTATTTATTTAATATTAATTTTTAAATAACTTTTTATAATAAATACCTTTTAAATTAGTATTAAAAGACCTTATAATATAATTTCCTTCTTTAATTTTAATACTTTTAATATAAGCTCCTTCTAATATATTTTTAGTATATTTTAACTTTTAGTACTCTTTTACTTTTACTTTTACCTTTACTTTTATTTTACTTTTTTTACTATTTAATTTATATATATTTAAATATTAATTAAGTATTTAAATATTAATTAATATTAAAAGTTAAAAGTTAAAATAAAAATAAAGATTATATTCTTTTAATCTTTAATACCTTTTTAACTCTTTAATACTCTAAACTTTTAACCTTTAATATTTAATTAATATTTAAATACTTAATTAATACTTAAATAGTTTAGAAAAAAGTATAAATTATTAAATATATTAAAATATATTAAAGGGTTTATATTAAAAGTTTTAAAAATTTAAAAATTTTAATTAAATATATTATTTTATATAAGCCTTATATATATAAATCTTTATATTAAATAAATAGTTAATAAAAATTAAATAAATAAATATAATTATTAAGTAAGTAGATATTAGTTTTTAATTATATTTATAATAATTAATTATAAATTAATTATTATTAAAAATAATAAAAATATTATTTTAATTTTAAACTTTAAATATATATTTTATTTAATTAATTAATTATTATATAATTATAATAATAAAATTAAAAATATTTATATATTCTTTAATATTTAATTTAAAAATAATTAATATTTATAATAATAAATATTATTTTAATTATAATTATATAATAATAATCTTTAATAATATTTATATAAAAGAAGAAATATAAAATTAAAATATATATAAAGTATTATTATTAATATAAAGTATAATATAAAGATAATTAAAATTATTTAAAAATCTTTAATTAATTTAAACTTTTAAAATTTATATATATTATTATTATAAACTTTATAATTACTTTATTATTAATATTTTTAATAAATACTTTATAAAGTTTAAAAGATTTTAACTTTTAATTTAATAATATTAATTATATATAAAATATTAAAATATATATTTTAATATTTAAATATATAATTTATATTATTAAAATTAAATAATTATTTTAATATATTAATTATTATTAAGTAATTAATTATATTTTAAATTATTATTTTAAATTAAAATATTAAATTTTTTATATTTTAATAAAGTTTATAAAAGCTTTTAAAATATATTTTTAAATAATAATAATTTATTATTCTTAAATAAATAAATAATTTAAATATAAAATTAAAATATAAAATTAATATTTTATTATTATATTATTAAATATTTTAATTATAATTAAATTAATATATTTTTAATTTTATAATAAAATTTAAATAAAGTATATTTATATATTTTAAAGTAAACTTTTATAAGTTTTATTTAAATTTAAAATTTTAAATTTATTAATAAATTAATAAATTTTAAATTTTTTATAAATTATAAATATTTAATTTATTTAAAAATATTTATAATAAAATATTTAATTAATTATAAATATAATTATTTTAAATAATAAAATTTAATATAATATTTAATATTAATAGATTAAATTTAATATTAATAATAAAGTTTACTTTAAAATAAATAAAGTTTATAAGTTTTTAAAAACTTAAAATATTAAATTAATAACTTTTTAAAAGGTTTTTATTATTATTATTAAAATTTCTTTATTAATATATTATTTAAATTTTAATAAGAATAAAGATTATATAAATTTAATTATTTTTATTTAATATTTTTATTATATATAGTTTATAAAAATTAAAATTTAATTAATAAATTTTTATATTTTTATTTATTAAATATATTAATTTATTAATTAGAAAAAAATTTTAAAATTAAATAAGTATTTAATTAATAATTATTTAATAAAATAAATAAATATTTAATTTAATAAAAAATATAATTTAAAGTATAATAAATAAAAGATAAAATATAACTTTAAATATATTAAAGAATTAATTAAAGTTTAATATTTATAAAAATTTTATTTAATTATATTATAATAAAAATAATAAAATATTATATTTTTTTATACTTTTAATATTTATAATAAATATAATAAAATATAATTATATTTATATATAAATAAATAAATAAAATATAAAGAGATAATTAGTTAATTATTAATTAATATTAATTAATAAATATATAAGTTTATATCTTTAAGCTTACTTTAAAATTATAAATAAACCTTTTAATTATTAAATCTTTCTTTTATATTATATATAATTTTACTTTTATTTTATATATATTTAAAGATATATATAATACCTTTATATAGTAATAAGTATTTAAAATTTAATATTTAAAAGAATATAATATTAATAATAATAATTATAATATATAAATAAAGTTAAAAGTATTATTTTAATAATAATATTAACTAAAATATTATAAAGGAATTATATAATAAAATTAAATCTTTAAAAATAATTACTATATAAATAAATTATATTAAAAAGTCTAATTAAAAATTATCCCTTTAAATATATATATATATATATATATATATATATACTAATAAAACTCTTATTAAATAAATATTATAACCTTTATTTAAATATATAACTATTAACTTTAAAAAACTTAAAATAAAAATAATTTATAATATACTACCTTTAAAACTTTTAATAAAGTATTAAAACTCTTAAAAAGTTTTAAAAGTAATTTATAAAAGATAAAAGAAAGGTATAATAATTTTATTCTCTTTTAAATCTATACTTTTATTACTAATAACTATTAACTCTTTAATAATATAAAAAATATAATAAAAATAAAGGAAAGAGTAAATTTAAAGTTTCTTTTAAAAGAACTATAAGAATATATATAAAACTATTAAAGACTTTATATATAAGTTTTAAACTATTAAAAAAATTATATAATATAAAGGAAAAATATAGTATAGTTAAAGCCTTTTATACTATATATAAATATAATATAGTTATACTTTAACTTATATATTATACTTTTATTAATATTTAATTATAATATTTAAATTTTATTTAAATATTAATTTTAAATATAATTATATATTTATATTAAAACTATCTCTTTTAAATAAATATTTAAAGATTATATATTAAAAGGTTTTAATTTATATATTTTAAATATATATAAAATAAAAATAAAACTATATAAATTTAAAAATTTTAAATATTTATTATTATATAAAAATATTATATATATATTTAAATATATATAAAATAAAAGTAAAACTATATAAGCTTAAGTATTTAAATTTAAGTTATATTTTAATAGAATATTATAATTTAATATTATTCTTAAATATAGCATTGACCTACTTGAGCGGTTTATCTATCCTTCAATATTCCACTCACGCCTTTCCTGCCCAGACCTTAGTGAGGAATTCTCCCATTTCGTGAAGTTCACATGCCGGGAACAGTTGGTTGAACTCGTCTGAAATATCCCAGGCCCCGTTGACACTGCTCAGCAGGAATCCGATGGGTACCTCTGTCAAGAAACCAGCGAGCTGCTCATCCGGGACGGCCTGGTGCTTTTGCTTCAGGGTCCACGACGTCTTCAAAACACCAGCCTCCAGATCTTCTAGTTTCACTTTGTCGACAACGAAAGGACGGCCTGTGTTGTTCTGAGCTCTATGTGTCGGGACTGATTCTGAGCAGAGAATGGAAACGACATACCTCGGATCTTCTCACCAAGCTTGATTACTTGCGAGAAAGCTACACGGTTGCCTCTAATTCCACCGATTTCTGGCCACTCTCCCTCATAGTCAACGGCTCTCGCGACCATTGAGGCAAGGTCAGCGGCCGCAGTGAAGGTAATTACGGCATCTTCATGGCCATCGACCGCAATTGCTCGACAGTTCTGCAGATCAAAGACGGTGTCCAGAGGGTCGACGTGCCTGGCGGTCTTATAGGGAGACGCAAGATAGTCTAAGAACAGGCCTGGTTGGAAGAGGGTATACTCAAGGAGCTTCGACAACAGTTAGAATGCACGCAATAGGTATGTGAATGGAAAGTCTCACTTTCTCGTTCTCGTTGACCTTTCTCAGGTAGTTCCGGACCTCTTCCTTTCCTATCCACCAAGGCATGTGAATTGTCCCAGCACTAATCAACACATGGTCAACAAAGACGAAAAGTATAGATGAGGATACTCCTACCTCCCGTATTCGCTCGGAGCGAAACGTCTGACACCTGCAGCGATAGCAGCATCAATTAAATTCTTCTGCGACTGGTTGGCCGGGTCTGCAAGTAGCTGGACAAAGGACAGGAGAGTGTGTACTCCTTTTAAGGATGCCGACAGGTCTGGTTTGTTGTCGTAGCTAACAACGCGCCAGTGAACCATCGACGGAATTCCATTTGCTGGACGAGGCTGTAACCATTGTTATTTGAGCACCCATGTATTCGGCATTGCGGCTTAGGCAAGGAGAAGAAGTAGTGAGTTTGGCGAACTACTAACAGCCCTGCTTAAAACAGTTATTTCGTGCTTGTCTGCTGCTAGTAGAGCATCTATCACCTCTCTGGCAACCTCTGTTGGTTATATTGGTCAGAACACCCCGAATTAATGTCCCGGAATCGCGTGTACTCACGGCCAGAGCCACCAGCAATGGCGACCTTTACCATTATGGTGCAATTTGAATACCTAGGTAGAATGACAGTACCCGATGGTATGCTTTGTGCTTTTCCGACGGCTGCAGAGGAACTTCCATTGCTGCGGAAATTGAAGACCTGAGGTTGATCTTATACGCTCGCTATAGGGTGTAAATTTTACACCGCGGCGGGAGTGGTGTTCATTTATTAATGATTGTTTCCGCCATGGTGTACAGCCAAGCTCCGCGGCGGAATGACTACTTAAGTAAGCAATGTAGAGGGGAGGCGGCGCGGGACTATTTTACTCGAGGCACCCCAATTCCGCCGCGGTTCTCTTAGACTTGCCCACCTTATTTCCATCTGCCAGGGCCGGCAACCATTCCGTTAACGTCGATATGATCTGTTCAATTGAGAGGGAAAATGGCGGAACCCAGCACTGGAAATAGTACTACCGAAAAGCCATCTCCCCTCAAGCGGCGGAAAACCCGCAGAGGCACCCAAAGCTGCTGGCAGTGCAAGCGGCGGAAGACGCGCTGTACCTTTGCTTCGCCTGGAGCGTCCGTGTGCGACGGCTGCAGGAGCCGCAAGGTCAATTGCATCAGCCAGCAATTTGAAGATGGCCTGGAGACTGTGGATAAGGGCGAAGAGGCGAGAGACTCGGGCCGGACGAAGAACAAGGTCGGGAGACTATCCTCGCCATACGGAATTGGTCTAAGGAACTCGGAGCTCCACGTCGGCAAGGACACGAATAGGGAGACAGCAGTGAGTGTACTCGATTGGCTTGATATATTGCGCCGCCTTTTGACGCGCGCTGAAGAGCCCCTCCCCTGCGAATCCCGGCCGAGGCACATCTCAGCCCGTGAAAGACAGACATGGTGGCCTATGCCGAGCTCTCCTCCAAGTGTGGCCTAAAGAGGAAGATCTGGAAATAATTCTTGATGCTCCTGTCGATACCTCAATACTGTTTCACGGCATAGTGTGCGTGCCTTACTCAAATCTTCTGAGCCAGGCCAAGCCGTCAGCACGGGAGATGCTTCAATCGCCCTCACCGAGGTCCCACCCGGTCTTGATAGCTCGGAAGCTTTTGCTCCTGGCTACTTTCATGCAGGGCATCACGGCAGACGCCATGCAAGGCCTGGAGGCTCTCAGCATCAGTCACAAATCGACCATGTCCCGCCTGGCAGAGGTGTCAAGCAAGTCAGTCACAAGCGACGATGAGCTGGTCGGCTCGCTCGAGGGGATCGAATGCATCATGATCGAGGCAATGTATCACAATAACGCGGGGAATTTTCGCCGAGCGTGGGTGACTCACCGACGAGCAATGACCATAGCGCAGATGCTGGGTCTTGATCGCGGTGCGGGCCCACGCGTGCTGCTCGACGAGCATGATCAAGGTCGTATTGACCCGGAACACATGTGGTATCGTCTTGTAATCTCTGATCGTTACCTGTCACTGATTTTGGGCCTGCCACAGGGAGCACCCGAGAACCCCTTTGCGTCCCCACAGGCCCTCGAGAGTTGCACTGCCCTGGAGCGCTTGGAGCGGATGGAGGCAGTAGCAGGTGGACTTATTCTGCAGCGCAATGTGTCTGGTCTACAAGACATTGCCAAAACCCAAGAGATTGACGCGCTGCTCCAGGAGATCACGACCCTGATGCCACCTCAGTGGTGGCTAGCCCCGCGCGCCGCCGCCCTCGTCGGTGACAACAGCCAGGCGCTTCATCAGACCATCCGCCTGATGAACCAGTTCACGCATTATCACTTGCTGGCGCAGCTTCACCTGCCCTACCTTCTCCGACACTCAGAAGGGGGACAATATGAATATAGCAAAGCCACAGCCGTAATGGCTAGTCGGGAAATCCTGACACGCTTCGTGTCTTTCCGCGGCTCAGTCTCGGTCGCCGCATATTGCAGGGGGATTGACATTCTGGCCTTCATTGCGAGCACGGTAATGAGTCTTGCACACATCAGGGCTCGCCTCCCGCAGCACGTCAAGGAGAATGACCGCGGCGATACCCTACCAATGTTAGCACACCAGCGGCTAAGCGACCGGGCTCTGCTTGAGCATACACTTGAGTGTATCTCGAAGATGGCAGAAGGCGGCAAAGACGTCCTGGCCTGCAAGATTTCCAGCATCCTCGAGCGCCTGCTTGACATCGAAGATAACGCCACCAAGGGCGAACCGTACCGCACCACAGTCTCCCCGGAGCCGGACGAGGCCGAATCTCAACATGCTGACAGGGCATCTGGGGTGGGCCACACGCTGCGGATCCACATTCCGTATTTTGGAACAATAAAGATAGAGCACAGAAGCATGTCGAGCTCAGTTGGTGTTGAGCAGGCATCGCTAGGTGGGGAGTCTCGAGCCTACCCAGCCCTGGACTCCCTGGCCCATCACAGGGACTACCATCCCCGAGGCCTTTCGCAGGAGCATGGCAGAGGGGGCCCAGGAGTGGGAGAATCGATTCCCTTCACGCCAGACCCGGTTGGGTGCGGGGAACATGCCGATGCTGACGGGCAACCCTTCTCACCTGAGCGTGACCTGCCCACGACGGGACCTGGAGTACAGTCGGGAACAGCAGCCCTGGAAGTCGACATTTTCGACCTGGGACATGCTGGAGTCGATACGACAGCCTTGTTCGGCCCAGGTTCAACGGCAGACGTGGATGACTGGGGGTTGCAAGGGGTGGACATGGCTCTTTTTGACAGTCTAATTCGAGGAGTTGCGGAGCCAGGCGCGGACCCAGACGCAGACTAGTGAGGGTCGAGGTTCCTGGACCCGACTGCTTGGAACAGGGCCACACTGCCAAGTGGAGGCGATGGATAAACATGGATGGAGTGACATTATCTGGCAAGATGCACGACCTACCTAGGTAGCACCCACAAGTCACCTAGGTGTAGTGAACAGCGAGGAACGCGTAAGAATGTCGAGGTTCGATCGCCCTGGGACGTGGTTCTATGTTTCCATGTGCCTGTGCATGGTGACATCAACCATCATGTTTTCATCACAGCGGATCGGACCACCGCAAGCAGGCAGGCCAGTGGAGGCGACCTGACGGTTCGAATATTCAGCCCTACCCACGCGGCGTGCAGCTGTCTCGAGTGCATGCGACACGGAACACATGCAGTGACAGGGCTAGCGAGCCCGGGGTAGGTGACAGTCAGGGAACTAAGAAATGCAGGCCAAGGAGGGCCCGTCAGCCATTCAAGAATTCAGTCTACCATGTTAGTACTACTGTCATCAGGCAGGAGACCTGAGAAAAGGACCGCGTTCCAGATGCATCAACGATCAGACGTGGTCGTCGGGCGCAAGGAAGTGGCAGAAGCTTAACCTCGGTCGTTGAGAGGGTGGTGGTGAGCCGCATCAGCCAGAAGCAGGCCAGGGAGATTCCAGCTGTCCGAAAGAGTACGGATCCGCTGCGGCCCGCTGGTTTGCTGCTTGGCAAACAGGGCGCCGCCCAGTTGACGGTTGAGGCCTCGCAGCTGAGCTCAGGTGTGAAGCTTGGTGTGCAGCGTACTGCTGACTCGGGGAAAGCTGGCAAGGACTGGAGGAGTCTGTGGGGCCCCGTGGAGTTGCGAAGAGGTGGGGACGGGGGCGGCCAGATGAATCCAACCGTTGACCTGGGGCCCCACTCCCGAGGTCGCTGAGCATTGTCCCGAAAATCGACCCTGGGCCATTGGTTTGTTGAGCTGGGCCTGGTCCAGCTTGAGACAAATTCAGCCTCGGGTCAGAAAAGTACGAGTCGTCTTTCTCAAAGCATTCAAAGAAGAAGAAGAAAAAAAAAAGGATCGCAAATTGTCCATCTTGTCATCTTGGCCAGAGTATGGAACCTCGAGCCTCAGGTTCGTGCTATTACTAATTACCTAGGTACCCCGGCCACTTAGGTACGTGGGTACCAATGGGTCCTAAACACCTAGTGTCTTCTCCTCTGGCAGTTCTGGGGGTACCGCAGACATTGGCTAGCAGCCCGTGGTCTGTAGGAGCAACACAGACAGACCGACTAGCAGACTGCAATATAAGTACCGACCAACTTGGCCGATGATCAGGGCGAATGATTTCATAGGTCATCAGAAAGTTGGGGTAAGATGGCGGGGCAGCCCAGGTGGCTCATGAGGGTGCGGGGTCGTTCCAGCTCCAAACCCCACCTGTCGGATCCAGACATTCCCAGGCAGTGAGTAGTAGTACTGTGTAGTACGCAGTGGCCCAACATGCACGGTGGTGCGGTATCAGGAGGTTCCCGGGTCGAGGGAAGGGAACAGAAAGTAATGCCTGGTTGTTGAGATGCCTGGGTACGTAGGTAGGCAGGTACATCCTGTGGTGTGGTCCTTGGTCTCGGCCAAAAGGCAAGCGATTCATTCGGCCAGGAGAGGATGGCTGCCGCAGTTCAATACGTGTCGGCCCTGACAATATGCCGGGATAACGGGGGGAGCAGCGGCCAGTCTGAGGCCTAACTAGAGCATAGGCCGGTACTGGCCATGCCCAATCTCGGATCAGAGGGCGGGACATGTCGTCGCGGGTGTGGGGACCTGGTTACTTGGGTCAAACAAAGCACCGGGCGGCGACCGAGTCCATCTGGGTTACCTGGGTACCTAGGTATCTAGGTACCTGCTTGAGTACCCTTGACACCCTTGACACCCTTGATACCCTTGACACCCGTTCATGCCCGTGCTACCTGCAGCTGGCCAGCTGGGTGGTCTCTTGTTGAGCCGCTCCCATTCCCCCGGGCGACAAAGAAACCGTCGACCTCGTCCGCCACGAGGGCCATGGCGTGGGGACATGGATGAGGATACCTAGTGTAGGTTTGGGGGCAAGGGGGCGGTTGTCTGGGTGTGCCACCGTGTGTGAGACCCCTTGGCCAATGCCCCCAGACGTCCCCGCCAGTCGAGTGCGGATCCGGGCTTTAGCTCCAGTGGGAGCTCCAGATGCCCCGATCTCGTGCCTCGGCGCCTTTCCCGTCCTGTAACAATTGACTGGGTCGGGAGCAGAGACTCTGGACCGAACTGGACGGACAGCCAGACAGCGGACGGACAGACGGCCTGGTATGGAGGTCCCTTGCCCAGCACTAGCAGCTTTGGTGGACATCGTCACCACCAAACCGCGGCTCACCAGCACGTCCACAGCATCCCGCAACCCCGCTTTGCTCTGCGATTAACATTACCACCGCCCCTTGGCGCCCCTTTGCCACACTGCCTTGCCTCTGCCTATTTCTTCCAACTGCCGCCGCTTCGTTTCTGCTCGATTGGCTTCTCCCTCCTCCTCCAACTCCTCAACTTTCCCTTTTTCCAAAGATACCCATCCCACCCTCCAGCCCTAAACCTGCAGCGCGACTGCGAACTCTTCCCCCCCCCCCCAAAAAGACACCGACAACCATCACAACATCGTCACCAGACCACACCCAAACCACAGATCACAGCCAACATGTCTCTGTTCACGGAGCTCCACACCCCGGCGACTGGCAAGTACCAGCAGCCCATCGGCCTGTAAGTTCCCACATCGTGAAGATGCCCGGCACTCCCTCGTGCGTCTGGACCAATGGCTCACACGGCGTTCCCCTCCCAGGTTCATCAACAACGAGTGGGTCGAGGGTGTCGACAAGCAGAAGTTCGAGGTCATCAACCCCGCCACTGAGGAGGTCATCTGCTCCGTTCACGAGGGTACCGAGAAGGATGTTGATATTGCGGTCGCCGCCGCGCGCAAGGCCTTCGAGGGCGTATGGCGGGACACGACGCCCCAGCAGCGCGGTCTGTACCTGCTGAAGCTGGCCGACCTCCTCGAGAAGAACGCCGACCTGCTGGCCGCCGTCGAGTCGCTCGACAACGGCAAGTCCATCACCATGGCCAAGGGAGACGTCGCCGCCGTCGTCGGCTGCATAAGGTACTATGGAGGTTGGGCAGACAAGATTGAGGGCAAGACCCTTGACATTAGCCCGGACATGTTCCACTACACCCGACCAGAGCCCGTAAGAGCACCCCTCGCGCCCCAGTGCTTGCCCCTTCCGCTTGGCTGACATGCCCCGTCCCACCAGATCGGCGTCTGCGGTCAAATCATCCCCTGGAACTTCCCGCTGCTCATGTGGTCGTGGAAGCTGGGCCCCGCGCTGGCCACGGGTAACACCGTTGTCCTGAAGACCGCCGAGCAGACACCCCTGTCCGGCCTGGTCGCCGCACAGTTCATCAAGGAGGCCGGCTTCCCCCCGGGAGTCGTCAACATCATCTCTGGCTTCGGTAAGACCGCCGGTGCTGCTATTTCCTCGCACATGGACATCGACAAGGTGGCCTTCACGGGCTCCACCCCCGTTGGCCGGCAGATCATGAAGGCCGCCGCGGCGTCCAACCTCAAGAAGGTCACCCTTGAGCTCGGCGGCAAGTCGCCCAACATCGTCTTCAACGACGCCAACATCGAGGACGCCATCAACTGGGTCAACTTTGGCATCTACTTCAACCACGGCCAGTGCTGCTGTGCCGGTTCACGCATCTACGTGCAGGACGGCATCTACGACGAGTTCGTGGCCGCGTTCAAGAAGCGTGCCGAGGAGAACAAGGTTGGCGACCCCTTCGCCGAGGACACCTTCCAGGGCCCGCAGGTCAGCAAGCTCCAGTACGACCGCATCATGAGCTACATCAAGGCCGGCAAGGACGAGGGCGCCACTGTCGAGACGGGCGGCGAGCGCCACGGCGACAAGGGCTACTTCATTAAGCCTACCATCTTCTCCGGTGTCACCCCCAAGATGAAGATCATGCAGGAGGAGATCTTCGGCCCAGTCTGCACCATTGCTAGGTTCAAGACCGAAGAGGATGTCATCGAGGCTGCCCACGACACCAACTACGGTCTGGCCGCTGCCGTCCACACCAAGGACCTCAACACTGCTATCCGCGTGAGCAACAGGTTGAACGCTGGAACTGTCTGGGTGAACTGCTACAACGCCCTGCACCACCAAATGTAAGCCCCCCACCCCCCTGAAAAACCAACTTCATTGTCTTCCCTTCCCCTCCCCTTCGACTATTTCGAAACATACTGACAGCCTTGTCGCAGGCCCTTCGGTGGTTACAAGGAGTCAGGTATTGGTCGTGAGCTCGGCGAAGCTGCTCTGGCCAACTACACGCAAAACAAGTCTGTCGCCATCAAGCTGGTATAAGGTGCGCGTAAGTCTACGATTTAATTTTGGAACCTGAGAGAAGATTTATTGGTGAGAGGATGTCGCGCCAGGTTCAACAACGGCAGGTTCAGAGCCTGGGCCCAAGTCTATAGCCATTTCGGTATTGTACAACGACACCACGCGTCTCTTGAAGGAGATGGGCAGTGAGAAGTGATGATTGGAAATGAAAAACCAAAAATGAAGTCAAAAATTCGTCCGAGACTTTCTTGTATTGTCAGGTGAATTGTGACAGATTGGAGACTTGGAGGTGTTGGCGAGCGTGCCAAGCAGGTGGGTGGTGTTCCCCACCCTGACCCAAGGGTCCTAGACTTTTGGAGAGATGTGCATGATGCCCAGGTACGACAACAAAGGCTCAGCGAGCAGAAACACTGCCCAGCTTCTCAATCTAGGCAGGGCAGATGAGTAAGTTGTTTACCAAGGCTTTTGCGGCCAAACATGCACTTGTATCTAAGCATATATGCCAGTTGTCGTGGGATCACTAATTCACTCGTCCAGACTAGGTATGATGTAGGATCAACCAACCTGCTCACCCGACCAAAATGCACTCCCCGGGTTGATTGAGGCTAGTCTACATGCTTGGCTACTACGGTGAGGTGTGGGACCCATGGATCTAGGTCAACTACTATAAAAGGATTGCAAGTTGCAACTGAGTCAGTAATAAGTTGTGCATAGCAAGATAGACTACAACCTTGGAAGCTATAATAAAATACTCAGTGTAGGCTACAGCGGGACCGAGGATCCTGATGACGCTATAATTAGGAGCTTGCAACCAACGTCACTGCCGAACCCCGCAGCCACCCAACCGCCTCAGGCCTGCTGCTTGGCCCGCTGGCGCCAACGGCCGATTTGCCCCGGCAACGGCAGCAGAAACCACCCACCCGGCCAAACTCTCAACTCACAACCCGGCATTGTGGCTGTCCGCGCACCGAGATCCCGAGCGCGTCAAGAGGTGTCGCAAGACGCGATACGCGACCGCCAGGAACCTGGGCCAGCTCCACACACACAACACCACGGTTCTCACAACAGAAGCCACACGCACGCACGCGTACAAACGCATCACCCCGAACATGGCGGCGTCCAACCCCTCGAGCAGGGCCTACTTTGAGCAGCAGCGCGAGGCGCTGATGGGCGAGATTGCAATGGTAATAATTTCAAGCGGCGAAACTGCCAGCCAGCCCCCCCCCCCCAACCGGTACTTTCCACGCTAACACCATCCCCCCCGGTGCCCGCACAGAGCTTCGAGCAGGTCCTGGCAAACATCAACAAGCTGAATCGGAACCTCGAGGCCGTCATCACGGTCGGCAACGAGTTCTCGTCGGTCGAGGCGCTGTGGAGCACCTTTGAGAATGTCATGGCCAAGGAGGAGGGCGAGGTCGAGGGCGACGAGGCAGCAGCCCAAGGGAAAGTAGGCGAGGAGCCTGACAGTGTTGGTGGTGGTGTTGATGGCGACGGGCCGGGTGAGATCGAAGGTGGTGGTGACGAGCAACAGATTAAGACCCTGACCTGAGGGGTGAGACTTGGCCATTGCTGGGGGAATCCACCCAGCTCGTGGCCACCATCCAACACCATACTGAGCTTGGGTCGTCCTGAATGAGGCGCACACCGCTCTCCTCGTCATGTTATCAGGCTTCATGAGTGGGGGCGGCCTTGGAATAGCGCCGATGGGCACGGCCGAGGCTGGCCAGCTGGGGGCGTAAGGAAAGAGTTGTCGAGGATAGATACCCAATAGACACCCAGAATCATTCTTCACACAGTTGTTCTCGGGCAAGCGCGGCAGGTTTTCTCAAGAAGGATTAATCTCGATTGAGGAAGATGAACTCCTGACGTTTCCTATTCCATGCATTGCAAAACCACGACTCAATATATCCCATAGAAACAAGTAAAAACCGTCCGTCCGTCCGATCGTGTGACAGGCAGACGGTGTGGGATCGCACCCGATCGGGGGTGTTCAGTGACAGCGACTCAGGAGGCGCCTCCTTTGGCATCGAGCCAGCCCGAGGAGAGACACCTTGAGGGCCATCCATTTGTTGCCCTCCTTCCGCCAGAGAGGGAGGTATCATCAACATACAAGGGAAAAGATGACGCGATGTGAGTATGCGAATATGAGGCTGCAGTGTTAAAGAAAAAAAAAAAGAGAAGCCTTATCCTCCGCTGTGGACTCATCTAGCACCAACCCTCCCTGTCCACCGTTTCGTACATCATTCATCCGCTCGTCGTCGCTCGTCTTGATCATTCATGGCCTCTCAAAGCCCGCCCAATCCTCTTGCATTCTTCATTCAGTCTCGTGATGAAGTCAAGAAAACGTGCCGTACCGAATCCATCAAGGTAAGCGTTGGTCATATCGGTTCATGCGTCATCTCATCACACATGGCGTATCGCGGGACAGCTCGGGGCGGCCCGCCTATGAGTGAGCGACAAAAGGCTCTGCGCGTTGTGCTTTATGCAGGTTGCTTGCTGCTTGCTGCTTGCTGCTTGGAGCGCTCACCCGCTCACAGGAAATTGCACTTTCTCTTCTTCTTGCGGATGCCGGCGGCACCGGGGATGCCGCCGAGGTGGGTGCTGTCCCGCCTTGAGGACTGACGCTGCGCAGCCTGGGCCTCGAGGTTCCGTCGGTCGTTGGAGACGACGGTGACGATGGCCTGCTCGAAGATCTCGTCGACGCCCTTCATCTCCTTGCTGCTGCACTCCATGTACTGGGCGTTCATCTTCTGCGCGACGTCAATGCCCTGCTCTCGTGTTACAGGTGTCAGGCCCTGAGTCTTGAGCATGTCGATGCACGTCTTCTTGTAGCGCAGGTCGGACTTGAGGCCGACAAGGATGAGTGGCGTGTAAGGGCAGAAGTGCAGGACTTCTGGGTACCACTGTTTGTGTGACGTTAGCAGCGGGTGCGGACGAGGAGGACGGCTGCAGGGACTCACCTTGTCCATGACATTGTCGAGTGAGTTGGGGCAGTCGATGGCAAAGCAGACAAAGATGAGGTCGGTCTCTGGGTAGGACAGCGGTCGCAGGCGGTCGTACTCCTCTTGGCCTGCGGTATCCCACAGGGCAAGCTCGACGGTCTTACCGGAAGGGCGGTGCGTAGGGTACGTGATGTAGTTCTCAAAGACCGTCGGGACGTATTTCTGCGCGGGCCGTCAGCTAGGTGTGCAGCACACTGACTGGCGGCAGACGCGTGGGAGGCAGCAGGGGCTAGGATGGTGGAGGGTGGATGGTGGAGGGTGGAGGGCAGAAAGAGGCATTCCACGTACCTCTGGAAAGTAACCCTGGCTGTAGCTGATCAAGAGGCACGTCTTCCCGCAGCCGCCGTCGCCGACGACGACAATCTTCTTGGAGTAGGCGGGGGCGTCGGTCATGGCTGTTGCTGATGATTCGCGACCGGAAGTGGAATTGCTCATCATGGTGCTGATAGTCCCATCACTTGACCGTTGCTGCCGTCTGGTGCTGCTTGGCGTTTTGCGGCCACTCTCATAATACTTTTCGTCGTGGAGCGGCTGGTTGTTGCTGTAGTACGAGTTGCGGTAGCTATAGGACGAAGCCATGCTCATGGATTTTTTTTCCCCTCAGGTTCCTTGGTCTCTCGCATGCGGTTGCCAGTGAACGGCGGGGCCAGACCACGCTTAAGCACGGGTAGCTTGGCCGGGGGACAGGTTCGGTCCAGTCCGGGGTGCAGGCAGGTCGAGCAGGCGGGATTGCAGGCCGCGAGAGAAGCTGGTCAAGTGTAGGGAGGAGTGACTGATGTTTGTTGTCCTTGCCCGGTGAGTCGAGGTATTTCGGAGCGAGCGCAAGTAAATACTGGCACTGGCTGCTGTTCGGATATGCGAGGCGAATGCGTTGCAGCTGTCAGTGCATGCAGATTGCTGATAGGCGGGCCGGAGTGAGCGAGGTGGAGGGGTGTGCGCTGTGTTATGTTGTGTTGTTTGGCTGGTCCCGAGGTCGGTTTGGCTTGGTTGGTTGCAAGGGCCAGTGGGAAGGACGGGTGGGTGGAAGGATGGATGAATGGACGGATGGTTTAGGATAGGATAGAATGGCAATGGTTGTTCACGACACAAAAAAACACACACAACAACACAATTCTGAGATGAGGGGAAAGATGAGGAGGGATGCTGAAGTTTGCCGGGTCAGATGGGCGAGAGTCAAGGTCAGAGCAAAAGCAATTGGCGTATTGGGAGAAAGAGGAGGTTGGGATGTGTCTCAGAGAAGCTGGGAGGCAGGAGTGCGTGTGTGTGTGTTTACGGGTGTCCCCAGCAACGACTAGCATCCGACCAAGTAGAGGCGCAGGATCACAGAGCATCGGCACCGTCGCACGCTTAAAGCATATCAACCAGCTGCTGCTTCAGTTGCTTCCACCCCGTAGTACCGAGTACTGAGCGGTATCAAAGTATCTTGTCTGGGTACCACATGCCATGGCCATGATGATGATGACGATGCAGCCGTGTCGTCCAGCAATTACTCGATCCGACCTCACGTCATCTGGCTCTCTCTGTGCTGTGTGGACTCTGCCAGCCTGCCAGCCTGCCAGTCTGGTACAGCCCGCTGACGGGCAAGGAAGCCTCACACGTCCCCACCCGCCTGGGTCCAGCTGCTGTGCTGCTTGCTGCCGGATGCTGCTCGTACTGACCCGGACCCTTGTAATTCGGTGGCAGGAAGACTGGGGAAACTGTCCCTAACAGGCAACCTTAAGATTTAGCGGTGGCTGGACCGTCCCCGACTGTCCCTGCTGTTGTCCTGCAGCTCCTGCGCAGGCGCAGGCACAGCGCACCTGGCCCTGCTGCCCCACCTCCCCCCTGCTGCTGCAGCTGCAGCCTGCTGCCCGGGCCAGCGCACGAGTTGCCCTGCTGCCCTGCTGCCCTGCCGCCCTGCCCTGCTGCCCTGCGCCCGTTCCGTCACTGCCAGGTGGCCCAAGCTCCCGTCCCACTTGAAAATTTCGAAACGACAAACCTCTGTCTCTTCTCACAAGATCCCGATTGCGATCCTCTTTGCGATCCTCTCCGGCAATCTCTTCCCCTCTTCTTCAGCCTCATCCAAGCCTGCGGTCCTTGGGGCTTGCAGCGAGGCCATGACACGTCGTCTCCTGTCCAGACCGTGACCTGAGCATCAAACTCTATTCTGCAAGAGACAAAGGAGCCGCCCGGCCTGGCCCTGCCTGGTTCTCTGACTGATCGCCATCGCCTGCAGGAAGCACCAGCTCCCATCTGCGGAACATCCACCCTTCTCTGCCCCCCCCCCCCAAGCGAACCTTCTTTTACTGCCTGCAACTCTTTACCAAGTCGACCGAGACCAGGAACAGGATCAGCATGGCTCCTAGCAAGTACATCACGCTCGTCTCGGCCGAGGGCTACGAGTACGTCCTGCCACGTGAGGCCTGCCACGCCAGCAGGATGCTCAAGACCTCGGTCGATCCCGACAAGAACTTCAAGGAGAACCTGGAGACGGTCGTCAATCTGCCTGAGATGAAGTTGGTTATTTCTCCCCCGCTGCTCTCACACCTTGACCTGCCGTAACCCCCCCGCCCGCCCGCCCACCTCCTCTCCCGAGTCGTCCTTCGCACCAGTGTCGATGATGAATCACAATTATTTCGCTGTGTTCTTTCTGACAGAGCCGCCTACAAGCCGGTTCTGGTTGACTGTTAACTACACTTGATCTGAGATGCTCGTTTCCCCCTTCTCTACACCAAGCCCAACGGTCATTCAGTACGGATCACGGGCGTTGCTGACTGAGATTGTTCAGTGCCGTCGTCCTGGAAAAAGTCGTCGAGTACCTGCTCTACTGGTACAGATACCAGGACAAGGACGACGTTCCGGACATGGACATCCCAGTCGACATGTGTCTCGAGCTGCTGACGGCCGCCGACTATCTTCAGATGGACAGTGAGCACATGCCGCAGCCGTCGAGCAAGAGGTCATGAGAGCTGACCCTCTCGCAAAGACCAGTTTCGATGAGGTGACTGCCCATCTGGGTTTCTTTCTTTTCATCTCATGTCTTTAGCACTGCGGCGTTCAGGGTGGACAACACGGTTTCGGGCCACACGGCACAAGGCGGGCGGTAAGCGTCTGGGAACAACCTCCGTGGTCCAAGGCGATACCCTCTCTGGTCAGACAAGAACAAATGTCAATTCCATGGCACACTTCGGCCATCAAGTGTCAAATGGTTCATTTGCACACAGCCAGAACAGGCAACACGTGACATTGTAGCGGCCTCGGAAAAAAGACAAAGGAAAAAGGGGTTGCCCATCTTAGCATATGCGATCAACCTTTCTCGCACCCGTGGGTTGATTGTCTAAAACGGATGGAAGATTGATTATTCTTCTCCCCCACACTCTGCTTGACTCACATTGCCCCGTTGAGATCTCGCTTTTTCAGAGGGGAGACAGTTCATGTTAATATAGGATTGATACAACTCCGGCACTCCAGTCGGGAGGGAACAATAATCATAGAGAAATTGCATTTTAGCATCTTTGGAAATTACGCCCGTGGGTATCTCGTCATGGCAGTAACGTACAGCTTTGTACCATGCCCGCATTTCTCATCGACAAACCAAGATATAATCCATGCTGCTTGAGCTCGTTGATCACCGTCCTCTTCCTCGTCCGCCCCTGCCACGTCCTCTACCTCTCCCACCCCGCCCAAAACCACCTCGGGCACCACGGCCAGCCCCCCCTCCTCCACCTCTGGAATCCCATCCACCTCTGCCCGCCTCCGGCGGTGGGCCCTCCTGCCGGCGTCGCTCCCTTTCCTCCTCGCTGGCGTCCCATAGGTTCTCCACGTCCAGCAGCGCGCAGAATGCGACCGTCTGCGGGTTCGTGTGCTCCTGCGGCTGGATCCCCGAGTGCAGCTCCCACAGCTTCTGATCGGCGCCCCCATCCAGCGCCGGCGCTGTCTGGGCAAAGTTCTGCGGCACGGGCAGCTTGCCCGCACGCACGACTTTGTCCTCGACCCACGCGCGCTCCTCGGCAAGCCTGGGCGCGTAGGCCTCCTCACCCTCGTCCGCAGCCACTTGGGCTGTCCTCTCGCCGATACTGAGATACTGGTGGAAGTGGCGTGTGATGGCGAGCCATTCCGGGTCGTATTGCAGCGCGAATCGGCCCTGGTGTGGCAGCGGGGTGCTTTCAGGTCGTGCTGATGCGTCGTCAGTGGTGGCCATGTCGACAGGGTGGATGCCACAGAGCTGGAGGAAATCACGACCCGGCTCGCACTTGTTGAGTGCGAGGAAGCGCACGGTGGTGTTTGTGATTGTTGGCGGAACAGGCTGGCCTGGGGTGCGTTTCGGTCCCGCGAAGGGTTTCGGTTTTGGCTGTTGTGTGAACGAGGCCGGGAGCTGGGAGCGAAGCTCATCTGTAACGGTGGATGTGGCCCCTGCCTGCTCGTCCTTGGCGGCGGTACCATCGTTCTGATCGAGTGCTGGGGGTGCGCTGTCTTCGTCGTCGTCCATATCCAGGTCAATTTCGTTTGGGTTCCCAACTGGTGCCTCTTGTGTTGGAGGGCCAGGCAATGCGCCCTCACTCGGCGCAATCTCAGCCGTGCCGTCCAAACCGACGGCCTGAGAGGGGGGAGGGTAGGTCCTGACAGCAGCAAATTTCCAGTGCATGTGCGCCGAGAACCAGAAGGCGGGCCTCAGCCGGTCCATCACATATTCGGCCGCAGGGCTGCCAAGTGAGCCGTCCAGGCTCTCTTCCTTCCACATGGGCCTGGTACGATACAGCTGCTGCACGTCGCCATGCTTCTCGATGCCCCTGGGCCAGTCGTGGCTGAGCCCCACATCCACTTGCTCCTTGATCTGTAGCAACCTACGCACATCGAACTCTCGCACGTGATAAAAAGACTTGATGTCATCCCTGCTGAACGGCAGCCTCTCCAGGTGTGGCTTGCGGTAGTCAAAGCCCTTCCAGATCCCACTCAGCCCGGCGATCCGTAGCGGGCCCACGCGCAGGACGTTGGCAGCACCCATGTAGTAGATGTTGGGGGCGACCCAGCCGCCGTAGTAGAGCTCCCACAGGTATGCGGCAGCTTCGTGATTGCCGGCGATGAAGAGGGTCAGGTACGGGGCGGTGCGGGTGCCGGAATAGTACTCATGGAAATCGCCGAGCACGCGATACTTTGCAGGGACAGACATGACTTCTACATCATGGCCGTTTCGGGTGGACTGGAAGTCACCGCATATGATGAGAACGTCGACACCGGGCCAGCCGCGCGCGTGGGAGGCAGCGGTGACGGCGGCATAGATTGCGTTGAGGGTGCCGTGGCCCTGGGCAAGTGTCAGTAGCCGAAAGCTGCTTGGACGGGCGGGTTTGGCGTGGTACTAACACAGCCCTCAACGGCTACTCTTACGCCATCCTTCTCAAAGAGACCAGTTCCGGTGGTGTCGTTCATTGCGGGTTTCTTGCTGTGGTGGAGGAGGTATCAGGTCTCGGCGGCGCTGCAGCGCCGGTTTCAATCCCACCCCGTCCGTCAATGTCACGCCTTGTGTGGCGAGTCTTGTGCTTGAACAGCAAGTCCGACAGTTGTTAGGGATAGTGCACTTCCCTCTTGTCTCCCAGGAGCTGACAGCCTAGCCAAACCGCTCAGAGCCAGAGTTTGTCGTTCGGGCCAGTGGTAAAAACTGCCCTCAGTGAGAGACCTGTACCGAGTAGCGGGACCTGGTCTGTGCTCAGCTCATCACCAACCCCCCCCCCCCTTACATGTACATGGGAACCGTGACCTTCAATGTTCCTACTTACAAAGGTGAAAGGGCTGTTCCTTCCACGGACGATCCGGACTCTCGCTCATCTTCAATTGCTGGAGATTCCTTTTGAAAGTCGGTCTCTTGGCCACTTACATATCGCTCACCTTACTCGGCGCAAATCATACCGCCCAGCCAATTACTGGCGCAGCATCTAACGACGATTGGGACCACAAAGAGCCCGTGATCAACTACTACAAAAGCTTCATTGGGCAAGATTTTCCTTGTTCTCGCTGCTGCAATCTATCTCTTGTGATTTCTAGCTGCGCTAGCAGGCACTGGCACTCATATCGCAGCTTGGCCACATCCTGGGTAGGTACCTAGGTAAGTAATGTCCTGTTGTTCCTACTGCGTAGCGGTCTCCTGCAGATCTTTGGGTACCGCCCACCCATGAACCCCTGCGAACCGGATGTACGCATCAAGTGCCTCGCTGGGACCATAGTCGAACAACTTGGCCGATGTTTGTGTAGTCTGTAGACGTGCGGGACGCTCTGTCTCACTCATGGCCGTCCTGATCGAGACGAAAACGATGTCCATACTTAAGGTTGGGAGCCATCCAGATGAAGTAAGAAGTTCCATGCAGATGGCTCCTCCGATTGTGATGTGACCGCCGCCTCCCACAGCAAAGGGCAAGAATCGGGGCCGGATCACGCGCACAAAGGGCGGTGAGAATGGGTAGTCGCGCCCGAAGCGCACCTCCAGCACGATCGAAGTGATGGCAGACTTCTTCATGTCCTTCGCCAATTGAAGCTCGGGATCAAAGCTGTGGAATTCGACGATCCACTGAAACATGTTCTCCATGTTATCGAAGTCGATATACCACCCGAGCTCGTGCGGCGGAGTGCGGGCCTGAAGCTTCTGCATGTGTAATATTTGCTCACTAAGCCTCTTCGTCGAAGGACCAGCAGCCCAGCCAGGCAGTGGAAGACGTGGCAGGCTACCGAGGTCCAAAGTCCCCGCCCTGAAGTCGGTCTGCGGTGGTGTCAGTGGCCGCTGTGTTGTGACTTGACGGGCCGTTACAGTATCAACGCTAGACTCCCGGGCAGAGTTAGGTCGCTTGGCCGGGTGCAGCGATGACACGCCCTCGTCAAAAAGGAATTCAATATCCGAGGCTCCCTCTTCGTCTGTTTCTTCAGAGAAAGAAGTCAACTCATGCCCACGCTTCGACGAAGGCGGAGCTCTGGGCGTCTGCTGCTTTCTCGTCGGGACTGCTTTCAAGGGGATGCTGAGAGGCTTAGAGCCCGGTCCTAGAACGGTGCGTGCGGGATCTTGGGCGACTGCCAGTTCTTTCGGAATGTCATTTCCAGAATCACTCACGACAACAGCTGGGCCCCCTTGAACAAGTGGTAGGCCGGTCGTGACATCATGGGCGGTTGAGCGCTGGGCGAAAAGATAGCGGCACTGGATCCAGTCAACCTGTCCTACCACCAGATGCGGATTAGTGGAGACGAAACGGTCGGGCGCATTCACGATCTCGCACAGAGATATCACACTGGAAATGTGCAGGGCCGAGTGTGGCCACCGACTTGTAGCGTCGGAGGCGGCATAGCCTTGGCTAGTTCGGTAGTCTTGTGAAAAATAAACACCGTTTCCGAAAGCCCTGCCGTTCACGATATCTGTGAAGTCTAGGCCGTAACGAAGGATGCTGTGCCTGAAAGAGGTCAGTAGACTTGCGGGAACTGTGTGCCGAGGAAAGTGAGGGAGGGAGAAAACGAGACGGGGGATGGATGAAGGCGGGAAGGAGAGGGATGAGCTCCAGCTTGCGGGAGAGCCCCGAGGCCTACGTACCAGTTGGATAAGGCGCTTCCGTGCCAGGCAAATAGGGTCGGGTAGTCGGATTTGTCCAATTTGAACTCTTTCAAAGCTCGATGAAATCGTGATTCCTTGTCTGGTGCGCCTTGAGCAAATCGAAACTGGACCAAGTTCTTCAAGGAAGGGATGGCCTCTTGTTCTCGTGTCTTGATCTGATCAAGTAAGGTTGGGTCGGAGTCCACGGGGGTCACCTGCAGGATACACGAACGATTCGACGCCACGATCCACTCCAAAAGCGTTACAGCTGCAGGTGATATGCCAGCGTAGGATCTCAATCTGCTTTGTGGATTCCTAACTAGATACTCTCGCAGTGAGAGGATTGGAGGGAGGGTGTTTAAAACTGTGGTCATCGAGTTCGCTTTGCCGTGGTCATCGAGGTCGTCGAACTCGGTATCGTATAATAACAAGTCCATCTCGATAACTCCAGAGGTCCTGGAGTCAAGTGTGTTGAAAACGACCTTCAGTGTCCTAGTCTGGTGGTCGACGTGTGTAATACGTCCATGGTGGTAAGCCGGCTCGGTATGAGGAGGGCGTGCACCCTCTCGGAGTATGACCCATGTGTCCGAGGCAATCGAGTCCAGGTCTCCACTCGACATGACTATTACCACGCTGTTTTGCAGGTCGGCCATGACCTTGATAGTGGTGGGTGCATTGGTGACCTCGTTCGCCACCGCCGCTGCCGCCGCCGCCGCCGCCGCCGTACCCGTGCCCCATGCTAAGACCGCATTGCCGATTGATACCGTGGCTGAGTCGGCAGACCTAGGAGCCGGGACCTTCAGGTGCAGTCCGCAGGGAAATTCGCGGATCCTATAGCTTGACTGTGCCGGTTTGACAGGTCTCGAGAATCTGGGGAGTTGAATGCTGCTGTAGCACAGGCTGACCAGAAGGTCAACGACGTACGGCTGTGTCAAAATCTCGTGCTCGATGGAAGGCCCAAACCCCATCGCGAGGTATTGAAATAAGCATAAGGGATTTGAACAGACGAAAGGCTTCAAAGCCTCGAATTCCGTCCCCACATGTTGGTGACAGCGCAAGCAGTACTCTGTACACCGGGAGAAGTAGTGAACCGCGAACTGCATGAAAATCAGAGGGATACTGCATTGTCCGAGGGGACGTGTAGCGGTAGAATCCCGCATGAGGAAATTCGGGATTCGCCTGGGCGATGGCATTTCTTCATCAGTTTCCTGCGCGGAATTTGTCGCCATTTCTCTCTGTTTTCCCTTTGCCTGTCTCGTCGACCTTGGCTTCTCTGTTGTCTTTGGTTCGAAACGCGACCCCTTCTCGTTGATATGAGCCTTAGCGATGAGATCATCAGCCAAGGCGAATCCTGTGGATATATTCCGGAACTGCTCGTTGGCATCGTCCCAGGAAGAGGTCGAATCCTGAAGACGATGCTTGATCATGGCAAGGCATTGCTCGTTCATGAACTGCTCGAGAGAACTCGAAATAAAAGTCTTTTCAAACGTCCGTCCTCGATCATCCTCAAGGGGTTGTGCCTTGTGTTCAGATGCATCATGTCTGCGAGAGGCGTCGGTCAGGAACGCTGCACGGGCCTGGGCGGCAGATGGCTTGTATTTGATGCCTTTCCCGAAGCGGAACTCGACGTTGAAGTTGACACAAGGCTGCTCGAGTAATTGTTCAGCGTAGGGGTATGCTCCCTCAATCCGGACCAGAAGTATGACATAATCAGTGATGTTGACATGCCAGGCCTCGAGGGCCTCTTCCGATAGGCCCAGCTCGCTGGCTCGTATCGACAGGGAGAATATGTGGCAGCTTGAAGATGGCTGCAGCCCGTCCAATACCCCGATTCTACAGCCTGCTTCTCGTGCGCTGCGTAGATCAAGCTTGATCCTTGACAGGCTGCTGGAGTCCAGGCGTGGGTGTGGTCGGTTTAGCATGTTGGTGTGCATGGATGTGAGACCAAATTCATGATCGCTGAGCTCATCGGAGAGGTACTCCTCCATCAAGTTATCAGAGATGTACTCACCTGGCTGTTCCTCCACAGCCATGTCCCGGTTAGCGTCAGTAGAGCGGAGGCTGTGGTCTACGCATGTTGACACTGTCGTGATGACCTCGACAAGCTTCATGCTGTAAGTGCAGTCCCGTAGGTCCTCGAGAGCCGAAACAAGGACGTTGGGAGCGTCTTCGACGGAGGTGGAGACTGAGAAGTTGTGGTCACTGGGGTAGCGGTCGAGGCCCTGGACAAGTATCCGGATGGGGAGGAGACTGGGTATCTTCTCGTGAGCGACCGTGACGACGACTTCCCCGTCAGAGCCTCCACGTTCGATAGCAAAGACTCCTGGGATCTCTCCATCATCGATCCGAGAGCGGGCGGACCGCACATCTGCGTTGAAGTACTTCAGAGACATGATGGCAGCGTAAATGTTGGGGTCTGGCTGCTAGTACTCGTCAGCGCGTGATGAGGAGGGCTGTTTTGTGCAGGAGGCAGTTCAGCAGCAGCCGGGGAGCCTTTTAGCGTACCGTGACTGTCTCTAGACCACCTCTTAGCCCGTGATAGCCTCGTTCTAAAAGGACCTTCTTATTCATAGGCAGACGACTGATTCTAGAGAGAGTTGCTCTGGGCGATGTGTTGTTGAAGGATGGCAGGTGATCTGCTTGTGAGGGTGGAGAGGTTACGGAAGAGGTTGATGTTGATGGAGAAACGATAACCTGTGGTAGGTGAGAACACTTGCCCAGCTGCTCCGTTTGCCCTGGAGAGGCCCGTAATGGTTTGCTGAGTGGGCAAGTGAATGACAAAGGGGTGAAGGATGTTAGAGACTAGACATGGACTCAAGGCCCAAATGCGAGTCTGCTGTTGAGACTTGTTTGCAATAGGAGCCTTGCTTGAGAACAAGGCGGGCAGGCAGATACTTTGTCGACATGAGGGTGGATGTCTAGGTAGAAGCCCTTGGGACGACGTCATGGGAGGGAGGGAGTGCCTACTTTCTCAGGTTCAGGGTGCTCGAGAGCCCAGGCGACTTGCTTGCTCTGGGAGATAAGGAAAAGAAAGACAGACGGCATTTACTGCGCCTTTGCCGTTGTTGTTGGCTTCCTCCCAAGGAAGTAGGTAGGTACTTAAGTACCTAGGTAGGTAGGTACCCAGGTAGGTAGAGAGAGAGAGAGGAGAGTTAGGGTGCGATGGCGGGGCGCTTGCATGCTCAAGGCAGCAACGAGAGCGCCAGCTCTACTGTTGGCAGAACCCACCTGCACCAAGCACCAGAGCGAGTGACCCAAGGACTCGACGGCTTGTTGCACCAAGCATGGCCCTTATTCACTTGAACACAGCTTCAAACGTCACCCGAGACGACCCTGGGGTTTCCCATGCCCACCCCGCCCCGCCCTCTGCTTCCTCCTCACATGTCTCCCTGTATCATCTTTCCCTTTCGCTCTCCCTCCTCCTCCTCCACCACCAAACATCTCAGGAGCAACTTTGCTCAACAAGCCTGCCATACCTGGCCACCGGCGGGGCAAGAGGTGCCTCAAGTGCAATGCTGAGCACTGCTCTTGATACCCCGAACCCAACCTGACAATAGCGAAGACACTTACAAACAGGCAGGATCAGGTACAGAGAGTGCGTGAATCAAACTGTGGGCAGACTGATGCCTCTACACAGTAGAAGAGGGTTCATTCAGGCTAGTGCCATTGGAGCGTGCAGTCTTGCCAGGTTATGTACCTGCTGTCAAGAGAGTAGTGGCTTTGTACCACCTAGGTACTTAGGCCTGCTAGGTAGGTGCTCCGGGAAGACCCGCATCCTCTGGATACAAATGTACATAGCAAGGATGCCCCACCCAGAGCTTCCCCCACCGCGGGGCTCTCCCGTAACGACAACATGGTTAGACTTCGCAGCATCGTCGCCTTGGTCCCCTCTCTCCCGACAGCGACATTCTCGTCACACGGGTGAATCAATTCTTGACAAGTAAGACCGAATATCCACAAGAGTATCCAGAGCTTCCGGCCGACAGCATGCTCATCAAAGAGTCCCACGCGGATGTGACGACGACCGTCAACGGCGTCGAGAGCTCCATGAGAATCTTTGTTTTCCACCCCACCATCCCACAGTATCCCAACGCGTATGCATGTGTTCTTCTCGTTCTGGTCAACCTGTCCATCGCTACCTTCTGCCCGGCGCTGACAACCACACACACAGCCGCTTCCCCGGTGTCCTCCTCTTCAGCGAGATTTACCAGGTCACCGGCCCTGTTGCCCGCTTTGCCCGCCAGATTGCCGGCCAAGGCTACATTGTCGCCGCTCCCAGCTCTTACCACGATTTCACCGGCCCTGAAGCACTGGCTTACGATGTGCCCGGCACCGATCAGGGCAATGCGTGGAAGGTCAAAAAGGCATGCCCCCGCCCCCTCCCTTCCCCCCGGCTGATGATGCCGGCTGCGGAGCTGGAGGACTCCGACTGACGCTTCCTCATTCTGTCTTGAATAGACGCTGGAGTCGTATGACCAGGACTCATACAAGACCGTGGACTATCTCCTGAGCCTTCCGACTTGTACTGGTCTTATTGGGGCCACAGGAATGTGTCTTGGTGGCCACCTCGCGCTACGGGCAGCGGTAAGTGCGATCCAGGGTCCTAGTCTCCCTCATGTCTACCCACTTGGTCCATCAGTACTGAGTACCATATACAGCTGGATCCCCGTATTTCTGCCACGGTCGGCTACTTCGCAACAGACGTCCATTCTCGCACCCTGGGCCCTCATGATAAGCCTGATCTCTCCCCCACCGCGCCCTCTCCTGATAGCATCCATACTATCGACCTCCTTAGTAATCTCAAGGGCGAGGTGTCCCTGATATTCGGGCTCAAGGACACTCATGTGCCAGATGCCGGCCGCGACCTGATTCGCGCCAAGCTGCGCGAGGCCGGCGTCGTCTTTAGCTTCCACGAGTTTGCCTGGGCTCAGCACGCGTTTATCCGTGATGAGCTCAGCAAGGGTCGCTACGACCCCGCAATCTCAAAGGCTTGCTTCGAGGTCTTGCTGGAGTTGTTCGGCCGCACCCTCAAGGTCGACCTGGGCCCCAAGGATGGCGCCCCCCCGAAGGTAGAGCATGTCTGTTGAGTGCTGATGATATTCGACCATCGTCATTATAACCCGTGACTCTTGCTTCGGCGTCCGAAAAGTGTGATTTAGCACTTGAGGGTGTAGCACTTGCTCATTTTCGATTGGAAGTCAATCTGGCCCAGTATGACGAGGTAGGCAGACCATGGCCTGTTCTCGGGTGAACTAGGAATAAATTGAGAGCATGCTTTGAAAACCAATGAATGCTTCTGGGCTTGAACTCTGTAGTATCTTGCTTGTATTATATATACCCTTGTTCTAAGCTGAATCAACAACTCATTTTCGTTGTATGAAACGGCGAAGTAGCCTGTTCGCTCTCTGTTGAGGTCCTCCAACCCGTGGACCAGCCCATCCAGACTGTCTACATCTTGTGCAAATGCAGTTTTCTTTTCACAAATCGCCCGTGTCCATTACCCCTAGCTGCTGTACAAATCCCCATCGGCATCACAATCGCCCTTACCTGTCTCCTACCCTACAGCCTCCCCTTCCGAATGGTCCGCCTTGCCATTGGCCCTTTATCTCTTTCAACCCGTGGAGTCATCCCATCATTAAAACTTTGAGGCCCATGGCTATGCAATCGATCTCCGCAACTGTCCCTTATTTCGTGTACTGCCGTCCCTGGCCACCCTGACCTTGCTGCCTTCGCGCCTGCTCCTCTCTCTCCCTATCCTCGAGAGCCTGGGAAACGCTAGCACCCCGCTGGCGGGCGCCATGTGTCGGCGGGGAGGCAAGGACCCGTCCCTCCGGAATTGATGGTCCTGCCTGAGTGGTCATGGCCTGTCCTGGCAGCGTCATTTGCTCGTCAGGATCCTGTCCCGGCCCGGACGGTGAATAAGTGATCGTAGGGTAGAGTGAATAACTCTGAGCCGCTGCGGCAGCTATACCCGGCGACACATTGGGGACAGCGCCGTAGCCAGGCGAGCTAGCCACTCCAACCCCTCCATAGGGGCTGCCCATGCCCCCCTGACCCGGCACGACGTCATACGACATCTGGCGATGCCCGCCCACTATGACGTTGCCGTCGTTGTCGTACTGTGTTACTGTCAAGCCGGGGCTCATCGAGCTAAGCGGCACACCAGGGACGCCTTCGCCCGCCTTCCTTCGCCCGCGCGTGTTCTCCCGCTTGACTAAATCTTGACGTATCTGTTCGAGGTTGTCGGACCGATTTCGCTCCGCCGAAGCGTCTCTAGAGTTCAGCGTTGCCGACTCGGTACGCTCATCCACCACGTCACGATTGGATGCGTAGTTGGAGTCGAGGCCCTCGAGCGGCGGACGCGTGTTCAGCTCTGCAGCCGCCTGCTTCTCAGTCATGTGCTGAATCTTCGAGGCGCCCCGCTTGGGCTTAAGCGGCATCATACGCAGGGCATCAGCAGCTTCCTCGGCCTTGGTACGAGCTTTGACAGCAAAATCGTCGCCAACGGCAACCGAGTAGGTTGGGTTGTTCGGCCCACCCAGCACCTCACCACCTCCACCTGGGCCGTAGATGGGGACCTTTTTGAGGGCGAGGGCGAGGGCACAGATAAACTTTGATCTCCTAGTTGCGCGGACCGCGTCGTTGTGCCAGTTGGATTTATGCTTGATAGCAAGCTTGAGCGTGAGCTTGTCGCAGTCTCCCACGCTGCCCACGCCAATAGCCAGGTCTGGCTGGAAATCTCGCGAGTTGTCGGCGTGCCGCACGAATTTCTCCATCTCCGTGCGGAGAAGTTCAACATCCTCGAAGGATGTGTCGAAAGAGATGTTGACTTCGATGACTTCCTTCATGGCTTTGCTGCGCGTCACATTTTCTATCCAGAGATTGTTCAGAACGATGTTCGGAATCTAAGCAGGCCGAGTTAGCTTTTGTTTCCTACAGGTTTCATCCCGCTCCTTTGTGTTGAGGTTGTCGTCCGGGGAAGCCTTCTTTATAGCGACAAGATCATAGATAAAAACGTACCTGTACAACCTGCATCTTATCGATGCGAGTGAGCACTGTGTAGAGTAATGAGATTTTCTCAACAACCATTTGCTCGCCGCTGACATCAATCCTATCGCCCACATCGTAAGGATGCTTAATAAAGAGAAAGATGCAAGAACCCAGGAATTCCTGACATGTGACGGAGAAGGCAAATGAAAGCGAGAGGAGGGCTGTGCCTGCGCTAGCTAGTGTGGTGACAAATGAGCTAGTATATGTTAGTAAATCCTCAATGCTCCAAGACATACTGAGACTAGTGTTGAGAATTTGAATAATTCGCCTAAGAGAAGACCTGTAGAATAAATATAAAAAGTAGGAGGGGGAAATAATAATAAAGAAGGAAGTAGATAAGAAAAAAAAAAGAAAAGAAAAAGAAAAAAAAAAGAAAAGAAAAAGAAAAGAAAAAGAAAAGAAAAAGAAAAAGAAAAAGAAAAGGAAAAGAAAAAGAAAAAGAAAAAGAAAAAGAAAAAGAAAAAGAAAAAGAAAAAGAAAAAGAAAAAGAAAAAGAAAAAGAAAAAGAAAAAGAAAAAGAAAAAGAAAAAGAAAAAGAAAAAGAAAAAGAAAAAGAAAAAGAAAAGAAAAGAAAAGAAAAGAAGAGAAAAGAAGAAATTTACTGACCTGTTAAAAAAGGATAAGAAGATAAATACGACGATCAGGATCACAACAAACAGCAGGACCGAGTCGAGTACGCGAAGAGCCTGACCAATGTCCTTCATGCTGTTGGATATCGCCTTCCTCTCCTTCCCAATCTCAACAACTTTGCGCACCATCTCATCGAGGCTGATGTCGCCATTCATATCCGCGTCAACGGCCTCAAAACACTCCTCGGCGTCTTCCTTATGCCCTGGTCCAAGGACCTCAACGATGTCTTCTGCATAGAGAGAATCGTTGCCCTCTACCACAAAGGACATCCAAATACGACGAGCCAGAGCTTCAGAGGTTGGGACCTTCTCCAGCGCCTCGACAACGATTGAATGGGCGGAATTAGGGTTGAAGACCTGCTTGCCGGTGATCTCTGAGGCGAGATTTCCAAAGACAGATGTTATCTTGTCGCCTACCCGCCCGATTCCTCCAGCGGCCCCACCAATGAAATGCATGGGCGTGACGGATCCGGACTTCTTGTGGCCACGAGCTCGGCGCTTTTTGCCACCCGAGATCATCATCTCGATACTATCGTTGATAATATAGTCCTCTTCGGCGAATTCCTGGCACCACATGGGAAAGAGCGTCCTGGAAGCGTCATACATGAGGCCGAGCAGGAAGACCTCGCGTTTCGAGTCCTTGATCCTGTTGGCGAATGAGCGCTGGTGGTATGTAATGCTTATAAGCTGTATGATGGCCTTCTCGCCGAGCAGAACGCAGGACGACACAAAAAGCGAGCCCAGGATCCGTGCCATGACGTAGACCCACTGAAGGTCGTCACCATTGTTGATCTGGAACTTGAATCTAAACACGAGCCAGGAAGCCAGTGCCCAAAGAAGAAGGGAGAACGGAATCTCCAAGTTCTTGAGAACAGTAGCATATTTTCGCGTGCCCGAAGAGACGACCCCACAAAAGAACACTAGATAGAATGTATTGTCAGTTGTCAGGTTGCCCAGAATGCAATAGTATGCGTGAAAGAGCATGGAAGACAATGTCTATGTATAGTCTGCATCAGAATCTTCCCCGTAAAGCACCCGTGAAGCGCTTTAAGGGGAGTTAGAGAGGAGAGGGACAAGATAGATATTGTTTTCTTCATTTGTCCGAGGAGAAAGAACATGGGTAGTGAGGAGGATGAAGACATAGCGTTGGGCGGTGAGGAGGTTAGGAGGTTAGGAGGTTAGGAGGTTAGGAGGTTAGGAGGTTAGGAGGTTAGGAGGTTAGGAGGTTAGGAGGTTAGGAGGTTAGGAGGTTAGGAGGTTCGGGAGGTTCAGCTTATACGCGGAAGCCACTTACTGAAGATAGGAGGGAGGAAGTGTGCAACGATCTTGCCACCCCAGAGCGTAAGCCAGGATATCTCGATCCACAAGAACAGGTCGAAGAGCCGGGGTGCATTGTCTTGCCGAGAGCCGCCGACGCGGGTGTCGTCGTAGTGGCCGGTAATTGGAATAACGATAAGTGGCACAGCTAGAAAGAGGGCAACAGGTGCGATATAGACGAGGTATCGTGTGATGACGGAGAATCCGACGATCTTGTTGTAGATGCGACCCATGGCGTTCAGGCCGCCCTCCTCGCCGTAGGTGCCCTTCCTGCCGGTGTCTCCAAGAGCCTTGACATTCTTCCTCCTGCCGGCAGGTCCTGGGCCCTCGTTCTTGGACTTGCGGTGGAACAGGCCGGTTTTCTTCTCCTCGGCCGAGGAAGTCTGCTCGAGTTCCATGTCGTCTAGTGTTTGGTTCTGCCTCCTAGCGCCAGTGGAACCTGCCGTCTGAACAGGTCTCAGGGGGATATCGCCCTCGCCCATGGAGTCTGAGGGGTCGTTGCGGCCGCTGAGGGGCATGAAACCCATCTTGGTTGGAGATCGGGGGGAAAGGGGAGGCATTTAGTAGGAACCAGGCGGGGGACCCCGTTCTTTCCTCCCGTGCGATTGGGGGGCCTGGGATTATGATGATGTTGGGTGGACGCGAGTTTGGGAGGGAACGGACTGAAGTATGGGAGTGACGAGCAAGGAGATTTTAGGAAGTTGTCTTAGACAATCGAGTTGCAAGACCCCGTGGGACCAGAGCAAAGCCAAGAATGTGGAGCCTGAGGGTCTCGGCGTGACAATCCGGGGCGCAAGCCTAGGGGAGGAATAAAAGATGTGGATCTCGACACCCACGTACTCCGTACGTATCTCTGGTGGTGGCGATGCAGAATGGAGACAGCTTGACAGCGTCTAGATCGGCGTGGCGGGGGATGCGAGGGCGCGGGCTCTACCAGCACGGACAAAGAAGAAAAGATATGGGGCTGCTGACGATGGCAGGTGGTATTATCGGGTCTCAAAGGTACGGTCACGCCGTGGGGAAAGAAGTAATGGGGAAGCAGCCACGGACGAGTTGAACGAGGGGGGCAAGTGACAAGAGTTGGGAAGGACGAAGCGGGCGACTCGGCTCCGGTGCAGGCCAGCAGCGACTCTGTTCGAGTCAATCAAACAAACTCAATTGATGCGCTGGAGGGATGCACGCACGAGCTGCGGCCAGAAGAACAGGTGAAACGAACGATGCAGTCCAAAAGGAAGGGCTGCGAGGGAAGGGAGGCGTATTTGGATCTGGGCTGCTGGTGCAAGCTGCTGGTGCAAGCTGCTGTTGTGAGTTGTGAGGCGGAAGGAGGGCAGGTTGGTGCTGCTGGCTCCTTCACTTCTTTGTGCCGGCCCGTTGCCATCGGCCGCCTGCAAAAATAGCAGGCACAAGCCACGCTGCAAACTCCCGTGGTTCGAGCTCAGGGGGTTTGACAGCAAGCTGAGGGGCCCAAAGGGGAATGGCGACGTCTTGCAGCTTGTTTCAACAACCCTGGCACCCGCTGGTGATTGGCCTGTTGATGGTGCTGGACCCCTGGATCTGGAATCTGGCTGCCGCAGTGCTGTAGAATAGTCTACACAGTCCCTTGCCCATTTGCCCATCTAACCTGCAGCCAACCAACGACGTCCTCGATGCCTCGATGTCTCGATGTCTCGATGTCCTCGCCTGCAAAACCAATACTATAGATACGACACTGTGGCTGCTGTCCCCAGCCGGCCCAGCCGGTCGCCCTGCAGGCCGTCCAGGCCGTTCTGTCATCCCAAAGGAGGGCCCAAGGAAAGAGCCTGCGGGTGTCTTTGTTGCTGGCCGGGCCCCTCGCCCGGCCCCGAATCCCTAAATTTGGCCATGTGGGGGTCCCTATAGCTGGGGTTGATATCGTCATGCGCCGCAGCCCTGCCAGCCTGCCAGCCTGCCAGCTTCGGCAAGAAAAAAGTCTAATCGTAGGGCCGATCCAACACGAGTTAGCAATTCCCGGTTTTTTTGGTTTCTGGTTTTTTTTTCCCTTTGGCTGGGCACCCAGGCACCGTCTCCATCCACTCGTGTTCCGCCGCCACCCGTACACCGCACAGTACCAGCACAGTCGCCCTTGCAATATCCCCAATGTGATGCGATGCACCTGTTGCTTACCATGGCACATGGCACCTGGGCAGCAGGCTAGACTGCCATACGGAGTTGTGCTGCTCATTGGAGGACGCGGCGCACCTCGGCGGCCAGGGCAAGGGCCCACAAGATCTGCTGCTCCGCACAACATTTGTGGGCTTCGCTTCCGGCCTGTCCACTTGTCCCGATCGCACAGGTGCTCATCTGCCCATGCGCATGTGTTCGACGGAGCCCGCCGTCGCCAGGAATGGGGCCCGGTGGAGGTGACGCTGCGATCTTCAACTCGCCTATCTGATGTTGTGGTTCCTCCCATTCCACAGATCGCGGCGCCCAGTTGTTCCTGAGAGCACAATCTCGATTCGTCACTGGATCAACACGTCGGCCAGGACCTTCAACTGCTACACAGTACACTGCGCACGTGCAGGACGGCCCCGATGAGCCATGATAGTGATCTACAACTTATGTCGTCGATGCCACCCGCACCAGCCCCCTGGCCCCCTCTGCCCCTGCGCAAGTGCCTTGCAGGTTGGCGCGGCTGAAATTCTCTGACAGATCGCGCACGCCACTACGGAGCACGACGTCTGTGGCGTCTGCCGACCCATCACCCATCCAACCATCCTGCCTGCCTGCCCGTCGACTCCTTCTGGCGGTGGAAGTTAGTACCTAGCATTTTGGCGTACAATATACATCATTGGCGGGTTAGAGAACAAAAGCCCCGGAAGGGCAAGCATTCAAACACGCGATGCTCGTTCAAAGCTGCTTAAGTGCCCAGGTGATCGCAATCATTCTTCGCGCATTGGTTTCCGGCCGAACCTACAACTTTCACACATTTCGAGAACGCCTCACCAGAAGCAGGGCCAGCGTGTTATCCAAACCTTCTCGCCGATTTGAGCAGTGCCTCTTCACTTCCTGGGTCTACAGATTCTGCTTTCCGTGGTCTTTTTTTGCCAGAGGCTCGGAAGCCCGCCCTCCCAAGGCGTCGGAATTGCAGAACGGGTGAGAGGGTCATGTAAGGGAACCCGTTGCTTCACAAGGTGGTAACACCCAATCAAGGCACTGCGCCTTGCCCAATGTCAAGCAAAAAAAGCCTGGTGGTAAAGCTCAGAGGCCAGGCCGGAATCCTCTCCGGCACTCGGGTCGGGATCCAGTTCCAAGCCTCAAAATTGCCGGCCTCACACGCGTCCCCACCGTCAGACTTGACTCAGTCCCCTCCGTCATGGAGTGGGACTGCCGGTGCCTCCTCCCATCTCCCATTTGTTAGGTCGGTGGCCTGACAGTCAACCGCCTGCACAACCCAGGACCAGAACCCTACAAGTGGACTCTGGCACCACACTCCAACGTCATATCTAGATGAGCCCAATCCCAGGCACCCCACTGTATTTGCAGAGCAAGGCCTGAATCGATGACTATGTAATGAGATTTGCTACGGATAAAATGGGTGTTCCTGTCATCCAGCAGGCATATCCTCGTTTCCTAAAGGGGCATGGATGGGTTCTTCACGGCTGGTGGCCGCCATGAGTAAGTCTTGTGTTGTGCTGCCCAGGTCTTCTTAACAGTATGTCCCGACCAGCCTCTTGAAATGGAATTATGAAATGGAAAGCCATTGCTCCGCAACGCCCTTCTTGACCGTTGCCGCCGTTGATGGTCATGTTGCACTCGTGCAAAAGTCATGTCGACGAGCGATAGCAGCGCCGTGACCTCGGCCTTCCTTGGACAGCCGCCTGACAACATGGGCGACTACCACATCGTCCGGGGCATATTCCGCTACTATGGCTTGTATACCGCCAACGCGAGCCTGGGCTATGTGCCCGCCTATGTGACCCCTGCCGAGTTCACGCACGACTCCAAGCAACCAGCCATCATCGCTGGCATGGCCATAGTGATGATAGTCATCGTCGCTTCTACCGCCTTCAGGCTTGCCCTCAGGGTCTTCAAGCCGGTCCTCCACTTCGGCTGGGACGACTGGACTGTCCTGCTTGCATCTGTAAAGCCCCCTTCCCCGTGCATGGGCAGACTAAGTCTGTGCGGAGGATAGGAACCCTACATTCACAGCATATTAACCACATCTACAGTGCATGGCCGTTACGTATCCCGTCTATCAAATTGTCATGATCAAAAACGGAGGCGGGGGCCTTCATACGTGGGATGTGACATACTCTCAGTTCGAAACATTCTGGTACTACGGCACCGTGTCTCAACTCACCTACTACGTCTCCGTGGGACTGATCAAGGTCTCCATCACCCTATTTATCCGCCGCCTGGTCGACAAGTCACACTCACGGTGGAAGGTACTTACGGCAGACATATTCCTTGCCACGCTGATTGCGTATATTCTACTGGCCGTCTTCTGGTCCGTCTTCTCGTGCACCGACCGACCAGCAGCATCGTTCAGCGCCCGCTATGCCGGGACCCTAGCTACCCCGGCTACCTGCGGCAACGTCTATGCTCGTGCCTGGACGATGAGCGTCATACATGTGGTGCAACAGGTAGTGCTACTCTCCAGCCCGGTTGTGATCCTCTGGACGGTGCGCATGGATGCGTATAAGAAAGCCCGCCTGTTCACCATCTGGATCGCCGGCGCCATCAGCGTCCTTGGCGGCTTGCTCCGTCAGACGCAGTCAAATGATGAATATGCATCCGACATGATGTGGAACTATACGGGCATCCTTATGTGGACCAGCGTCGATCTCTGCATGGGCCTCGTGGCGGCCAACCTGCCGGTCATGGATGCCTTTATCTTCGGGTCGTGGGTGAGCCCAAAGACGGCATATGGCCCGGGAGCAATGGTCTCGGGGCGCTCCGGCCAGGATGTCGAGTATGGCAAGGCAAGTCGGGCGACCACGTGGGCTGCAACCAACAAGAGTCTGGCGGGGCTGAATGAAGACGACAACCGTGATTGTTCAACCGAAAACATCATCCGCATCGACCACGAGGTTGAGCTGTCTCACATGCCGGCTAGTTCCCGCGATGATAGTCACAACAGCAGTCCTTGCGCTTGTGCAGCATTATCAGCAAGGGTGTGAGTCGAGGCAGGGGAACTCAGGCGATAGATAGAATGCGCGATGATCGTATCAAATTCTGAATGTCGCGCTTTCACACAAAACCATCCTATGTTCGATGAATCAGCAGACATTCTCGGCAAGTTGATCATTTTGCCACACGTTCATTTCAGCATCATACCTCTTTTAGGATAGTGGTAGGGATGTAGATTCGATGGGCACCTGTAATACTGTCAGCATCTCTATCAATACCATGTGAAATCAGGGTAAAACTTATCCCAAAGGTAAAAAGGGGGGCCACTCTCTCGCCATTGCTGGAGAGAGAGCAGCCGGGACTGCTCTTCACGAGCCCTGTCCCTTTCCAAACGGAGACCAGATACCAGCGTGAGACACTTTCACGAAGCTGCCAGAGGAAGAGCCGACTGTCAGGCCGACAGCAGAACCGGACAAGCACAAGACTTTGACTCCAACTCAGGATGGGTCCCGATCCTGCTGTATGCCAAACAAAAGATTCTCGCCAGGCGCACCGCAATAAGCGAACAGAGCTCCCGAGAATCTGATCAGTGCGTCCCGTGGTACATCACACCCACAACTCGGCCAGAGCCCGCATCTCAAAACGTACCCAAAGAAGCTCTGTCGTCGTAGAAGCACGCGCGCCAAAACCCACTGCAGGAAACTGTGACAAGGGCCACCAGTCGCGCCAGTAAGAAGCTCTTTCCGTGTGATCGCACTGCCAACAAGGGCTAGTTTTTTTATCCTCTCCAGCGGACTACCAAGAACAACGGAGGGCAAGAAGCGCGCAAACAAAAAACATCCTCAAAAACTGCGCTATCGTCTCTCGCGCAGTCCATTTCTGGTAGCTGAGAGGGGTCATGCACATCACCGGGCGGTGGTGAGCAAGGCGTCAGGTGCCTTGGCGACCCATGGGGCAGGGCCCATGGGCTCAAGCTGATGCGCCTGGTCGGACCTCATGCATTGCATGACACATCGGTGGCGGTCGCCGTGACGTGGTTCTGGTGGTGGGATGACATGGACAGCTGGACGTCCACAGCCCAGAGGGACAAGTTGCGAGAGAGGACCGAGGGCATGACGACAAGGCAATTTGCGTCGATCGCACGACATTCCTGTGTGAGGCCGTCTGACCCTTGCTGCCCCACGACCAGCGCGGAGGTTCAGGCAAGGCGAGTCAGAGGCACGCGCACTGGATTTGGGAATGTCCAAGGATTGACCGTATGAAGCCTGTGCCGTACCCTTCTCAGCCACAACAAGATGGCAGCCGCGGCAAGCCGAAGCTGCAGACGCGCGCATCCCTGTGTCTGTGACCACGACACACCAGAACGACCCATGATGGCCAGAGTTCAAAGCCCAGATGTCGATACCTGACGAGCGACCCCTGGCCTGAGGTTCTTACCTTTGCGACTCATAGGTACCGACTTCTCACGCGTCCAGAGAGGACGTCTGGGGAATCTCCGCCGCCTTTCCATCCTCCATGCCCTGATCAGCCCAAAAACCACTTTTCAGCGGCATGGGCGTCCCAGGAAAGACACATTGGACTTAGAGGGCGGCTCGGACGAACAGGACACGCAATACACCAACAAATAGATTAGGGTTAAGTTCCGAGACGCGTACCCTCGCGTGGGACTGGCTTGCCAGTTGCTGACAACCGTGGCACAATAGACCAGAGCGCGGCGATCATCGAGGTTCCTGATACAGGTACGAGATGCGACGTATTGTGATGACCCAGCCCAGCAGAGGGGTCCCAGGAGGACATTCCTTGCGGAAAACGAGGATCGGAGAACTGTAGGGGAGGCGCCGTGCGAATGGTCGCAAAGGTTTGCGAAAGAGCTTCGTCCTGGCGCGGGTCTGGTGGCGTCTGACACTCCGCGCCCTGCGTATCGTGATGGAGAATCAGCAGATGAGACAATCTCAGACAGAGCGCCGGGGAATTGAATGGAATTGCGACAGTGGTAGAAGTTGCGAGGCAGTGTGAAGACCAGTGTTGGGATGGTGATGATAACTCATGACCGATGTAAACAGTGGGTGATGCGTTCCAGAGCACCGAGCAGTGGTGGGTGCAGCGCTGCGACGCGTCGAAGAGCGCTAACCCGAAAGAGGTCCTAGCGCAGCCGCGAGCCCACGTGGGTAAATGTCGAACGCCTCCCTCCATGCTCCACTCGTGTACTGCGGTGAAGTTGCAGGGGGGGGTGGGTGAGTAACATCCTCAACAGCAATTTGCCTTCGGCTCGGGCAATCTTTGCGTTTTCACCCAATTCCGCCACGTGAGGTGGTGCTTCACAGTGCTCACAGAACTCGCAAAACTAAAACCTTGTCCCTGATCTGATCAATCTACTCCGGTGATCACACAGCCCTCCAACGATGGATCAAGGCGAAAAGGTCAGGCATGGCCGCGAGGCTCTGATGGAAAGGCTCATCGAGTTGGGCACACGGGCGTCGAGACCAGATGTGGACGAGGACACTCGGCAGCAGGCTGCGCAAGAATTTGATGACTTCGTATGCAGGGCCGGGACAGTCTCCCTGATCCCAGCGCTCAACTTCCTCATCCAGCCAGGACGGGTGCCACCTGAGCTGCGCGTCAAGCTCATGGGAGTTCTTACCCAGATTCCCTTGAGGCCTGATGGCGTGCGTGCAACCGTCGAATTCGTCTTCTCCGTGCATCCTTCGAGCACCCTCACTTCCCCGGACCAGGCCAAGCCCCAAAAGGAAGGGGCCAACATCACCCACGAGGCTTTGAGCATGGCCGCCAAGCTCATCGCCTACCCTCCCAAGGCCGTTTCCCCAGACACTTGGTACCAGAAAGTGGCACCGCAGCTTCTCTCGTTGCTGGATGGCCAGGAAGGACCGGAGCTCATGAAAGTGGGAGCGTTTGTCATCGGCTTCGGGATTCTTGGCCGCAGACAATCTGGCGCTCCCGGGACGGCCGGCTGGAGAGCTGTCGCGGAGCCAATATTGAGTCCAATCAGCCCCTCGTCTGCAGCAGCGTCGGCCTGGAGTGCCGATTCCGGTAACATTATAGACCTCAGCAAAGAGAGGGTGCTTGTCTCAGCTCAGGAATTGGCCCAGGCCCTGTTCCGTCTGCAGGCCCTCCTCATCTCACATCCGAACCCTAGCCTGTCCAAGAGGCTCTTACATCCCATCATCCTCCCCCTCTGGGCTCTTGCCAGCTCTGTCCGCCCTCAGTCACACTGTGAGGAACGGTACTGCCAGCCCGCGCAGAACCTGCTTCGCATTTATTTCAAACTCGCTGCTGGGCCACAGAATATAGACATTGTAATCCAAAATCTCCTTTTCAAAGGCAGCCTCGAAAGTGGCTCTGGTTGGAGATTCAAGGAAACAACCAACGGGAACGTTGAAGTTGTCCAAGCCCGAGAGGCTCTTCACCGTGATGCCGCGCAACACAAGTGGTCAGAAATTGAGCCAAAAGTCGAGTCTCTGATTGAACTGATCAAATCCGTATGCTCGGCGGAAGATGTTTCCTCTATCTTCACAACATTATTCCGCCGTTGGTTCTCAGCGAACTCGAAGAAAATCGACTCGGTGCTCGTGGTCAAAGCCGATGAGTCTGGAGCAGATCCCATCGATCAGTTGGTACAGGTCAAGATGCTTCAAAGAATGATGGATATCTTCCCATCGCAGTTGGCAACTGGATCTGACTCGATCTTGAGAATGGTGGAGCCCATATTGAAACAGGGGGCCGGTGAGGGGGACGACGAGACGGTGCCAGTGGCTCTCAGTCTTCTCAATATTGTCGTCACAGCCCCAGGTTTTCTCAAAGCCAGGACAGACCAGAACCTCGTCCAGTCCATTGAATCGTCACTGGGCGTGCTGGGAAAGGCAGATCTTGGAGGCACGTCTGCAACAGCCAAGAACCTTGAACTCCTGCTCAGATACCGGGATGAGCTTGATGGCCCGTCCGAAGTACCACCCATTCCGACATCACGCCAGATCCAAGACCGCAAAACCTATGACCTGGCCCTTTCCTACATTACCCAAGCAGACTCGCCACCGCCCGTACGTGCCGAGGGGCTAAGCCTTCTCCAGTCCCTCATTGTCGAGAACAGTGCCATCCTAGACATTCCTGCGACCCTCGTCCTCATGTCCTCACTACTACAAGATGACGACGACTATATAAACCTGCGCTTGATCAAGATGTATACACAGCTTGCACATAAGCACCCTAAAACCGTCACTGGAGATCTTGTGGAGCATTATGTGGACGCCGACGAGAGGGCGAGCATAGACCAGCGCCTACGTTTCGGCGAGGCACTACTGCAGGTGATCGAGCGGCTCGGTGAAATGTTCACGGGCGACACAGCGCGGCAGGTCGCGGAGGCGTTGCTGGCCACCGCAGGCCGACGGGGATACCGGCCCAAGACCGAAGAGAAGCAGCGGAAAGAGGAGAATCTCAGGCTGAGGAAGCAGCAGCGTGCCGAGAAGGAGTGGGGAGGCGACGTACCTGACCTCGGCTCAGATGAGGACGAGACGGAGGCGGACCGGGCGAATAAGGAGGTACTGACGCAGATCGTCAGTGGCTGGGACAGCAAGAAGGGTAGCGAAGACATCCGCATCCGCGGGTCCGCACTGTCCATCCTCGCCGTCGGCATCGAGACCAGCCTAGCGGGAGTGGGCCCGACCCTCATCACAGCTAGTGTCGACCTATCCGTCAATGTCCTCAAGGTCGAGACTGGAATGGAGGCTGGTATACTGCGCCGGTCAGCCGTACTCGTTATCCTGGCCTTCGTCAGAGCGCTCAACAGTGCCAAGGAGCAGGGCAGGCGCCTGGGATTCGGGTTGACGGAGCAGAGCCAGAAAGATATCGGGACTGTGTTGCGTTATGTTGCGGCTACTGATAATGACGGCCTGGTCAGGCAGCACGCGAGTGACGTGGTCGAGAGTCTAGACAATTGGAAGCTTGGGTCTCTTGTTTCCCAGGTGCAGGAGCAGACCCCAGCGACGACCCTGACCAGGCTGGCGGGGTTGAGTGTTGATCCTCAACACGCAGCCTTAGCAGACCGACCTTCCTCAAGGCCTAGGATCGAGGAAGTCGAGTGAGAACAGCCTGGAATAGTTTGGATTCCCATCCACCATCTCACGCAATAGCATCTTCGCCGTCCACTTCAAGATGTGCGTGTGCGTGTGCGCGTGCGCAGAAGGGGTTTTCCGATCAGGGCAATCTACTTGGTATGATGCGTGCTGAACACCATGGCCTTCTTACCACCGGGAGCACAGTGCTTGTGCAATAGCAGCAAGTTTCAAAAACAAATTGATTCAACTTGGCCCTTAATAAAAGGGGCAGGCAAAGCATTTGAAATATTGGTTCTTTGAAGTAGAGTCCCCTGCCTCGTAACTAGATACAACCCGGATCCATCATATTTACAACCCAGAATGGAAATGAATTCCGCAAAACTGATGTTTCCTGCCCTTTAGGCGTACGTGGACGGGACCAATGAGTTGATGTAGACCTCGATGTTGGCATACCCAGACTCGCTGATCTTCATCGCGTCGGCAGCGTCATTGGGGTCCAGCCCATTCGCAGTCTCCCAAGCATCGGGAATACCATCGCCGTCAGTATCCTTGGGCGCTGTGCCTCCCAGGATAGTACCAACACCACCGACCTCGTCCTCGTTGGAAATAAGCGCGCCACCCTTGCCGAAGCTCCGCACCTGTTCGACCAAGAGCTGATCGACGGAATCCCTCGCGGGGTAGGTCGCGCCGGTGCTGTTCAGGACAAATTTGACGGCTTCCTCGGGGGTGAGAAGCTGGGCAGGAGCCGAATAATCGTATTGCGTGGTGACAATGTCCATATCGCTGTAGCAGGTCGTTGACTCGCAGAGCGCTGAGCCGTCGAGCTTCCCGTTTCGGTCCGAGTCGTAGAAATTGTTAGACACGAAGCCGTGGAAGTTGGCATTGCCGCGGGTGAAGGCGGTGACAGACGTAGAGGGTCCAGAAATGAAGTAGTTGTTCACGATGTTGGCGTAGCTCTGGCCGTCACCTCCACTCGCAATGTAGCCACCACCGCCGCCCCAATTGTAAATAACATTGTTCTGGAAGTCGTTCACACCCTTGACCTTCGGGTTGCGCGTCTTGTTATCAATGTACAAGTCTGTATGTGTCAGTCGCCTGCTGCACATGCCAACGTGGCGCGTTCTGGAACATGCCAAAACATGAAAGAGGGTGGTGCGCAAAGGGAATCGAATGGTACTGACTTCGGAAGAGGCTGATGCCGCCATCAGTCTGCATGAGACCACCACAGCTGTGCGTCTCGAGGCCCTGAGCAATTATGCTGTTCTGAATGGTGATGTTATGGGCGTCGCCATTGATGCTGAAGGTCTCATCACGGCCCCACGAGACGGAGACGTGGTCGAAGATGATGTTCTTGCCCTCTGCAATTCCCGCAGCATCCTTTCCGGAATCACCACCACGTCCCATGCGGACTCGAAGGTATCGCACGATGCCCTCGTTGGCATTTGACCAGGACATTCCGTTTCCGTACACGGTAATTCCCTGTCCAGGTGCAGTCTGCCCTGCAATGTAGATGTTTTTGCCGACTGCAATGCGCTCCTCGATCTTGATGACGCCGCCGACGTCGAAGACGACGATACGGTTATCCTTGGACACGGCATCACGAAGGGAGCCAGTACCGGAGTCGCTGGGGGGACATGTCAGCCGTGCAAGGAATGAGTCGGTGCAAGAGATGTCCTCACTCGAGGTTTGTTACGTGGTAGACCTCGCCAGTCCGTCCTCCGACGGCGTTCCGGCCGAAACCCTCGGCTCCGGGAAAGGCGAGCAGTGCGGAAGCACCCGAGGCGCAAGCTGCCAGGAGGCAGACAGGCTTTGAGAGCTTCATCTTGTTGAATGAAAAGAAGGAACGCTCCAGGCGGACGGAACAAAAACAACTACGGAGGGAACAAGTAGAGGCAGAGCAGAGATATGGGTTGTCCACGTCCCACGACTTCGTGAGCGGCAGAGGCGCGCGGGTGCACCAGGGGCTTCATGGTACTTATTAACTGGCATGCGACGGCGCTGCAGCCCGGGCTGGTGGTGAACTCGGTGGTGCCCCCGAGCGGCAAGGGGTGGGTCAGGAGGGCCTGGCGAGCTCCTCCGTAATAGCGAGATGGTTGCAGGAGCACCGAGGGCCCAGGATTGCCAAGCTCGTGATGATGTACGTGAAACAAAGTCGACTGGAAACAAAACGACCAACCTGCCCGCCTGCCTGATGCGGGCTTCTCTGCCCGCATCAGGAGTGCCCACTGAGCAGAATTGGGCAAGGGACTCACTCTCCTCCGCAGCAGCAGTTTGATGGGTGGGAAATTGCGGCCGATCCTCGTTTGGGCACGGAGACGGAGACGGAGACGGAACCAAGCGACATTCTGGACCTGTGTGTTGCACTCGCTCCACCTGCTGGGGAGGGTCATGACCGGGTGAGGGTTAGACCCTGGGCACTTAACAAGTGCGTGCCTACCAAGGTACCAAGATACCTAGGTACCTAGGTACCTAGTGAGTGACGCGTCTCCTAGGAGCAGGCGCGTCTCCCAGGCTTTCCAGCGTCAAGTACACAACCCCTCCAACCTTTATCCGGTTCACCGGTCATGTGCCCGAGTCCACCACAATCGCAACCATGCCGGACCGCAAGGTGATAGATGACTCTGAGGATGAAGATGCCGGTTTCAGTCCCATCAACAGCCCGGCCAAAGACCGGGTTGCTGCACCAGACTGCGCGATCGCGTCGGGAACCGATGCACCCATTGACCAGCGGTCAACTGATCCGGAATTCTTCCAGCAAATCTACGAGGGTCAGCAGCATGTTCCCAAGTCCCCGTGCGGCAGCACGGTCGACGATGTCTCCCCAGACAAGCAGAAGAGCTCGGACCCGAGTGCGAAGAACTCGTCCTCCATCACCGATCCCACCCTAGAGCATTCAAAAAGGGCAAAGGCGGTCACAGGTGCAGGGGACTTGACCAATCTCACCCAGGTCACAACCCCCAGGCACCATGGATCAGACGTCTATGATTTCCCCATTAGTGATGGGGGACAAGATGATGAAGCGAGATCCAAGACCAAGTCGAGAACTACCAAGACCTACGGCAAGCGCAAAAGGGGACAAACTGTGGCATCGGCAGCAGTGCCCCCAAGCTCAAGCCCGGCACAAGCCTCAGCGAACGACCAGCTGTCGTTGACGCATATTCACGACGAGGAGGATGCATGGCCGAGATCTGCGCGGAAGAGGAGACGCAATGGTACCCAGAAAGCCGTGGATGCCCTCGACGAAGACGTCGACTTGCTTGTTGTCCCCAGGACAGCAGAGACAGTACAGTATCCACAATCACAGGGAGAAAGTGGCTGTCAAGATGCTGCGATTCCTGACACTCTCAACGAGCATCAGGACACTGCGAACCACATGCCAGCATCATTCTTCATTGCGCCTCCAAACCGTCTCACTGTCAGTCAAAAGCAAGAGTACTTGCGCATGAGTGGGTCTTCGGAGCCAGATGAGCATACGAACGGGAAGCCCTCGCCCTTGCCCCACCCTGAGACACAAGCGCAAAAGCTGCGCAGCAGTGAGGCTACTATTGCCTATACGACACCGAGTCGATATTGCTCATCTGCTCCAGGGTTCCCGGAGCTCCCAGAGGATACTGGTCGCCATGGCTCAGGGTCGACGACTTCTATGGGTAGGAAAGCTCGGGATCGCATTGTTGATTGGACCGGGGTAAGCCCATCTCATTCCCCCGGCTAATAACGGGCCATTTCTATGTCGGGCGATAACTGACAGTATCAGCCTCATTCGTCACCAGATGAGCTCAGCTCGCGTGCCCTGGGCCAACTGAGTCCTCAGAAGAGGCAGGAGAAGAACCCTGGCCAGGGCGACAAGCTGGGACAAGACGACTGGGACTCTGATAAGATCGGGTATTCCCGGGAGCAGTATAATCCAAGGCCAAGTAGGAGAAGATCAGGAATCGACCAGAATGAACAACCGACGAGAGCTGTCGCGGGTGTCGCGACGATTAAACACCAGAAAACATGCGGCTCCCCCGATGCGGTTCACCACGATGTATGGGACTCCGATAAGATAGGGACCCACCGGGAGAACTACAGGCCTAGGCCCAGCCGTCGGAGATCGAAGGCAATTCTCGATGCGGGAGACAAGGAGCTGGTGATGCCGGAACAGTCCATGCCGGACACTTGCCCTCCCGGCCCAACAGTCACGGAAGGAACGGAGAATGCGGAGCCAATTCTCGACACATCGGGACACCTGGCGCCACAGAATCAAAATGATGCGATCGAGGGAATTGACCCAAGTTATCTCGCAGCGTTGCCGGACGATCTTCGTCAAGAGGTGATTGCTGATCAGTTGGCCCGCAAGGCATCACGGACTAGAGGTCGTGGTCGCCCGAGTCAGGGCGGGGAGAGCCTGGTAAAAGTTTCTGGGGCAACACCACAACGCGTGAAGAGAGGAAGAAAGAAGAAGGAAATGCCAGAAGGGGATGCACCGACCATGGTAGAGGAGGCAGTCCCAGGCTGTGCTGCTGCAACGACTCCTGCAGCAGGCAAGAAGAAAAGGGGCAGACCTAAGAAATCATGGACACCGCAGCCACCTCAACCCTTCGCAGCAGATGACTATCACTCGTTCGTACCAGAGACAGACGGCACGCTTGGTATAGCAAATGGAGCGGATACAGTGGAAGGTATACCATCTCGGGAACAGGAAGATGCGCCTGTGCCGTCGAAGGCGCCGTCGAAGATGGGCCGCAAGAAGGTAGCACAAGAGACGTCTGCAGTCCCCGAGGAAGGAACCAACGTCGTTGGCAGGGACGACCGAGAGGCCACGAGAGGGGCCAAGGCCTCGTCCAAGAGAGGGCGGAAGAAAAGCGTGGTTGAAGAACCATGCTCAGCCGAAGACTTGAATGAGCATAGTGATGGTTCCCATCGGGCGCTGGAAGTTGCGAGCGATGCGGATGAGCATCCCAAAGCCAGCCCAAAGACGAAGCGCAAGGCCCTGACAGATATCAGCAACACTGCGTCCTCTCAGAACCCGGCGCATGAGAACGATGGGAAACTAGGAACGACTTCGGGGTCGGCCATGAAAATGGCAAAAGAGACCACGCCAGAGGTCAAAGCAGAGGAGAACCCGAGGTCTGCCTTAAGCTCCGCCAACCAACAGGGTAAGGTACCGTTACGGGTGGGGTTGAGCAAGAGATCGAGGATTGCGCCGCTGCTGAAGATCATCCGCAAGTAGTGACAATCAGGCCGCCTTGCTCGAGATTCGGCTTCCCATACCAATATTATCCGCTTGCCAGACTTTTTCAAGACGTGTATGTTTTATGCTCTTGCTGTCAGAAAGGGCCGTGGTGTACCAAAGCACAAAACCACAGTTGCGGGGTGGAGCGAACCGTGGATGAGTTGACGCCGAAACTAGTTTCCCACGAGTGCATTAGTTTGTTAGGTAACCTTTGTCTTCGCCTGCAATCCCAGCCTACCCAAGTACTTGGTAGGTGTGGCATGTGGGCAGGTGGGCTGCCCTTGCAGGTTCGCAGGTTGGCAGGTTGGCAGGTTGTTGCTGCGGTGTCAATGCTTGTTCCAGCGTGCCGCCAAGCCGGTGACACCGTGCACTCCGTGGGCCGGGTAGCAACCCCAGAGATAGGCCAGCCGCCTTCGCCGGGCCGAAGCCGGCGAGGAAGCTGTGGATTTTCTCGTTGCCAGCCAGACAGAGTCATCGCTACCGCGGGGTCCAACCTCCCACCATCTGCCAACCTCCGCCCCTTCTGCATCAAGACCTGGTCAATTGTGCACAGGACGTTTCCTCCAAGAAGGCCCATCTTTCGTATCTGACTTTCGGCCATCATGTCTAACCAAGAAGGGGCCAATGGCGCCTCCAACGGCACCCACACCCAGTCTCAGCGGTACCTTAGCACCCGCGGGGAGGACAATGACGTGCGACTAACCACCCTCTTCCCACCCCCCACCCCTACACGTCTCGTTGCCTCTCCCTGAACGTTGCGTTCGCTGCCCTGTCCATTGAAACTGGCTGACCTCTGGGTCGTAGCTGTCCTTCGAAGATGTCGTGCTCAAGGGCCTCGCCACCGACGGGGGCCTATACATCCCCGAGGAGATCCCGCAGGCAACCGGCTGGGAGAGTTGGAAAGATCTGCCATTTCCCGAGCTCGCCTTCAATATCCTTTCGCTCTACATCTCCCCCTCCGAAATCCCGGCCGACGACCTCAGAGGCATCATCGACAGGAGTTATGCCACCTTCCGCCACGAGGATACCACCCCCCTTCGGCATCTGCAGGACAATCTGTTCCTACTGGAGCTGTTCCACGGGCCCACATTCGCATTCAAGGATGTGGCTCTGCAATTCTTGGGGAATCTCTTTGAATACTTCCTGACAAGGAAAAACGAGGGCAAGATCGGAAGAGGTGAGGCCCAACACGTCCAGGCAAGACGCACGGCAGCGTGCGGGCTGGTCCTCTAGATCAGGGGTTAACATCAAATCACGCACAGATCGGCATCACCTGACGGTGGTCGGCGCAACGTCCGGCGACACAGGTAGCGCCGCCATCTACGGCTTGCGCGGCAAGAAGGACGTCTCCGTCTTTATTCTGCACCCCAAGGGGCGTGTCAGTGCGATCCAGGAGGCCCAAATGACCACTGTCCTCGACAAGAATGTGCACAACCTCGCCGTCACAGGCACCTTCGACGACTGTCAGGATATCGTCAAAGCCCTGTTCGCCGACCCCGACACCAACTCCACTCTCAACCTCGGCGCCGTCAACTCCATCAACTGGGCTCGCATCCTCGCCCAGATAGTCTACTACTTCCACGCCTACTTCTCCCTTGCCAAGTCGTCACAGAGCTTCAACCTCGGCGACAAGGTCCGCTTCGTGGTGCCGACGGGCAACTTCGGAGACATCCTGGCTGGCTACTTCGCCACGCGTATGGGCCTACCGGTCGACAAGCTCGTGGTGGCGACCAACGAGAACGATATCCTCAACCGCTTCTGGCGAACGGGCCGATACGATAAGAAGCCGGCTGCTGTCCCGCCCGAGGCCACGGGAGGACTTTCGGCGGATGGCGTCAAGGCCGACGAGAGCGGCGTCAAGGGCACTCTGTCACCGGCCATGGACATCCTAGTTAGCAGCAACTTCGAGCGGCTGCTGTGGTTCCTGGCTTACGAATTCGCATCGGCAGCCGGCATGGACGATGAGTGGAACAAGCGGCAAGCGGGCCAGGAGGTGGCAGCGTGGCACAAAGACCTCAAGGCGAAGGGCGGGTTCAGCGTATACAAGGCCGTCCTTCTCTCAGCACAGCGCGACTTCGAGAGCGAACGTGTCGACGACGAGCAGACGGTGGCTACCATCAAGGACTTTTATGGCCGTCTTGGGTACATTCTTGACCCACATTCGGCGGTCGGAATCGCGGCGTCGCTGAGGTCTGCCGCCCGCACAGGTGTCGAGGTGCCGCACATCTCACTGGCGACCGCGCACCCGGCCAAGTTCGCCAATGCTGTCGACAAGGCTCTAACGGGACTGGAAGGCTACGATTTCGAGACCAAAGTGCTGCCCAAGGAATTTGTGGGCATGCACGAGCGGGAGAAGAGGGTCGCGTTCGTGGAGAATGACTGGAAGGCAGTGGGCGAGCTGGTAGAGAAGCAAGTGGAGGAGGAGCTCAAGGAGGAGGAGCAGGCCGCACGGGCGGAGATCGAGGCGGCCAAAGAGTAAAGAGGATACTGACTAAGGGCCGGGGGTGGTCGTTTCATGCATGATGCTTTGATGTCCCGACGGTGTTATCTCGAGAGGGTGGTAGTCTGCATAGAGAATACTCATGGCATGTTTCGCCAATACTATACGTAGCAAAGAAGAACTGGTCATTCTGCGATTCTACCATGTTGCCCCCTCCTTACATGCAGTCCCCCCTCCTCGGGGGGCCGAAGCGGCCTCACTATTCCTTACTTACCTAGGCAGTAGAATGAATATTTGCACCCTTGCTGTAGAAAATGTAATCAAATGCAATCTACTTATGCAATTGAGTCTCCTGCGTCTTAGAATCCTGTTGCAGCGCGGCTTATGGTCAACCATACAGATCAAGCACAACCTTATCGACCTGCCTTGCAGCAAGATTTCTCCTATGTCGCCTACCTAAAGAGACTCAACGGCATGTTGGTTTTTATCGATCTGGGATATGGGATGAGATTATTTTCAATGTTCATGGTAGGCCATGCAATGCTCAGTTTCGATGCCCTGATCGAGCTGATAGGTGCTCGCGACTCCCGAGTTACGTTTCCTGGAGCTTAAAGCTCTAACGACAACTAAGGCACAGGCCTTAAATCGTACGAGATAGCTACCTAGGTACTCAAGTAGTTTTACTTATATTCTCTACATTTTTAAGTATACATATAATGCTCTTATATAGTTTTACTTCTATTCTATATACATTTAAGGATATATATAGTGCCTGTACATAGTAGTAAGCACTTAAAACCTAGCGCTTAGAAAGATTATAATGTAGTTTTATTTCTATTTTAAATATATCTAAGGACATACATAGCGCCTTCATATAGTGGTAATTAATAATAATAGTTATAATACAATAAATACTTATAGCCTCAGCCTTATATATCTTACTCTATACCTATATATTAAAATACTAGAATTTATAAAAAATTTAAAGTCTAAAAGTATAAATAATTAGATTATTAATTAAAAAAATTAGTTATTAAAAGGTATTTATAAAAATATAGTTTTAATTATTTATAAAGCTTATTTATATAATTAATTATAAATTTATATTATCCCTTCCTTAAATAAACTATTTTTAATTTATTTATATAAATTATATTCTTTAATAATACTAATTAGAATACTCTTAAAATTTTATTTCTTTTTTATAATCTATTAAATTTACTTTTATTAATTAAATGAAAATAATATAATAATAATATATTTTAAGGTTTAAGTTTTAATTTAAATTAATTTAAAAGGTTATTAAAATAAAAAATATAAAATATTTATATTTTAATAAAGATTTAATTTTATTATAATAAAAGTTTTAAGTTTAAATTTTAATTTAGGTAATTTTTTTATTTTTAAATTACTTTTATTTTAATTTAAAACTTAATTATTAAATTTAATTAAATTATTTAAATTTAAAAGTTTTATATAATTAATAAAATATTAATAAATAGGTAATAATAATTAATAATAATTAATAAAACTTATTAATTAAAATAGTTATTTAATTTACTTTTAATTATATTAATTTAATAATTTATTTTTATTTTTTAAGTATTATTTTATTAATATATTATAAACTTTTATAAAATATTTATTATTAATATATATTAAAAGAAGTTTATATTATTATATTTATTTTAAAAAATTTTTATTAAAACTTTAAAAATATAAATATTATTAATATAATAAATAATAATTATTTATAAATTATTATAAAAGGATTTATATTTATATATTTATTAATATATTTATAATATTTAATTATTTAAAGTAAAATATAAAAGGTTTTATTTTTAAAAAAGTATAAATTTAATTTCTTAATATTTTAAGTTTAATTATATAATTCCTTATAATTAATACTTTATAATTAATTATTAATTATTTTATAAAACTTTTTTATTTTATAAATTCTTTTATATAAATAATATATAGTTTATAAATTAAAAAGGTATTATTTTAAAGAAAAAATAAAGGTTATAATTATAAAACTTTAATATATAATTATATAATATAATTATTTATTAAATTAAAATTTAAATATTATAATTAAAGTTAATTAGTTATTTATAAAGGATTACTTTTTTAAGTTATTATTTATTTTTAATTTTATTATTTTTTTAATTTATTAAATATAATTAAATATAAATAAAAATTATAATAATAATATTAATTTATAGTAATTTTATTTATAAAATAATTTATATTATTTAAAATTTATTTTTAAAGCTTTAAAATATTAATAATTCTTTTATTAATATAAGTATAGCTTTATAAATTATATTAAATATAACTTTAGTTTTAATTTAATTAATAATATATTTAATTATTATAAAAATAGAAACTTTATTTATAAATATAAAGTTAATTATTTAATAAATTAAAAGTATTAATAGTATAATTAAATTAAAGTTAAAAATATTAAATAGAAAGATTTTATTAATTAATACTTTTATATTTTATAATTATTTATTATATAATAAAGGTAATTTTTAAATATTAATACTTTTAAATATTTTATAAAAATACTTTTAATTATAGTATAATTATAATTAAAATAAAGTTTCTTAATAATTATTAATAAGTTATTAAACTTAAAGATTAAAAAGAAAAAGTTATTAAAAGGGTAGCTTTTATTTTATAAAAGGTTCTTTAAAAGTATTAATAGAGCTAGATTTTATATAAATAATTATTTAAAAAATAAAGTACTTTTTATTTATTTAAGTTAAATAACTTTAAAAATTAACTTCTTTATAAAAATATTTATAAACTATTTATAAATTTATTTTATTAAGTTAATATAATTTATAGATTTATTTTAATAAGTTTTTTTCTTTTTTATTTAAAAGTAAAAGTAATATTTTAAAGATTATATTTTTAAGTAAATAAAATAAATAATTTATAAAAATATTAGTCTTTTAATATAATATATAATATAAATTTTATAATATTTTATAATATTTAAAATATATAATTTAAAAGAGTTAGTTTATTTTAATATTAATAATTTTAAGAATTTATAATTTATTAAAATTATAATTTTAATACTTTAAATTTAATAAAATTAATATTAAAAGCTAATAGAATTTTAAATAATTTTTATTTTTAAATAAAATATTATACTTATATATTAATAAACCTTTTAAAAGTATAAAATTAAATATAAAATAAATTTTTAATTATAAAATAAAGTTATAAAAAGTAATATTAATATAATATTTATTTATATTAAACTTAATTATAAAAGTAACTATTAATTAAAAGTTTTTATAATTAAAAGGTTAATAATAATATTTTTAATTTTATATTATTACTTTTATATTTCTTTTAAAAATATAATAACTTAACCTTTAAAGCTATTAATATAATTTATAAGAGTATTAATTTATTTAAAGTAGTTATTTATTAAATTATAAAGGTATTTAATAATATTAATAAAGTTATAAACTTTAATTATAATTATTAATATAAAATAGTTATAAATAATAGTAATTTTTATTAAATTAATAGTAATATTATCTTTTAAAATAAAAAAGTTAAGAAAAACTTTTACTTAATAAATAAACTAATTTTAAATATATTTAAAATAAAGTTATAAATTATTAATTAAGTAAATATAATTAATATATATTTATAAAGTTACTTTATAATATTTATTTAAATAATAATATTATTTATTAAATTATATATAAACTTATAAAGTTTATAAAAACTTGTTTAATAAACTTTTAAAATATAATTAGGGTATTATAAAGGTTAAATAATATTATTAACTATTTATATAAATTAAATAATATAATAAAAGTAGTTTTTTATAATTTTAAAGTTTAATTAAATATATTAAAAATTATTTTTAAGTTTATAAAAATATATTATTTATAATTTATTATATATTAAATTTAATTTATAATATTAAATATAAAATATATATACTTTTAATATAATTATTTAATTAATAATAATTATAATAAAAGTATTAAATAGTTTATTTAAGTTAAACTTCTTTTTTATATATAATTATAAACTTTTAAATATAAAATAAAAATAAAAATTAAAAACTTTTATTTTTATAAATAAATATACCTTTATAAATTTTAATAAAATTATATATAGTTTACTTTTATAAAAACTAAATTATTTAAAAGGAAAATAAAAAAGTTTATAATTATTTATATTAATATAATAAATAGTTTTTAATAAAATATTTATATAATATTATTTTTATTTAATAAGTTAAGGAACTTTAAGGTATATTTTTAATATAAATAATAACTTAAGGGTTATTTATAAGAGTATTTAAATACTATTTTAAGAGTAGAAAGAAAAGTTTTAATATTTAAAATATAGTTTTTATAATTAAAAGTTTTAACTTATATATTTTAAAGATATTAATTTAAGTTAATTAAAATAAATAAATAAATAAAGGGTTTTATTTTATATATAATATATTATTTATTAATAAAAGATTATTTTTAAAAGTAAGTTTATTTAAAAATATATTATTAGGGATTATTTTATAAAAATTATAAAATTCCTTAAAAGTTTATTAATTATAATAAATTTTATAATAATAAGAATATTCTTTATAATTAAAAGGTTAATATTATTAATATTATTTATTTATATAAAGTTTATAAAAAATATAGTTTAAACCTTATTATTAGAGATTTAAAGTAGTAATAGGTTTAAAAGCTATAATTAAAAAAGTATAAAAGTTATAATTATTAATAAATTAAATATTAAAAATTATAAGGTATTTTTATACCTTTATAAAGTAGTTTATTATAAAAGGGAATAGAAGATTATTAATACCTACTTTTATATAAAAGATACTTTAATAGTCTTAATTTTTAAATAAATATTATTAAAAATTCCTTTTAAAAAGTTTTTAATTTTATTATTATTTTTATATAGAAAGTAGGGTTATAATATTTCTTTTTTACTTAAAGTTATTTTTAATAAAATAAACTTAAATATTCTTTTAAAAATTTACTTTAAAATAACTTTAATTAATTATTTTATTATATTAATTTATAATTATATTATATAATTAATTAAATAAACTAAATTATTTATTATTATAAAGAATTTCCTTAAAAGTAATATTTTAATTAATTAATAGATTATAAATATTCTTAAAGAAAGTAAATTTAACTTTATAATTCTTTATTTAATAGCTTTATTTATTATAATTAAAGTAAGTATTATTTTTTAAACTATAATAATATAAAAATTAATATTTATTATTTATATATTATAAATTAAGTTTTAAAAATAAAGTAAATAATTTATTTATTAATTTATAAATTAAAGATTATTAATTATATTAATATAATATTAATTAATTTAAATTATATAACTTCTAACTTTTTAATAATACTTTAATTAACCTTTATATAATAAAAGAGGATAGTTATATTATAAAGTTAGACTATTATTTTAAAAATAATAAAAATTTTTATTTAATTATTTTATTAATATAAATCTTAATATATTTAATAAGTTCCTTTATAATTATTATAATTATTAATTAAAATAATTTATTAATAATTTTAATATAAATATTTAATTAATTAATAAAAATCTTTTAAATAAAATAATATAAATTATTATAAATTACTACTATAAAAGTAAAAGTTTAAAAAGTATTTTAAAAATATTAAATAAAGTTAATATATAACTTATTTTTATAAAGTAAAAGAGTTAAAAAGAATATAACTTAAAAATAAAGAATATTATATTAATTTAAGATTTATATAATTATTTTTATAAAAATAAGCTAATTTAATTTATTAATAAGTATTTATTTAATAAAATTATTAAAATTATTTAATAATTTTATAAAGATTTTATTTAGTTATAATTTATAAAAGATTATAAAATATAGAATTAAACTTATATTTTTTAAGTTTATTAAAAATAAAAGTATTTATAATATTAAGTTAAAGGTCTTTTAAAAGAAATCTTTTATATTAAAAACTTTAAAAAGTTAAATTTATTAAATAAAATTATTATAAAAAACTTTTATAAATAGATTTTTATTAGTATAATAGGCCTTTATAAAGAGTTATATAATTAATATTAAAGGTTAATTATATTATCTTTATATTAATTTTAAAGGTTTAAAATTATTAAAAGGTTATTATTAAAAATATAAATTTATTAAAATAATAATTTTATTTATTTTATTAATATAGTAAAACCTATATTTTATTAAAATATATAATAATTAAATTAAGTCTCTAATTAATATAATTATTTTAAATAATATAGACTATTTTAATAATTTTAAGTTTAATATTATATTTTTATTTAATCTCTTTAAGTTATTATTTATAATTCTTATTAAATTATAAAAATAAATATATAAAGTATTAAAAGTTTATAAACTTAATATATTAATTAATAAACTTTTAAAATACTCTTTTAATTATAAATTTATTAATAAAAACTTATAATTAATAAGTACTTTTAAAAAAGGTTTATTAATAAATTAACTTTATTAAATATTATAAAGTATTAAATAAAAAATTAATTAAAAATAAAAAATTAATATAAAATAATAAAACTAATACTTATTAATATATTTTTAATTTAATTATAAATTAATTATATTAATAATAATAATATAAAAGAAAAGTATAATACTTACTATTAAGACTTTTAACTAATTTAAGAACTATTTACTTATAAATAATAATTATTAATAAATAAATATTATTACTATTTAATTTAATAAATAAAGTTCTCTTTCTATAATTATTATTATTATTAAAAGTAATTTAGTTTTATATAATTAAAGTATAAATATTTATTTTAAATTAAATAATAATTAAACTAATAATTACTTAAAAGTATATTTAATAACACTAAGGTTAATTATAATTATTTTTATTAAATATAAGGGTAAAATAAGGTTTTTTAATAAAAATAATTATTTTTATATATCTTACTTTATACCTATATATTAAAATACTAGAATTTATAAGGAATTTAAAGTCTAAAGGTATAGATAGTTAGGTTATTAATTAGAAGAATTAGCTATTAAAGGGCGCCTATAGAAGCGTGGTTTTAGCTGCCTGTAGGGCTTGCTTACGTAACTAACTATAGATCCACAGCCTTACGACGCACAGATAAGGCTAAGGGGTACCGTCTTGATGAGTAATGCTCTTATATAGTAGTATAATTTGATTAAAACTTGGTATTTGAATAGTGCCGCTGACTAGAAAGCCGATAAAGCAGTCGAAAGATTTGAAAGCCCGCGTTCACATCCTATCAAAACAGAGTCATAAAATACGAAGTGCATCTCTGCTCGCAACACTGGGACTTGGCACGTCCTGGGTGAGCATCAGGACCCATGCTGGAAGATTGGGCAAATTTGTGTTGGCTCATCCTATATGATTGACAGGCTTTGGCAAGCCATCACATGTATGCCCGCCCCATGCAAATTGCTAAATCACTAGCAGTAGCGATCTTGCTATATTACAGTACTTAGGTAGCTTATCTATCCAAGCTGAGGCCACGTGCCCATAGACGTGCTGTATTCTCTATATACTGTTTTGGTATCGTTCTCTTTTCTTTTTTCAAGGAAACCAAAAATCGCTGGGTCTTGAGCGTTTGCCACTGTATGATGGCGTCACATACGTTTTTTATTCATGGGGATCAGAAACGAAACCACCAACCGCTCTCTCATGCAGATACAAGCAACCGTCAAGAACTCTCGCTCAAGTGAACCTTGTGAAACGTAGTCTCAACTGTAACTCATTGTCGCTTCGGACCATTGAAGAGATCAAATATCCCCCCTTCCCACCCCTGAAAGCGGTTCAACGAGAGAGCTAAGAACATTTGAAGACTGTGACACCCAATCCCTTGTTATTGCGTCAACCGTCTACCTCAGGAGGTATGAGGTCTGCATCCGAGCCAAATTGAAGGGGGCAAATCCATCCAACACGCCTCACAAACTTGGATAGTAGACTTGGGTCCAGGTTTCCCATGACGGGCACTCTGGACCCCATGTTGGTGGAACATTTCAGGTGGGTGCGAATACCAAACCTCGGGAATGCGACAGTAAGCTGACGGTCAGTGGCCCTCGCGGTTTGGAATGCTCCGTCACTCACCGGTCTTGAGATCCTGCAAGGTCTGTCAAGACTCTCTCTGTATACTGTGTGCTGACCGGGACCACCTCAACATGCGTGGTAACCTGCCAAGCTGCATAAGGTTTGTGGAAGCCCCTGACCCAAGCGATATTGCAATCGTGACACAGCGTAGTGCTAGTCCGCATCAGACCGAGAGCTGAAGCATGCAGACAATAAAGCCTGCAAGATAATGGCGATTATCGTGAAGTCTGAGGAACAGCGGCGCGCCAGTTCCGGAGCAGCATTGATAGAACACGGTCAATTGAAGGGGCCGGTCGCAGTGATTTGAGCGGCGATCGGCGTACAATAGCACTGCGACGCTGCCGGTGAATCCTTCCCTGCACCCGAAAGAGAAGGTCCAGATTTGAGACTAGCATCTCACTGCAGATCCATTAGATGCGTGGACTCGTATCAGGTCTTGGCAATAGCACCCCGGTGGCATCGTGTGCGATCCTTCGGGCTGAAGCTCCCCCATAAATGCCCAGGTGCCCACGGCTCGGGCACGCCTTGATGGCCTCGAAGGTATTCAAAAAAGCATAGCAGATCTTAAAAAGGACCCCGTCTGTCTTCCACAGCACAGAATGCTGCTACCAGTGAGCGTTGTGCTCTCCTCGGCCATGGCCGCCACTGCGTGTGTCATTCCGGACGAGCCACTGTCCAACAACATTCCAGAAGGCTTTGCGATCCAACTGCAGAACTCGTCCTTCCCGGATATTCACAACCACTTCCTCAACATCTGGGACTGGGGCCAAGGTGACCAGCATCTTTTCGTCAGCCCCGCCGGCAACTCGACCAACGAGCTGACGCTGGTGGACGGGGTTATTACGCTGCCGTGGAGTCCACCGCGGCGTGCCTGCATCAATGGAGAGTACGAGGTCAAGGACAATACGACCAAGATCTTTATGACGGACCGCAGTGACCCCCGTGCCATCTTCAATGTCGCGTACGGCTGCAACCCCGACACGGACGCGCTGCAGACGGAGCTCCACATTGCCTCCCGAGGTGACCTGGCCCAAGGGGGCACTGTCGGCGTGCGGCCATTCAACTTCATGTACGACTTCCGTTGGATTCCGGAAGGGACCACAGGTGAGATTGTCCTTGCGATGTACAGCCCGGGTTGTGATGGGAGTCTAGCCTGCTCATTTTCTGCCGCTTCACCTAGCTTATGACCCTGATCGCCCGTTTACAAAGGTGACTCTTGTGGTGGTTCATCCTTGATGGCGGACAAGGGCTAGGGGAGGCCAGGGATGGAAGCCTCCTTGCTGGATGATGTGGAGAGGAGTGTCTCACGGACGCGAGGTGGCTGGTAAGAACCCTGGAAGCTCTTTTATAAATGCCCCATGGCGATAAACGGTGGTTCAGTGATGGAAAGTGTCATTTCTAAGGTGCCCTCAGGTGGATGGATGGTGCTGACCGCCATTGTATGTTTTTTAAACGCCGGGTCTGTATGTCTTCGTACGTATAGGGAATAGTGCAACCACTGCACCAGGACCGAGCGGTGATAAGAGTGAGGCCGAATTAAGATGTGGCCCAAGCGCCTTGGCATGCTCGCTGCATGTGGTCTTGTACGCCCGTCTCCATTCCCAGGTACCTAGGTACCTACCTACCTAGGTACCCAGGCAGGTAACTAACCTAGGTACTTAGTAGGTACCTTAGGTAGGCAGGTAGTCAAAATACGGCCTGGTTGCTCACTCAGGGCCCTGGGTCGGCGCTGCTCTCACCTCACGAGCCCCTCACCAGCCTCTCCCAAAACAACTAAACAACACCATTCGGCCCAGGCCTAGGCTTGTCTTTGCCAGATCCTGTTGCTTCCAGGGGCCCAAGATGTGGTAGCACACGGCCATGACCCAACAGCCGACCATGAATCCAGCCCATCGGATATATCTCTAAGATGCCGGGTGAACGATCAAACACGAATACCCCGTTGGGCAACGCCAACACCACCACCACGGCCCAGGCCCAGGCCCACTCCCCCTCCCCCATCCAGCTCATCTCCAAGATCCCCTACATCCTGCCTCACGAGCGCGTCTTCCCAATCCAGATCGGCTCCGAGCTGTACAAGCTCTCGGGCGCCTCGCTCTCATCCGACGGTATGTATGTCTCGGGGCATTCCTGGGGCACTCATGGTGTGCCGTGCTCCCCAGGGCTGAGTACTTAAGTACTGACCCTGCGCAGCACCATCCTACTTCTCCCAATACTTCCTCTGCCAGATCAAGCAGGCCGAAGACGCCGGCCAGGACATAGCCAGCGCCATCCGCACCCTCTACATCGACCGGGACCCCGCCACCTTCAAGGACATCGCCCTCCACCTGCAGGGCTACCACGTCCAGCCCCGCGATGGGACGCACTTTGTGCGCCTGTTCGCCGACGCCCAGTTCTACTCCCTGCCCAAGCTCATCTCCCAGCTCTACGAGGAGTCCATCTTCATCTCCATCGGCCACCGCGAGTTCCAGATCCCCCGCGACTCCTTCTCCGAGCCCGGCAACTCGCCAAACTTCTTCAGCCTCGGCTTCGCCATCTTCTTCAGCAACCCCTCGGCTGACCTGTTCCCCGGCCTGGACCGCGAGGGCCTGATCCGGCCCCCCAGCATCCTGCCCCCCAGCGTCCCCAACCGCAGCGCCGACACCTTCGCCGAGCTGCTGCACCTGCTGAGGGGCTACCCTGTCGACATCCGCTCCGAGGCCCACCGCGCCGCCCTGCTCCGCGACTGCCGCTACTTCAACTTCAAGGGCGTCGAGCAGCGCCTCATCCCCCACTCCATCACCTTCAACCAGTCTCGTGGCAGGGACGAGATAGCCCTGCGCCTCGAGGATATCCTCAAGTCGGGCATATCCGTCCTGCCCGAGCGCGTCGACATCGCCGCCAGGGAGAGGGACAACTTCCTCGGCTGGGTCAACTATGCCCGCCCCTTTGTCGACAGCAGCCAGCGGCCCTTGGAGCTGGTCCTCGAGATCGGCGGCGACTGCACCCGCCTGCACTTTGACAAGGACGGCCCCGCCGGCGGCACCCGGCTGGAATTCTTCCGTGAGGTCCGCACCCGCGTCACCAAGCTCTTCGAGGTCATCGCCTCCAAGCTCAACCTCCCGCCCACCACGCAGCCCCTGGGCCTGCTGATGGCGAGCGGCGGCGCGTCCAGCCAGCCTGCCACACCGGGCAACACCCCGCTCAGCGACGACCTGGTCAAGTGTGTCCTCGAGTCTGAGACGGCCATCACCCTGGATGGAGAGAGGTACACCGCCCACATCCCCAGCATGGTCGACCCTGCAGACGAGATTCTTGACGGCGCCGGCAACATGTCGGCGCCGTCGAGCGCCGGCCCAGCAAACATGGACTCGCCGGCCAGCTTTGCTGGCCTGTCCTTGAACCCCCCGAGGAAACGCAGGCGAGTCGCCGATGGCAGCGCCGTGGGGCCGGACGGGGGCGCAGGCGTGCCAAGCAGGGGCTTCTGGGTTGTGCGCACCGGCCAGTGGAGGTTGCGCATACAGGCTGCCAAGAACGGCCGGAGCGCCGTGGAATGCGTGCTTATAGCGGTGAAACTGGACGCCATGAGCGGCGAGCACGCGAGGAACGAGGCGAGGGGTTTCTTGAAAGGATAGTCGAGGCCGGCAGCTCATTCCGTGAGGGACGACAGCGGGTCGCTGTCGATCCAAGTAGCACGTGTTAATAGCAGGACCGTCGGGCCGACTTATTTGTCTACGAATTGGGGTGAGTTTTATCACCATTTATACAATTAGTATACTTGGACTCTGCTGGTGAAGTAGATATCAACCAGCATTGAATTATACTTTTGCCCTCCAACAAGTCCAACGCCGGGAAGAGGGGCTGAAAATAGATAAATCAAGCAACAAGCCCTCGCAGAAACCTCGCTTTGACCGCGTTCAAAACCAGAAATCGTATCTCATGATCGTTACCAGCCCTTTCAACGCCATGGAGATGCCGCGAGGCAGACAGGTTGGGACCCGCCATAAATAATTTTACACAAGGATCAAGGTCCCAGCAGTCTTGCTGTCGTGAATAACAACCCCCCCCCCCAACCCACCCCCGGGGGGGGGGAGGACAATTCACATCCCTAGCCGGCTCGAGCCTCACGAGCCAATCCGTCCCTTCCGGCCGGCAGGTGCGCTCACGTCCCTCCTATCGCCCCTGGCGCCCCTGATCATCCCCTTGTACGGCGTTGCAGTACCTGCATTACCGCTCTTAGCCCGTCCCCTTCGCTCCCTGATCTTCGCCAAGGCCTGCTCCCTCGTCATCGTAGGGGTCAGGGCGGGGTTGTTGACGTCCCAGGTCGGTACCTCGTTGTCGTCTACCCTGCCACGGGAAGGGGTCCTTTGCAATGCGAGCAGCTTCTTGGCCATGCTCGGGTCCGAATTCTCCTCACGCAGAGGGACAGACGTGGTCGTGGTTGTATAGAAAGACTGCGCAGTGAGAGGACGGGAGTCATAGGATGTCTTGAAGCTGGGCGCAACCGCAGATATTTCGACGTTCGGGTCTTGAGGGCCCAGGGGCAAGCGACGGAGTTGCGTTTGGCGATTGTCGACGTGCGCGGTGGCCTCGGTTCGTTGGAAAGCGCTCGAGGCCATTTCTCTAGCCCTCTCGGGCTTGCCGAGTGGCTGCGCGGCTGACGTGTTCGGCATCGCTGGAAGCTTGAACTGCGACGGCGGTTGCTGGTGGTGGGGTGCATCCAAGAGAGATACAAGTGATGCCCGCTCTTGCCCGACTATCGCGAAGGAAGGCGGCTCGACAGAAGGCGTGCGCGCGTACCGCTCAGGCACCGTGCTCTGCTCGACATGTGGGGGCGCGTCCTCCATAGTCTTGTCATGCGGCTCTGCACCGGCCAGTCCCGGCGCGGTCCCTCTCTCCTGCTCCTCTGCCTTCTCCATAGCGTCCGCCTCCTCCATGCTCACTGTGCGAAAGGTTCCCAAATCAGGCAGGAAGATGGTGGCTCTTCTGCTCCCGTCTTCACCGCTCCGGCTGGTCTTCTTTGTTGGCTGCTTTACGGCATGAGCAGATGTCTTACTTGGTGGAGGGATAGTAGTCGCTTTCTCACTAAGAATCATGCGGTCTGACGGGTCGGCCAGAGGGGGCAGGGGCTCGGCGGCAGCTCGCTTCTGCCGCTTTGGAGACAGCAAGCCCATCATGCTGGACCGTGGCCGCTTCTTCATGCAAGAGCATGCGCGCAGACTGCATTCGGCCTCGAGATACTCGACTTGGTCTGCGGCTCGGTCGGCTCGCTGCTTCTCCCACTGCCAGAGGCGCGTGAGCTCCTCAATCTCCATCTCGCTAGCCGCCGAAGATTTGACGTCGACGAGTGAAAGCGACACGGCACGGGAGTCGCTGGGTTTCCTTGGGCTTGCGAACTCGTCATCCTCATCATCCTGGCTAGCCGGCGGCAGCGGAAGCCTGCCCTCGGAGGCGATCCTCGCCACGTCCTCTTCCGTTTTTGCCAGGGTCTTGAAGGCGTCACGCTCCTGCTCGACAAGTTTGACACGCTCGACGGCCTGGTCCAGCTCTGTGCGGATCTTTTCGAGCTGTTCCTGCAGGCCGACCTGGTGGTATCTGGCCTGGAAGGCCTCTTGTTCACGGGCGGAGCTGCGCTCCTTTTCTCTCTCAAGAGATGCCTCTGCCGACTTTTGGGCCGCGCGGGCGGCATTGAGCTGCTCCTGCAAGTCGACAATGGCGGACTGGCTCTTGAATGTCTCCTTGCGCATCCGCCGTATCTCCTTCTCCCATAGGGTCTGTGTGTGGGCGTGTGTTTCCTTGGTGCGACCATAGTTCTCCTGTGGTAAGTCATGTACATCAGCGACCCTGCATGTCTAGGATCTGTGGGAATTGTCACGTACCATGACCGTCTCCAATCTCTCGCCGACCTTCCTCTCCCTGTGTCTCCCCTCCTCGAGCTCCTTCTTGAGGGAGCGTATCTCATCCTTGTACTTGTGTATGTCATCTCTATACTTTCGCACCTCGGCCTCGGCCTCCTCGCGGCCGAGGACGGCGCGCTTCAGGGCCGCATCGGCGCTCTTGCGCTCAAGATGTTTGCTCTGCGACGCGAGGGTGTTGAACTGGTTGATCTTATCACTGACTGAGCTGTCGCGCGAGTGTCCCTTTTTGCCAGGGGAGCCGAGGCTGTTGATCGAGAGCCGGTGCTCAGAGGCCATCTGCATGTTGAGGCGTTCCGAAGAGACAGGGTCAAAGGGCGCCATGTTGTCTGCGGCGATGGTGGAGGCTCGTTTGGACGGAGACGGAGTGCTTGGTGCAGGCGTGCATGAGCCGTCGCGAGTGGCCGGACGCTCCATGATGTCTGCTTACTAGAGACTGGCTGCGAGGAGAAACCAAGGAGCCGGCGATGAGTACTGTGGCATTCGTTGCCGCGGTGAAAAAGGCAACGGCGAGGGGCCAGTCAGGTGGCGTGTGGTGTGAGATCCGGGTCCGGTAGGGATGGGTGGTGGTCATGCGAATGATCGCAGCGGTGTTGTGAATGAAGGTGCAAGATGAGGGATGGAATGGTCCCTAGCTGGGCTTGCATTGTGGTTTGGCGCCGAATTCCACCGTGTTGACCAGTTGTCTGTAGTAGCCGACTGTTGTCCCAGCAACAATGAGCTCCAGCCACTCAGGGGAGTAGGTCTTGCTTTGCATCCACCTCGGAAGGTGGGGAACCCCATGCAACAGGTCACCCTTTTAGCACCACCTGGACTATTAGGAAGAAACGGTACCAGAACGGTACACGAGCCCCTATAGAATATTCTTAAAAAATCCTTAGCCTCTAGCTTATTAAATAAAAACTTAAACAAAATAAAAAATAAATATACCCCCTTTACTTACTTTACACTTCTTAACAACTTGGCTTAAATATAATAATTAAACGCCAAGCACTATTATATTAATAGCCTTATTTTAAACTTTAAATTTTAGGCTATTATCCTTTTTTAATAAAATTTTACTTTTTAAATTATTATTAATAATACTAATATATTTATACCTATTATTAAATAGCTTTAAAATTAACTAATATAAAAATCTATTAACTTTAAGCTTAATAATTACTTTACTTTTACCTATTATTAAAATTTGCCTATATTATAAAAATTTATAATATTAATCTTAAATATACCTATTTACTTTAACTTTTTTTTAATAAATAAAATTTAATTTTTAAAAAAAAAATTTAATAGCTATTAAATTAATTAATAAAATAAAAAAGCCTTTTTAATTTTTTGGCGGCTTAGTAAAGGCTTCTATTAACTAGGTTTTAAATTATATTTAAATAAAATACAACTTCCTTTATTATTAATTTGCCACTTTTCTTTAATATTTTATTATTATTAACTATTTATAAACTATTAATATATTAATAAATATTAAATTTGCTATATTTTAAAATCTTTATTAGTAATATTTTTTAAATTTACTTTTAATTACTTATTATTAAAATATTATTTAAAAAAATAACTTTTATTTTATAAATAATAAATTTGCCTTAATATATTTTATTATTAATAAAAATTCTAATATAACTCCTTATTATTAAAATATTATAATTTTATTTATATAAGCTATAATAAATAATTAATAGGCCTAAAACTAAAATTTTATAATAATAATAGTTTAAGCTATAATAAATTTTTTATTTTATAAATTTATTTTTAATTTTATTATAAATTAATAAAAATAATAGCCATTTATTTTTATTTAGCTAATATTAAATATTTTTATTTATAAAAGGGCTTTAATTTTAATATTTAATTTAATAAAAAATTATAAAATATTTTAATATATTTTATTTTATTAAGCATTTTAAATATTTAAAATAAATTTATTTTATAAATAATATTTATTAAATATAATTATAATATTTTTAAAAATACTTTAAAATAGCACTTTTATATTTTAATAAAAATAATTATATTATATTTAAAATAATAAATATTAAAAATATTTATAATAAACTTAAAGCTTATTTTATAAAGTTTTATTTAAATATAATAGCTTTTTAAAATAAAATATCTTTTATTATAAAATATTATTAATAAAAAATATTATTTTCTTTTTTAAATAATTATTTTAAACGTGAAATATTATAATATAAAATTTTTATTTAACTTATTATTATTTTTAAATTACTTACTTTAAAATTAAATTTAAAATTTCTAAACTTAATAAAATATAAAGCTTATAAACTTTTTAATTTTATTTATAATTATAAAAATATAATTACTAATTTAGCTAAATAGTACTTTTTATTTTTTAATTTATTATTTATATTTAATAACCCATTTTTATTTATAAAAGTAAATTATTTATTTTCTATATTTTATAATATTTGCTTATATAATTTTAATATTAGCAATTATAATAGCGCTTTTAGGCATAGCTATTTTAATTTTTTATAATTTAGCTATTTATATATTATTAATTTAATTTAATATTTAAATTAATTTTAATATTTATTTTAATTTTAACCTTTAAATTAATTTTAATTTTTAAATTATTTAGCTAAATAAAATTAAATATAAAATATTAAATATAATTAATTATAAATATTATTAAATTAATATATAACTTGGCGCTAATAGTAAAACAAATAATAATAATAAGTATTTTAATAATAATTAAATATTTTATAATTACCCTTTATATTAAAAGTTAATATTTTTATTTTATAAGTTTAATATAATAAAAGAAAAATTTATAAAATTAGTAAAATTAATATTAATAAATATATTATAATAAGTTTATTAATTATATAAAGCCGCTTAATATATTTGCCTATTAATAATCCTTTTTAAAGATTTTTAATAAAAATTTTTATAAAAGCCACCTTTACAACTTTTAATTACCTTTTAAAAGCTTTTAAATAATAAATAATATAAATATTAAAATATTAAGTTTTTAAAATTATAACCTTATTACTATTAATATACTATTATTATTAATAATACTTTAATAATTATAATATATTAATAAATTATATTTATATTTTTATTTTTAATAGCTTTAATTAAAAAATAAAAAAATAGGTTACTTATAATATAAAGGAAATAGTAGAATTACTATTATTTTTATAAAATTTATAAAATAACTTATACTTTAATAGTATATTTTTAAACGTATTAAATGGGTTAGTGGGAAAGTTATAAATAAAAAACTAATTAGCCCTAATATTATTATAAATGCTATTAGGGGCATAAAAGTTATTAAATTCCTAGTAAGAATAAATTTAAAACTAAATATAAAATTTAATTTTCTTTTTAAACTTATTTTTATTTTTTATTTACCTTTTAAATAATAATATATTAAATATTTATAAAATATTAGGTGTAATTATATTATAGCTAATAAAAATAGCTATTATAAAATTACCTAAAATTAAACTTTATAAATAAATATTTTTATTATATTTATATAAAATTAAAACAAATATTTATAAAACTTTTAATTATATAATTATACCTTTATAATTTTTAAGTATATATATTAATTATAAAATTATAATAATTACTTTTTTATTTATAAAGTTTTATTATTAATAACCTTTATATAAATATATTCCTTAAAATAAATATTATAAAACTTAAAGGCTTTAATATTTTATTTTAAAATTATATATTAATATTAATTTATATTATATTTATATTTTAGTAAAATTAAAAAGTAAACCTGCCCTATAAAGCTAAAGTTTTTACCTTTATAAAAATTATTATTTTACTTTATTTTATAATTTAGCTATTTATTTAATATAAACTATACTTAAATAAAATATAAAATTTAATTTTATATTTACTTTTTAATATATTAGCGCTTTTACACTTTTATAAATATTTATCTTATTTTTATTATTATTTAAAATAAATAAAATAATTTAATTATAATTCCTAATAATATATTTATAAAATATTTTTATTTTATAAACCTATAATATTGCATTTATTTTATATAAAATAATATTAATACTATTTTACCGCCTTTTATAATTATTTAAAATTAATTTAAAAGGCACCTATTTATATAAGCAATTTTTCAATCTATTTAACTATTAATACAAATATTTTTTTTAATTTTAACCCAAAAAATAAATATAAGCTTTCTTAGTTTTTTAATAAAAACGCAAATATATTTATTAATAATAATTTTATAAATATTTTAAAAAAAAAATAACTTAAAGTTTATTTGCAAAATAACTAGTAAAACCTAATTTTAAAAATATTATATTTACCTTATAATATTAAAGAATATAAAAGTAGTAAATAACATTTTTATAAAATTTTAAATTACTAAAAATTAAAAAATAAAGTAATTTATTTTTTTTTTATTCCTTATTTTTATTATTTAGTAGTTAATATTAAATAGCACCTAAAAAAAATAAATAATTATTAATATTTAAGGCCTTAATAAAATGGCCCTTATAAACGCCTATTTTATAAAAAACTAAAATAATATTCTTGCCAAAATTATAAATATAAAATATATTATAATACTTAATATTATAGCCTTTTTTACTAATAGCAACTATATTTAAAATTAAAATAAATATTTATTATAATAACTATTTAAAGATAATTTATTTTTAAATATATAATTATAAAATATTATAACAACCTAGCCTATATTTAATAATAAATAAATCATCTTTTAACAATATAAAAGGAAAGTATACTTAAATAATATTATTATTTTAACTAATAATATATTTAAAAATTATTTATATAATATTAACTAAATTTGCAAAAATTAAAAATAAAATATTATTATAAATTTAAAAGTCTTTTTTATTACACCTATAAGTATTATACTTAGTAAATATATAAACTTTTAGTCTATTAACTATTAAAAGTAATTATATACTATTATAGCTTTTAAGTTTTTAAAGTTTTAAAGAACTTTAAATATTTTATTAGCCTTATTAAATATATATATTATAACATTTTACTTTTAATATAAAAATTAAACTATTAAAAGCTTAAAAATAAATCTCTTTTATTTAAATTTTACCAAAAACTATAAAAAATAGCTTAATAATAATAAATAAATTAAATTCTTTTATATTATTTAATAAATTAAAAACTTTCTTTAAAATAGTTAAATTAAACCTTTTAAAGTTTATATTTATTATACATTTTAATATAAAATAGCAGCTATTTATTAATTTTAATATATTTATATTAAAAATTAAAATTTAAATTTACTACATTAAAAATAATAATATTTTAAAATTAATAAAAATAATTATATTATTATATACCTTTTATAAACTTTAATTAAAATAATTACATACTTTAATTAAACTCTTTTAAATATAAAGTATTAATATTAAGTAACTAAAATAAAAATTTTTAATTATATTTAGGTTTTAAAAAATATAAATATTAAATTAAACTTTTAAATATTATTTAATATTATATATAAATTATTTTATAATTTTTAACCTTTTTAAGCAATTAAATATTATAAATTTAATAACTACTTTTATTAATAATAAAAAACTAATTTATACCTTAAAATATATAAGCAATTTTAAAATAAATTTTTTATATAAATTTAAATAAAAAAATATTATTTTAAATATATTATCACACTTACTATTCCCAAATAAAACTACCTTTAACACCCCAAATAAATTAAAAGTCCTACCTAATAATAAAAAAAAGCACTAAACTTTTACTATTAATACAACCATATAGTTGTCCCCATTTAATTAAAACTTATAAAATAAATAAATATATATTAAAGTATTTTTAAAATTTTAAAAGCACCTATAAAATAGGTATTATAAGAATCTATAATAATTTAAAATTTTTAATATAATTAATTAAAATAACACCTTAAATAAAAATAAAACTATTTTACCTTTTAAAGTTTATTTTAATTTTATTTAAAAATTTTTATAAAAACAAAATATTATATCTTTATATTCCTGCTTCTATATTATTAACATTTTAAAGCTTATATATTTAAAAGCTATTATAATTATACTTAACTTAATAAATTTCTTTGCCTATATTATATTAAATAATTATAATTAAAATTATAAAATTTACTTAATACTACTTATAATACCTTATTTTTAATATTTATTATTATAAAATATATAATAATTTATAACCTATATTTAGCCCACCTTATTTATACTATTAAATTATAATAAATTTCATTTTTAAACTACTTATTATAAAGTCAAACAAATTTAATATAATTCTATTAGTTATTTATAAATTCTTTAAAAATTATTATTTATTTTAAAAAGCAATATAAAAGCAATAAAATAGGCAACTAAACTCTTATAGTATTTACTTTATAGTAATTAAAATTATTTAAAAGTTATTTTAATAAACTAAAATTTAAAATTTTTATTAAAAGTTTAATTTATAATATAAAAACTTTTAAAATAAAGCTCCTATATATAATAATATATTACCCGCAAATAAATAAATAGTTTAAGCAAATAATATAAATAATTAAATTAGCATTATAATATTTTATTTATAGCTTAAATAATTCTAGCAAATAGTTAAAAGCCTTACTATAAATATAATTTAAATTTTATAATAGTAAATTTTAAGCTATTAGCTACTCTTTAAATAAAGTTATTAAAAGCTTTATACTAAATAATATACTTAATATTATTATAAATTAAATTTTATATTAATTTTTAAACCTTCCTAAAAGTTGCATTTAAATATATAATACTTTAATATTAGCAAATATAACCATTAAATAGTACTATAATTAGTAATATTTTATATAATTTTAATATTAAAAATAAAATATTTCTTTATTTATATAAAGGTTATAATATTTTATAAAATATTAAATAAAAATATAATTCTTAATATACGGGCCCTTTTAAAATTATTAAATAAATTAGCTATTTAATATATTAACTAAACTTTTATAAATATAAAAGCTTTAATATAATATAATTTTAGTTAATTATTTAAAACTATATTTTATAAACTTATTTAGGTAAAACATTTTTAGTATTAGTCTAATTTGCATAAAAACTATAAAAATAAATACTTAATAAACAAAGCCTATTAGCAAATAAAATAAAATACTTTATTAAATATATTAGTTTTAAATTTAAGTTTTAAAATAAAAACCTAATATAATTAGGTAATAAAACTTAAAATTATTTAATATATTTTATATAATTATATAAAAATTAATAACCTCTTATAATAATAACTATTTAAACTTTAAAAATAAAATAAAAAAATGGGCCCTATTTACTATTTTTATAATTTTTATGCTACTTAAGATTCTAAAATTTTTCTTTTAAATAATTTTTTTTTATTTAAATGCTATTAGCAAATAAATAATATTAAAGTTATTTAATATAAAATTAAATAAAATATTAAAAATATTAAAAGAAAAAAATTCCTTTATTATTAAATAATAACTTTATAATATTAAAAACACTAATATTAAAAAATAAAAGCTAATTAAAAATTATTTAGCTATTTAAAAATAAGCTTTTAATAAATATAAGCAGCCCTTACTAATTTAATAATTACCTTAAAAATATTAAAGCTATTACTTAATAAAATAATTAAGTTAGCTTTATAATTACTATAAAAACCTTTATAAGGTTATTAATAATATTAAAAAAAATAAAAAAATTATTAAAAAGTAATTTAGCCTAATAGCAAGCTTTTTTATTTTTATTTAATTTATATAAAAAAATTTAAATAGCTACCTTTTAAAATTAATTATTTATTATTAAAAAAAACAAATTAACTAGTACTTATATATTTATAATAAACTTACTAATATAGTTTTTTAAAAAAAGGCATATTTTTTTATATTTTATAATTTTAAAACAAATAACCCCACCTTAAAAGTAAAAGCCCTATTTACTTTAATTTATGGCCTTTTTAATATATTATTTTATAATATAATTATTTAAAATTTAAATATAAATTTAAATAATTTAAAAAATTTAAAAAAAAATATAAAATTAAATTTAAAAAAAAATAAAACTAAAAAGGAAAAAATAAAGTCCCTTTTAAAAAAGTTTATAAAATAAAAAATATTTACTAATATTAGTCCTAGCCCTAATAATAAAGCCCTAAAAACCCTAAAAATGGCGGTACCTAATAATAAAAATAACCTATTTATAAAGGGCTTTTTTTTAAAATAGCTACCTATACCTTATATTCTAGCTTTTTGCTAATTTTTTTTACCACTTAATTAAGGCACATTTTTATTAAATATAAGTGGTAAAATAAAGCTATTTATACTAATTATAAATTTTATTAATAAAAAAAGCTTTATTACTAGCATAAATTGTACTAATATTCCATTAAAAAAAATACGCAAAAAAAAATATAAAATATATAAAAAGGTAAATAAAAACTTTTTAAATAAAATTAAATAAATAATAGCCAAGGCCAAAAAATAAAAGAAAAAAATTAAAGCCCTTAACTTGCTTTTTTATACTATTAAAATAAATCTTTTTATTATAAAATAAACTTTTAATAAATAAAAAAAAAATATTAAAAATTTTAAAAAAATAATTGCATTAAAAAAAGTTCTTTTTAATTATAAAATTATTAAATTAAACTAAACTTTTAAAGGTATAATATTTTATAAATTATATTTTTAAATTCTTATAATATAAATATAAATTAAAGCTTAAAATTTATATAAATTTATTATAAAACTTTAATAATAAACTAAAAACTATTATATAAAATAAAAGTAAAAATAAAGTTATTAAATATAATAAAAAAATGCTATTAATAATAACTAGGCAAAAAAATTAAAAGCTAAATTAAATAACTTAAACCCTAAATAATACTTTTTATAAGGCGCTTTAAACCTTAAATAATAAATATTTATAATATAAAATATTTAAATACTTTATATTATTATATTTATAGCCTTAAAGCTTTTAGTATTTAACTAATAAAATTTTATTATATTTATAACTTTAAAGCTTTTAATATTTATAATTTTAAGGCTTTTAATATTTATAGCCTTAAAGTTTTTAATATTTATAGCTTTAAGGCTTTTAATATTTAATTAATAAAATTTTAATAATATTACGCCTCTATTATAAGTACTTTTAATTTTTAATATATAAATATTTTATTTTATATTACAATTAATAAAAAAAAATGGAAATAAAATTTAAATAAACGTTTTTAGCTAATAAAAGTGTTAACACTTTTTAAAAGGGGACAGGTTATTAAAAAGAAATAGTACTAAAATAATATACAAGCCCCTATAAAGTATTTTTAAGGAATTCTTGGCCTTTAGCTTGTTAGATAGAAACTTAAATAGAACGAGAAACAAATGCACCCCCTTCACTTACTTCGCACTCCCTGATATGGACCAACTTCTGGAAGACCAATCAGCTATAGTCTATTTCTAGTGGGGGCCACCCACCCCCAAATCCCACTCTAGGTACCTAGGACCAGGCAAGCTGCAGGTCAACCCTGCATACAGAGTACATGCCCGGACAATTTAGACTCGGTCTCGGGTTCACGGAAAGAGAACACGACATACTCCGTACCTCCTTCCTTGGCCGGCCCACGGAGCGCATGGCATGTGGTTTCCTGTCTCCGCCATCCAGTTCCTTCCTCTGCACTGCCACCTCGAATTCCGTCACCACATTACTGTATAAACACTATTTGTCGCCCTCACCTGCCCCCCCCCCAGCCATGGCAGCAGAAGCGGACCCTGCAGTTCGCCAACGGAGACTTGCAGCCGAGGCCGTCGATGCAGCCGCACAGGATGCCCAGCCTTCAAGTGACAATGGGGCCAACAAGAAGAGAAGCAAGAAGGGCAAGAGATTAGATGCGGATGGGGTCGAGTACGGGAACCCATGGGTCGACGTCCTGCGTGTCCTGTCCTTCCTGCTCTTCGTCTCCTGCGGCGCCAGCTATCTCGTCTCTGGCGGAGAGTCCTTCTTCTGGAGCATGAAAGTCCCGCCAAAGTACCTGCGCGTGGAGACATGGAAGGGTCTGCTTGTGCGTGAATACCCCGTTGGGCCCTCGGTGCTCTCCGGCCTCAGATTTGGTTGACTGACCGAGGAGGCTGCTTCCTCACAGAACGGACCCCGGTACATCACCCCCGAGGAGCTTGCCCTCCACGACGGCTCTGACCCCAGCAAGCCCATCTACCTTGCCATTAACGGCTCCGTCTACGACGTCACTGCCGGCTCACGTGTCTACGGTCCCGGTGGTTCCTACCACGTCTTTGCCGGCGTCGATGCCTCCCGCGGCTTCGTTACGGGCTGTTTCGCCGAGGACCGCACACCAGACATGCGCGGGGTGGAGGAAATGCACCTGCCGCTCGACGACCCAGAGGTGGACAGCCACTGGAGCAAATCCGAGCTAAAGAAACTCAAGGAGCAGGAGAAGCGCGAAGCCAACAAGAAGACTTATGACGCTCTGAAGCACTGGGTGGACTTTTTTGGCAACAGCCAGAAGTACTCGTTTGTCGGCTATGTCAAGAGAGAGGCGGACTGGCTCGACAAGCAACCCAAAAAAGAGCTATGTGAGCAGGCGAGAAAGGGCAGGAAGCCGAGGAAGATCCCCGAGGACAAGCAGTAAGCTCGGGGGGGGGCATGTATTTATGTTCAGATGTAGAGCCATGATGTCGTTTCTGAATCGACGGTAACTGGGCAGGACACATCATCGACGCACTATCTCTCGGTTCCATCTGGTGCATCGCAGCATGTAAGACCAGATCCCAAAAACTAGGGTCCACCGGGGTTGTCTCTAAGCGTTCTGGCCCAACTAGGAGAGCCCTGAGCACTAACCAGGCGATGTGGTACGCCCGCCCGCATCTGCATAGTGCCGGTCCCGACAGCAACGCATAACATCAAGGTTTCGAAGGAGCGGGACAGTCAAACACAGACGGACAAGCAGATGGGCAGTTACAGTTTGATCCAGTTTGGTCCAGTGTGTCAAGTACTGTGTGGATCCCACTTTGGGCGTGGGATCATCTCACATTTCGGTCGTGATATACTAGGCGAGTGAGACAAGGGAAAAGCAAGTCATCATCAAGATCTTTTTGTGATAATAATATCGTAGGTATTCCGTTACGCCCACCAGCCATTGTTTGATTACCGTTCATATGTGTGTGAGAAAAGAAAAGAAAAAGTCAACTAGTACATCGCCACCTGTTTACAGCAGCAACACGGCGGCAGCAACAGCAGCGAGACCAAGGCTGCCGCCGACCTTGACCATGGAGCCTGCGGCGGTGGCCTGGCCAGAGCCGGAGGGCGAGGCCCCAGAGCCCGACTCGGAGCCGGTGCCAGAGCCTGTGCCAGTTGTGCCGCCAGTAGTGGAGCCTCCGGAGGGGGCAGTGTTGGACGTCGCCTTGGCAGCGAGGGCCTTGAATTCAGTCAGGGAGCGCGAGGCGTTGGCGGCAGTGCTGTAAAGGCAGGTTTATTAGCGACTCGAGAGCACAAATCTGGCACGTACAGCAACTCACTTCTCGTTGATGACCATGACCATGCCGTTCTGGCAGTGCTTGCCCTGGGCGCAGTATAACCAGATGGGCTTGGAGTCGTTGATCATGACGGTATAGGTGGGGATCATGCCCGACTGCTGGGACGCGGCGGCAGGTTGATAGCCAGAGTGGAAGCCGGTGACATTGGACATGATGGAGCTGATGGGGGTGCAGGGCTGGTCGAACGTCGACTGGGTCACGGTGTGGTTGCCAGCGACGAACTGGAACTGCACCATCTCGCCCGCGCTTGCCTTGATGTTGTCTGGCGTGTACACGAGGGAGTTGTTGGCGGTGGAAACGGTCACGACCTGGACCTTTTGTGCTGTGGTGGGAAGGCGTTAGTCACACGGCTCGGGTGTGGGATGCAACACACGGGGACGACGTACCCGAGGCGACGCCGGCCATGACGGCAAGAGCTGCTGTTGTGAACTGCATCTTGAGTGCGGTGGTGCGGTTGTTGTTTTGGGGGTGGGGGTTGGTGTGATAGTAGTAGTGTTGGTATTATCAAGCGTATTAAAACTGAGCGGCTCGCGCTGTTGTTGGACGGTAGGACTGGCCTGTTCGTCGTGTGAAGAAGTGAATTACGTCGTGGTAAAAGAAAGGAAACAGTCGGTTCAACTTCTCGCCAGATTGTGTGGATGGAGAAGAGGAGCCCGAGAAGCAGAGAAGGAGAAGATGGGGTGCGTGAATATAAGAGGAGACATGTAGATGCAGGACACACTACAGTAGAGGCAGGACACACTGGATGCACGACGATGCCCTGGTTGCTTGATCGACGCAGCCGTACCCCTGCCAGGCTGTGCGGTGCACCGGTGCCGCTGCTGGCGGAGGGACGGGAAAAGCCAAGTCTGAAGACAGGACGAGATGAGACAAGGACAAGGCTCCAAGGAGAGGCGTGAGAGAAGGGGGATCTTGAAACGGGAGTCGTTGTTTTGGTGAGCCCTGCCCGCCCACCGAGACCAGTTGTTAGACCCCGGCGGTTACACGTATTGTCGAGGCCTGGGCTTGTGCGCAGCTCCGGACGACTTGAGCTTGCTGGATGAATCCACGGCACGCCTGCACGCCTGCACGCCTGCTCGTCACCTCAGCCGTCTCACATTGCGCCGGCCTGACCTACGGCGAGCCGCAGGACCCACTTGCGCCCGGCGGCAGCTTGGGCCCCAACGGCAACGACAGGGTCATCTTCAAGGCAGTCTGGCAGTCTGGCAGTCTGGCAGTCTGGCAGTCTGGGTGGGTTCCTGTCACCGGAAGCGAGTTTCTTCCGGGTGGCTCGTGATGATCCTGGAGCACCGAGCCATTGACAAAGCCGTGGATCTAATCTTGGGGGCCGTGGCTGCTGCAACCGCCAACCCATTCAGCCATTGCAGGCCGGCTGGCCGGCTGATCATTATTCATCGCATGGCTCCGCCTGTGGCGCTGGTCCGATCTCTCGGCTGGGGGGCGGCAGCGCATTGGATTCGGCGGCACTGGGGTCGACGTGATGAGCTGAACCAGCGACCGGACGACGTTGGAACCGCGGCCTGGATAGAGGGTTGCAGCAGGGGCGGCCCCTGTCGAGCCGCCAGGAGCCGCACGGATGCGGCAGCCTGCGACACCTCCGAGACTGCAGACGGTTTCAAGCAACGTCCAGGGCCGACCTCACTGCCTCACTGCCTCACTGCCTCACTGCCTCAGCGACGGCTTCCGGTGGTGGCTGGACATTTCCCTTGCAAACGCCGACTCCTCCTTGGCCGGGCCTGACAAGCTGGCAGGGCTGCAGGGCTGGCGCCGCCCGGCAACAGCACTCTCCTGAGCCTCCATGAGTCGCCCCCTGACATGCCCCTTGGTATGGTTCGTGATACGTGCCAATGCAAGCCTGCCCCTCCGGAACCACGGCCAAGCCTTGATGTGCAGATAGCCTCTGTGTTGATGATCAAAGATCACCGCCACCCCTCTCCCCACGCCTTCGTGTTTTGAAACAACGTCAAGTCTCCCCCAGCACTCTGGTTGCGATCCTTCAGCCATTCTACCCGGGCTGCCTGGCTGCCCGGTTGGGCTCTGCGAGTTTGGCTGGTGTGATTGATGTCTCCGACAATGACACCTCGTGTGGCCAGTCCTAAACTTGAGATGAAAGTCCCAAGAGGTTCGGCCAAGGCTTGTCACCCAGACGAGACTCGACGGGATGCAGATCTGCAAACAATTCATGTCTTCTTCCTTTTTTTTTCACGCGAGCGTCAAGAGGCATACCAGAACTCCGTGTTTCGTTTCAGCACGGCTCCGTCACAGCAATGTCGCCATCATCAGTCACAGGAACGCGGGCATACCACTGCCATCTCCGCGCATAACAGAGTTGCATTGTGCTGGTGTTCTACGGACCGTGTATACCCTGAATCGCCGCCTTCCCTCTAAACGAGATTGGATTGTTGGCTTAATATCACTCGATAGATCTGACCGAGACGTATTCGTCCGACAACATGAGGCCAAACACGGGCTGCGTAATGGGGCAGAAGTAGCCGCACGATGCGTCTTAAGCGTCAGAACAGTGCATTGGGGCAACAGCCCATCGGCGGACCGGCATGGCCACCCATTGGATCATATCTTCTGACGACCTCCAAGCAACCGAGCTCGGTCTCGTTACCCCAATCTGCCCGGACCTGAGCCGATGTTTGAGGCTTGGCAACCGAACTTGGCCCGAATCTTCGGCGTTGCCGCACCATGAGAGGAACCGGGTGGCAGCAAGGGTAAAGATCGGCCAGTCACTTCGGCCAAGAGCGGTTGGGCTAGTAGACGACGGCACAGTCTGTTGCCAGTGAGTGCGACATCAGTCTCAGATGAGCCACGTCAGCTGATCAGGTCGCACCTGTCCGCTATCATGGGTAGGACATCTGATAGTTGAGCATGGGTGTCAGCGATCCATCGCACCCACTTTTGCCGGGCATCCTGTTGTCAGTTGGGACAGACATGGCTCACCACTGAGCAGTTTGGATTACATGCCTGCTTCCGGCGTAGCCTAATCCTAGTGTCGGCTGCCGTGTATCTTTCCGAGGCGAATGAGAGCCAGGACGATGGCGGCCAAATCTGAGCCATCCTGGCGAAATCGAGGTCGCTGGTGCGGTACGAAGGTTCGATACCGAGCTTCAAGGAGTCCGGTGACACCCCGCGATGAACGGCGTCGCTCCGCCGCAGAAGCGACGGCTGAACACGTGTGTGATTGCTGCTTTGCTTGAATGGCCGAAATGCCGTGAGCAACTGAGCTGCTGAGTGGTATGTCGTGTGCAACTGGGGCTGAGAGTCGGTCACAGGTCGAATAACAGTTGCGGCGCGATCTTCTCGAGATCCTCGACCTGTAATGGGGAAGCCCAGATTAGGTCTCCAGTCTTGCTTGCACATTCGCATCAATCGGTTGCCAGACCCACCTCCAAGAAACCGCCATCCCTCTCAGCCGCGGCGCGCGCAATAGCCTCCTTGACGAAAATGTCCATGTACTTGGCGAGGGCGTTGTTTGCATCTTTGGTGATCCGCGTGCCGTCCTTCTCGAAAAACTCGTGCAGGATGCGTGTCAGCAGCTCAGATGGGATAGTCTTCTCCGGCTCCTCGTTGTCGTCATCTTCATCATCATCCATGTCTTGATCGGTCTCCGTGGCCTCCTGGGATCCGTCGCGTCGCCGGCCCTCGGGAGACGGGCTGGGCTGGGCTCGCTTCGTCCCCTTGGCAGCCGCACTGTGCTTCTTAGTGGCAGCCGCTGATGGTGCAGCCTTATTCTTGGATCCGAGGGGACGGCCGCGAGAGACTCCAGCGGTGGACTGCTTCGGTGGCATTGTGTTCGAGGAATGTAGCGGTGCAAGGCGGTGGACGGGGCCAAGGGGACCTGACGCGACTCGAGAGACGCGCCGCACAAGATCTGGCCGAGGTCTTGGGAAAGTCGCTCGTGCTGTCACCCCTAACCCCCGAGCATGCCATTTGAGATGTACCTAGGTGCCTAGGCACTTGATTTTACTACACATATTTGCCTCAGGTGGCTCAAGTTCTTGCGATCAATGACAGTCCGGCGCGACTTTCTCCTCATTCATGCCAAACTGCTAGGCCACCGCCAGCTCATGGCTGTAGTTCACAAAGCTACTCGTCGGCCACCCATTGGTGGCGTCATACTCGGAAAGGGCAGTCGTGCCCTGCAGCACGTCATAAGCCTGCATGGCGGTGCCATTGCCCTTGAGTAGCGCGGCTATGCGCACGCCGCGCTCTTGCCCCTCGAACCAAGACCCCTGCAGAAACCCGTAGTACTGTGCCGAAGTGTGCTCGCCGGCAAACCACAGGGCTCCAACATTGGCCCGGAGATTCTGGTGTTTCTCCAGGGTCATGCCCACGGGCCAGTTGCTATAGCTTCCATGGGTCCATGGCTCTGTCGTCCACCGCGGGTACATGAAGTCGATGGGCTCGGGGATCTCGACCTCTGGAAACATCTTGCGCAGGACCTCGAGGCCTTCCCTCTTGGTCTGGTCATCGCTCTGCTTCTCAATGCGGTGGGACTCGTCATCCACCACAGTCGCGAATATAATGTTGCTTCCGGGGAGGAAGCCTTCGGTCGACAACGACTGCCATACCGGAAAGTAGCCTCTCTTCTCCGGATCGGCGTATAGGAAGAACTGCACATCCCCGGGCCAGAAGGTCGTGTTGAACTGGTAGAACACCTTGGTGTACGTGCCCATCTGGAATTGCTCGATGGACTCGCGCTTCCACAGCGGCAGCTGAGGCTCAAAGTCGACAATGTCATTCTGCAATACGCCCAAGGAGAAGGTACAGACCGCATGCTCGGCCGAGATGCACTCGCCGTCAGACAGGCGGACCGTGACCTCCGAGTCTGAGTGCTCGATGCGAGAGACCGTGGTGTTCAGGAGCAACCGCGGGTCGTTGCCTGACAGGTCCAGGAATGTCGATGCTTCCCCAACGAGCCACGCGTTGAAGCCTCGTGATTCTACCACGAAGTTGTTGTCTTCGCCGTACTGGTTAAAGGTGAGGTTGTCCCCCGTGATGCCGAACACGAGACTGCTCTGGTCCGGAGAATACGAAGCATCCCAGTCCCACTGCCACCATTCTGCCGCCGCCCTCTTCATGTCCTGCTTGGGCTTCCACCCTGCGAGGCTGAGTCCAGCACGCGCAGAGGTGTCTTGCAGATTCTCTGTGAGAATCGATCCCGCATACACTGCAGCGGCATCCCAGGAATCATCAAACTCGGCCAGGAGGTCGGAAAAGTCGCTTGTGCCGGTTTCGTCATATGTTAGGATAGAATCATAATCAGAGTACGTATTGGAGATGTTCCACTTCTTGGAAAACGTCCAGATTGGGTTCTCCGGTGCCGCCGTGTCTTTCGCTCCCAAGCCTTGGATCCAGTTTGCTCCGAGCTCAACGGTATACGATGTTCCGTCTGGCTTCGAGCCAAAGTTCGTGTGGGCTAGCCTCCCACCAATGTAATCGTTGCGGTCAACAATGAGGAAATCCGTGATAGAAGCGTTGGAAAGAGCTTGAGCCGCACTTATCCCGGCGACACCGGAGCCTAGGATGACGACCTTCGTTTTTCGACATGATCTTGCCTGATTACCATTGTGTTGCGCATTGAGTGGCGTAGCACATGCTGACGCTAATAATAGCACCCACGTTACAGCCTCAAATAAGCCAGCCAGGGAACGCATGTTAGATTTGGGTATTTGGCCCAGAACAGGTAACTATGCAGCGTCACAAACAAGGCTTGTTTTCAGATACATTTTGCATTGCGATTTTGACCACTTCGCAAGATTACCGCCCCCCCACCGATAAGGGAAATTGAGATCAATGGGGCTGCGATATGTCAGATACCGTAGCACTCGGCAAACAACAGCGCAACGTTAAAGATAATTGCAACAGTCTCCACTCTCTCCTTAAACTGCGGTGGGTATTTTTAGGGCTTGGGTTTTTCTCCTTCCCTCTTTTCTTTCGTAAACCCCACGTGCTAACGGCGGTAGAGGCAACATTCATAGCAATTTTATAAGATTCAAGCCCTCATAGGCGTGGTTACTGTCGTTCCCACCTAGTACACGTAAGTTTCAGGCAGTATCTGTCAGGGGGCCATGGGCTGATCGCCCGCAGGACCAACCAGTAGGTCCGTGCACTCTGCTTATCTTATCAGCCCAAGTGGCCTCCATACCTCTCGCGACATGGTATTCCAAGGTTGCAGCTTTGCTGCTTCCTCCCTACTATTCCTTAGGCAACCATAGCTTTAAATCAACAATTCCTCACAGACAATTTGAGCCTCTTTTGCCATCGGTTGTGAGGACCATCTCGCTGGTCCGGGTCGCATCCCAGGGGATGATTACTATTCTGGGTCCGACAAAGGGGAGTTGCCTCGAGGAAATCTGGGTTTCCAGGGACATCGACCTGAACGAGGAGGAGAAAAATAGATGAGCTTCGAAATATCGTCAACAGCGCACATGTGTCGAGCCTGTTGGAAACAGATACAACGAGAAGACGCAATTGTTTCAATGTTGTTGTACACTATATGTAGCACTTGAGAGTATCATGAATGAAGAACAGATCAACTGCAGGTCAACTGGTAAGTCTGCACTGCTTACCTAAGTAATGGTGCTTCCAGTTACCCAGAGAGCCCACGGAGCATGTTTGTGCCTGTCTAGAATCATCCGTTCTCGCACAGATTCACCGCCGTATTACTTCCTACCCTTGTCCGTACAGCATGAGACCAAGGCCACGTACGCAAGCAGAGTATTCTTATACTGTCACTGGCATTGCAATTTTTTCATAAAAAGAAAATGCCTATGTCTTTGAGCGTTGACTACGGTGTGAAGAGACCAGTTTATGTGCGTGGGGATTACAAACAACACCGTCCCGCTATATGGCCGCTGGTCTCGAATGCCCCTGGGTGCGCGAAATCATCCCACTTGTTTTCATAATGATGAATAAAGCTGGTGCATCTCTAAGCTCGCCCACCGCTTTTCATGTACGAACCGAGCCAACTGCCGCCAGAGGCGACTTGGTGTAGGCACAAGAAATATGCTTCGCAACTTGAAACAGCAGCTTGCGTCGTCAGTCAAGCTCTGCGGTATTTATACAAGCAGCTGAAGCCCAGTGGCTAAGCCTCTTGGCTGCACGGGACTGTGCTGGGCAATTTGGTGGTTATAGGCCGCCAGGCTTGTGTCTGGAGAGGCCGGCACTACCCGAAACCCATTAAAGTGGAAAAGACTTGCCCTGGCCGGCGCTCGAGTCACGTTAAGACGGCCAAGGGGTTGGTTAAATCGGTCGACCTCGACGATCAATGCCATCTTGTGCAAGGCCAAGCCTTACTTTGTAAGTTGCCGCAACCCGCATGAAACGCCAGGAATAGACATTGGAGTCCAGACTCCAGTGCGCGCTACCTGATCCACACCATGTCTTGGCTGCGATATCCAACATTAGCCAAACTAATTCCTGGGAAACTGGTATAAAGTAAGGTTTCCCCAGAAGGAAGCCAAATTATAGCCTCCATAACCTCACCCGGGCAAATATCCGACTGTTCATCCACACAATCACGTTTCAACACCCCCTACCACATAGCACCTACCAGCTGTATCAACTCAACAGCATCGAAAATGCAGACCTCGATCATGGCAACCATCCTTACGTTGGCTGTGGTAGCGACGGCCCAATTCGCCGGCCCTTGCACCAATGCCGCCTGCGGCACATCAAGACAGGTCTGCGGTCGAGGCCTTGTCTGCGTTGGGTTTCCCACCTTAGACCCAGCTACGCGTCAAGGCTGTACATGCAGTGGTAGGTGCTCGCCGTGCACAGTAACCGCAACGGCCATCGCTAATTCAAGCCTGCAAACAGAAGTCTAAGATGAGATTGGGACATCGATACTTGTGAAAGCAAACGGCTTGACCAAAGCTCGGGCAGTCTTATGCAAAAATATTCCACAATTTGATATAGCCTGAGACGCAACGTTGGCTGTCATTTGCATACTGGTTCTCGGAGGGCCCGATTAAGGCAGAACAACCAATAGTGGCGCATATTGGATGAACACAAACATCCAAGCCAACTACAGCACATGGGCGGCTGGGAAGTTTGAGCGGAACAAGGAAGCGATGATTGTCCATTTGGGAGGGCGCATTTGAAGACAGCAGGTGCTGGTAAGCAACCAGATTATTATATTGTACAATAGAAAGCATCATTTGGGCAATGACTTAAGGGGGGTGTTCAAGCTGCTCGCTAGCAGCGATTTCAGTCATTTTGGTAAGGCGGTCTCGTGTCTGGTTTCGTTCTTATTTCATAAATGTCCGAAGCTATATACACCACCTTTAAAGATGGCCACATGCACCTATTTTGACCACTGTTGTCGACATGACATGTTCTTTTAAATACTAGGTCTTAAGTTTTTACTACTATATAAAGGCGTTATGTATATCCTTAGATAAATAGTTCTAAGGTACTAAGGACTGTCTAAGGTACTGTTTTATAGTGGAAGGGACGGTCTAGAGACTATATTTAAAAAACCCCTAGGGAGCGCTGTGGTACCTTGGTAGGTACTAAGTCTGGCCTCTGAGGCGTGGACATACTGGATATGCCAGTAGTGCTCAAGAGCTTACTTCCTTCCAGTAACAGCCAAGTTCTGTTCAAGCAAGTCTCCTGCAGTGCCTTCCTTCCCGGGGCACCCTGCATTGATGCCGACAGGAAAGAACCGATCTCTCTTCTTTTGCTGCTGCAGGCCTTTTAGACCCCCTAACGATAAATACGAACGCCCCTTTGCCCCCAAGAGTCCAGAAACTGAGATCCGCCACTCTTACCATCGTCTCCATTCCTTTTCCATTGTATTTCTTGGAACCATTTACCCCTCAGTATCCCCAGCGACGCCTTTGTACTGACAACCACTTTCCCAAGCCTGTATACCACGACCTCACCATGGAGGTCCTTGTCTTTGTCCTCTTCGCCATGTCCCTGGCAATGGCTCCTCCCATGGCCATCGGCATTCCCAACCCTGTCCAGACAGGCGCAGATGCATCACGTACGCTCTCTTTTCGGACGCCTGCGCCACCAGTCGAGCCACGCCAATCATGGGGTCAAACAAGTAACGAGAAGGGGGTGCAAGACGATGACGTTAGGTTGAAGGCCCATGGCGGCGATGTTCCTGACAACATTACCGAGATTACCGACAAGTATCTTTTCCGGCTATCCATCGACGAATTCGAGGCCCAGAGGGGTCTTCGTCAACCCCCCGCTCTTGACTGGTCGTCCGACGAATGCACAAAATCACCCAACAGACCTCTGGGCTACAACTTCGTGCCTTCCTGTCATCGTCACGACTTTGGCCTCCGGAACTACCGCAAGCAGGGAAGGTTGACCAAGACAACGAAGCGGCCCATCGACGATCAGTTCTACAAAGAGTTAGTGGCCACAAAGTCGAATATCCATCGTCAAGTTATCCTAAGCTAACTACTGTGTCCATGCAAAAGTCTCAAAAACGAGTGCGCTACCCACAGCTTCCTGTCCAGGCAAGGATGCAGGCTCATCGCCCGGGGATATTATGAAGTTGTGAAGGGCAAAGGTCCGGGCAAGGACCTGATCTGACGCAAGCTTCCATCCATCAAGAGGCTGGGTGCTAGTTAGCATGTAGCCGCTGGTTACAGAAGGCTCCTATAATCCTATGGCACAATGTGTCTAATACCTATGGTTGTCAGGCCCGAGAGGAGGATGGGGGGGGGGGGGGGCATGATGGAAAGTTGACCTACTTGACCACACGAGTGTTTGCCTCCCAGATGTCTAAAACATCGAGTCAGAGCTCGAGACGATACAAAATTGTCTAGCCACAATGCAGTCGCTTTGAAAACGAATCAACCGCTTTGGGCTCGGACAGTGCGACCGCTCTACGTGCGTGTTCTAGGACGTAACTTGCATTACTCACATTGCAGATATTTTCTCCCAAGCTCTTGAATCTGGATGTTCCGCTTCCGTTGAGCGCAATGGCCTAATTACTAATTGAGTTCAGCAACCTGATATGCACGAGGTTTACATGTGACAAAAATCCTCCAGGTTTGTCTCCACACGGATGCAATCAAGAAGGTCATTTTCGCGAGCAGTAATAAGCGAGTTTGAATAGGCGCTTTGCTGACGCGCCAATTGCCTTCTTTCCCTATATTATTATCGTCATGTGCTTTCTCAAAAGATGGGTCTTTGAGCGTTTACCACTGTATGAAGGCACCATGTATGTCCTTGGACGTATGCGGAATAGAAGCGAAACCAGATAAGCCCGTACCGTCATACTATGCTCTTATTTCTTAGCCGAACGAAGCCTTCGGGTACACATGTTTTCGTACCAGGAGTGCAAAACCACCACACTGTCTCGTGCATAGGTCTGATCATCAATAGGACAGGCTTGTGCATGCTGAACGAGCCACCTCTAGGCAGGGAAAGGCGCTTTTGAATGGTACTGTGTCTTTGTCTGCCTAAAGAGGGCGTCCAGCTTCAACTGAGTGCATCGAGATCCGTATCATCCAACACTCTGTTTTCCAACCCAGGACCCCTGTCCTCTGAACCGAAGAAAGCAAGGCTATATATCACATGGCCTCTCGGCGAAAGTGTGTTGCAACATCGTGCGAGCACTTGATCTCGTGCGAGCAAGGCCTCTCGTCAAATAGTTTCATGTGCTTTTCGCACTCTTTCGTGCAACTACACCAGAACCAGATGACACCTGGGTTGGCGGATCCAAATGTCCACGTTCAGACTTCACGCTGGCCGAGGACCCGTGAGGTTCTTTCCCTTTTCCCTTTCCGCCTGCCTCCTCTTCGAGCAAGGGGCTTGGGGCCAGCTGAACTTTTGCGAGCCGGCTGATACTGGATGAGCATCAAGAGGGTAGTCACACAGACCGCTCGACAATCATGAGGCTGCCGAGGCAGGCCCACAAAGTGGGTGTGCTGCGATTTGGTGTGCACCCACGTTGACAGAGCCCAGATGAAGCATGCCAAGAGCGAGGCAAGGGGCCTTTCACCGGGTCGTGAGCAGATAGAAGGGATGGACGGCAGCATCATATCTGTCTTCAGATGTGAATACATGGAGGAGAGTTTCAGCCTCCGGCCCGCGTCGTGGCTTAGTGATGCGAGTGAGGTGGGTCGGGATGTGTGAGAAGACTCAGAATGACATTCCAGCAGAAGCCGACGCAGACGGCAACGAACTGGCGTTTCTCTACCGGGACGAAGACGAAATTAAGCAGCATGACCCAGGGCCATATCATCCAGCCGGTGGACAGTATCACAAACAACTTTGCCCTCCAGATGGCGGCTATCTCAGCAAAGGTGTCGACGCGGAACCAGTTGGTCCAGACGAGGAAGATGGTGAGAAAGGTGACCATGCCGACGGTCTGGTCGAGGACCAGCTTTGCGACGATGCATGGCCATCTGACGCCGGAGCGTGTGGCCCTGAGGGACTCTAGGAACTTTGCAGAGGTGCCCTCTGTGCTCATGCGGCGCTCCTCGTCGTCGTCCTTCTTCTCGGGCTTTGGTGGGGCGGGCGACTCTGCCGGGAGCGAGTGGCGGCTAGGGAACATGCGCTCGAGGAAGATGTGCCAGCAGTAGCCAAGCTGTGCCTGGAAGAAGCCGTAGATGGCGAACTCGAGAATACGCTGGCGGTCGATGGGCGGGGGCAAGGGGTCCTGCGAGTGCCATCGCGAGGCCAACTGGGCGGTTATGTTGGCCCCGGCCTTGAGGAAGAGCGCCCTGATGGCGGTTGTCATGAGTGGGCCCATGGCTGTGCGAGCATAGCATCACCACACGGCTGGCGTGAGAGGAGGTGCGTCGGCGGCCGGCATAAGCCTCGCTGATGTTGTGCAAGGCCGACGAGGCGAGGCGAGGCGAGTTGCGTTTGAGGACACGTTCCAAACGGCGAGCAGCGGTGCAGTGTAATCTTAGGGTTAGGGCGGTCTCTTCCACAGCGGCCTCTGCTGCGTGTTTTTGAGCCTCAAAGCCCAACCAGAGAGACGGCGAGTGTTGTAGGCGAGTCGCAGCGTTCCCCGGGCCTTCATCTGCAGCATGGCGGTGGAATCTGTCCAGAGCCCGACCACGGGTTTCTTGGTTCTGGCACGGCTCCCGAGTCTTGTGGCGTGGCGTTCCGAGCCAGGGTCTGTCCTGCATAAGGCAAGCACAGGTGTCGACAAACTACAGCACTAGTATTCTCCATCAACTAACATCACTCACTACATAGGTACTTAAATAGTTCTACTTTTATTCTATATATATTTAAAAAATATATATAATAGTATTATATAATAATTAGAATTTAAAATTTAATATTTTAAGGTATAAATAAAGTCTTTTAATTAATTAAAAGTAATAAAAATATTATACTTTCTTTTTATTATTTAATATTTATAATAAATATAAAAAAGTATAACTAGTTTTCTAACTTAGTTATTAAATTAGTTAGTAGATTCTTAAAGTTAAAATTAAAGCTTTTACTTTAATTATTATAATAGAATGTAAGGAAAAAAAGGTTATATAAAATTTTTAATAAAGGGTTTATAAAAGAGGTCTTTTTTTTATTACTTTAGATTTTTTCTTAAAGGAATTAACCTTACTCTCTTTCTTTTATTCTTAAGAATTCTCTCTATTAAATAATTTTATCCTCTACTTCTCTCTTTAAAACTTTCTTTCTTTAAAACTTACTTATATATTAAACTTTCTATAAAGGTTAAATAGAGCGTTCCTTTAAAGTTATATATATACTTTAATAGTTTATTTTATTATATATAATTTAATTTAAATAATTAATTTAATATATTTTTAACTTAATTATTTACCTTTTATTTATTTATTATATATATTTAAAGTTATTTAACTTTTATATATAAATTTTAAATTATTAAAATAAATAAATTTATAATAGAAAAGAATTTTAAAATAATTATAGTTTAAAGTATTTAAATATATATAATATATATATAATATTTTATTTAATAATAAATATTTAAAATTTAATATTAATATTAACTTTAATTTATTTAACTTTATATTAATAATAATAATTATAAAAATAAGTAAATTAAAAACTTTATAAATTATTTATATTTTTAATTTTATTATCAAATTAAGAGTAAATAATTAAAGTTTTAAAAATATAAAATATAATATATCTTTTAAAAATTAATTTAATTAAGTTTATTATATAAAACTTTTTATAATAACTTTATAATTATTTATAATATTATTTATTATTAAAAGATACTTTTTATATTAATATATAAAGTTATATTTAGTTAGTTCGAGCTAATATATTAAAAGTTAAAGTTATTATAAATTATAAACTACTTAATTTTAATATTATTAAATATTATATATAAGGTTATTATATAATTTAAACCTTTATAAGTTAAATAAAATAAATAAAAATAAAGTTATTATTCTTTTAAAAGTTTTAACTTTATTTAAATAAATATTTATTTATTAACTCTATAAGTAAAACTATTTAAAAGTAGTTACTTAACTTATTATATAATCTATTAAACTAAAAGATAATTAGATAAGGTAACTATACTCTATTATTACTCTAAGTTTATAGTTTTAATAAATTTATAAAAGAAGAAATAATTATTAATAATTAAATTTATAACTATATAAAAATAGACCTTTACTTTAAAAAAGTTATTATTATTTAAAATAGTTAATATATTTTTAAAAGTTAAAAGATTATAAATTTAACTTAAAGTAAATTAAAATTTATAAAATCTTAAACTTAAACTTAAAAGTTTTAATTTAAATTTAATTTATTTAAAAAATATTAAATAAATTTAAAAAAGTTTAAATAAAGTTAAATTAAATTATAATATAATAAAATAGTTAAATAAAAATTAATTAAAAATTATAATTATAAGTTTTTAACTTTATATTTTAAAAAAGAAAAACTTTATACTTTTATTATATTATTAAATATTATTAAATATAATAAAAAAAGTTTTTATATAAAGTATAAAAATATTATTTAATAAAATTATTATAAAATTTAAGAAAATAGTTTTTATATATAAATTAATTAAAATTTAAAAATCATATAAAGATTAATTAAATAAAAAATAAAATATATAAAATATATATAGAAAGTTATATAATATAAATAGTATAAGTTATAAAGAGAGAGTACTACAATCCTTATAAAGAACTTATTCCTCTTAATATATTTATCGTCTAGGTGCTTCTTTATTAATGCCCTATTAGGTAGAGGGCCGATTTCGTACGCCCGATTATCCCGGGCATAGGCGGGAGGAAGGTCTGGCGGTGGATAGAACTTGTTTTGAATGGAATATGCCGGTGCTTGTTCTGCTGGAGGAGTACCTGCGGGCAAGGACCCGTCGACAGTGCAATATCTGTTGTTGTTCTTTGGTTCCATTTGTGCTTGAGTTTAGTTGTTTCAAAGAGTTCTTTTACATCCTTTGTATGACTCTGCCCAAGGCTGCCTAGTACCTTGTCAGGTATTGAGGCTTTTGTGTACATTATGTGTATTTAGGAAGGGAGAAATCTCGCTATTAGACTTACAAGCGGGTAAGGAGCACGAGAATGCATTCTTGATACCAGAATCAAGTAGTTCCCTGTCGGGGATGCTGATGGTTGTAATTAATGATCGACAGCGAGATATGGCGAGTATTTTATTATCTGCGAGTCCCAAATTCAGAAGCTGAGCAAACAAGTCTGCTAGTCGAGTCAACTCTAGCCTGTCTATGAAGTGTAGTCTGATTTTGGTGGCCAGTTTTTGTCCGTCATTCCCCATCTAATAGACTCTATTACGCTCGAATTTCTGGGACACGAGAGGAAGTTGCTTTTGAGAGACGGCGCAATTTTGAAATCAGGAAATAAGTTGCCATGCGTCCTCGTAGTCATCTTGACTGCATGTAAATTGAATTGCGACTTAATTGCGAAATCCTTTTTTTCTGGGCAAACTTAAAGAAACGGTCTATTGTGGTATCTCATGTTGTTGTGAACTTCTTCCAAAACCCCTACCAAGGGCAGAGCCGCCTGCCCAGTCCCTTCCCATGGTCGTATCATAAGCCCGGCAGTGCTTAGGACATCTCAACGTCGTCATCATCACCATCACTGTCATCGACCTGGAGACCATCCAGCTCATCGTCAGAGTCAATCGTGTCGGCCATGAAGTAATCGATTGCACTAGGGAAGATGTCCTCTGCGATAGACACGGCGACCTCGTGTCCGGCCGGGAAGGTCTCAACGTCCTCCTCTGGGAAATCCTCGTCCTCGTCATCTTCGTCATCCGAGTCCTGTGCATTGCCGTTCAGGGCGGCGCGCCTCTTGGCCTGCAGCTCTGCCTTGGCCTCAACGCTCTCGGCGGCACTAGTCCACCGACCCCGGTAGCTGAAGAAATTGAAAAAGGAGATGGCGCCGGCTTCGGCAGTCTCGAGCCTTTGGGCGAGGGCCTTGTACTCTGGCAGCTCGCGGGCGGAGGCGTCGCGGGCCTTGCGGGCATCGCCGGTGACGATGCCGTCGAGCTGCTGGGCGGGGTTCTGCTTCTGGGCGGCCCAGAAGGCGTAGGCAGCGTCGGTCAGGCCCTCGGTCAGATCATGGCCGGGCTTCCAGTTGATGCGCACGGGGTCTGAGACGAGGCCGGCCGAGCCGTCCTTGCCGTAGCGGTACCAGAAAGTCTTCTCGAGCAGCGAGTCTGAGAACCACTTGTTGTCGCCAAAGTGGAAGCGGATTGTGACGCTGCGAGGCTCGCCGAACTTGTCGAGGCCGACGTCACTGACAGTTGCAGAGGCGGGGATCTCGGGACGGCCAATCTCGAGGCCCTTGAGGGCATTTGCAAAGACCTCGAGGTCCGTCTCGGAGACGGCGGCCTCGAGCTCGCTTCTGGCGTGGTCGAAGACGACTGCCCAGAAGCCGGGGATCTTTGAGATGGTGTTCTGGCGGGCGGCCAGGATGTCCTTGGCCATCAGATACTGCTTGGCCGTGATCTCTGTGTCGACATCGCTGAGAGAGGCCTCGATGAGCTGCAGCTCCTTGATGGCCGCAGGCTCGATGACAAAGTCCTCGGACGAGTTCATTATGGAAAGTAGGTGGCGATGGGGGTGTCTGGCAGTAATCTCCTCGATCATGTGGTGCGTGCAGATTGATGTCAACTGCTGTTGGTGTGACGAGGGGTGTTGAGTGAGCAAGTTGGTATGAGATCAATGTGTTGTGAAGCAGTGGGACTCGTGAGCGGAAATAACAAACCGTATAAATATTCAGCCACTGCGATGTTGCATGGATCAACGCGCGTGCAGGCTCAAGAAAATTCGGGCGAGGGAAAAAAAAAAAATCTGACTGGGCACGCCTGTCTTGCAAGGTCCACCAGCACCAGGCGACAGGGTTCACTAGTGGCCAACGGATGGGAACGAGTCAAATTTCATAGGGCAATCTTTGACAGATTCATGCGGCTATGAGGCAAAGAGGGCATGGTGTTATGTAAAGACCGGGGAGCTGCAGGGCATACTACCCTTTGGATACCACTCATGCAGTCTTGCCAGTGACCAGTGACGGCAAATAATGGACGAGAGGCCCAAAGCGGAAGTTGATATGTCGGGGTGCGGCTGAGTCATGCTGGACCCTGGATTTTGGCAGATCTGGTCTCCTCCACCCGGATCCTCGAGCCCGCATCGATATTCACACACCAGCAGACCGGCCGGTCTTGCTGTCCTTGGTCGTTCAAGCAACGTCCCCACACTACCTAGCCGGAGCCGTAACTCGTCATCATGCCATCGTCCAGCATCCGCAATCCAAAACCTCCAGGGCTGCTTTGCAAGCGGCTGACTGGTTTCCTTTTCCCCTCGTCAGTGGTGTAGTGGCCGTCGCAAGCTCCCTACCTGTGCCTTCACCATCAGTGATGAGCCTGACAGGGTCGATCTCAGAGTCCTCGCGTGATGGGTGTGAAGCTGAGGTACCGCGAAAATCACAGGCGCTTGAACAGCCGCACGAACTCTTCTGTGTTGCGAGGTGCTGCCAGGTACCGGTCAATATCCAGATAACGGGCAACCCGCGTCGCTCTTCGGCGCTGTTGTACACAGAAGACACAGGGACGGCTTACCAGACTTGTATTTGAAACCCAGAGGAGCTTCAGTTGGTCCCTTCGGGCATGAGACTCCAAGCGTAGCAGTCGGCAGCGCAGGTTCTGAGCCCTCACGTTTATCCTCTTCTCACTATCGAGGGAGATGGTCGACTGATGCTCCAACTTGTGGCATGGTCGCATCTTTGGTGGTCGAGATCAGCGTGCACCGTGCCGGTTGTTCACTTAGTCTGAGTCTTCATCATGACCAGGCCAAACGATCTCCCGCTGCACTACCGCATAGGCACACCTCCACGCGATGAACAACCAGACCAGGACCAGGACGATGGTCATGACGGTGCTGAACCACAATAGCCCCTCACTTCCCACCGCCCCGGCCACCCGGATCGTCGAGATTGTGAAGCCGGCGTTCGGGAACACAAAGCTCCACCAGCTGAGGTGGAACTTCCTGTCAGGCATGCCCGCAACGACGGCCAAGAGCGCAGACGTGAAAAACCAGAAGCTCAGCCCCCACAAGAACAGCGAGCAGTACAGCGAAGCCAGCCTGACACCGTCGGCTAGCACTGAAGGGCTGGCCATGCCCTTGACGACGGGCACCTGAGCAGCAAATATCCTGGGCACGTCGTCCGCTATGGACACCAGCGCCGCACAGGTGAAACTCGGCGGCCCGACCGCGATGAACATCCCCGGCCGCTGGGCGGGAAGACCATAGACCATCAGCCTGCTCAGATACGTGGCATACATGAAGATGGAGACCATGAAGCCCAGGCCCTGTGCCGCGAGGCCCGAAGTGACCATGGCCAGCGCGTGGGAGGGCGTCTGCGTGCGCGAGTCAAAGGCGGCGATTGTGCCAGCAAGCATTACGGGAAATATCGGTAGTATCCAGGCTGGCGTCATGGCGTGGGCTTGGAGACGGCGCTGCTCCTTGACGGTGAAGAGGAGGTGGTACTGGATCACTGAGACGAGGAAGGTGACGGCGAGGTAGAGCCAGTATGTTATGCGGTGGAACACGGCGAGCCCGCCTTGAGCCGCCGGGGAGAGGAACAGGCTCCCGTACTTCTCCGCGTTGGACAGGAGTGCTGCGATGGAAAGGAAGAAGGTCGAGACGAAGAGGGCCTCCTTGGGGTGGGTCAGAGTCTTGGAGAAGGTGTGCTTGTACAAGACGAAGCGCAGGAGCAGGCATGCGGTGATGAGGATGAAACAGAGCAAATCGAAAAGGAACACGACCAGGCCGATCGTGTCGAGGCCACGGAACCGATGTGGTGTCAAGCCCAAGGTTAGGGCGATACCACCGGTGGACATGCTTGGTGCAGAGCGTCAATTGCCTGTGCAGCGTATCGAGAGGGGCTGGCTTACGTGACAGTGTACCATGCAAATGTGAAATGGCGAAGTCGTTCCCGCAGCGATATTGGCGGCTGCAGGTATGTCGGGATCCTTTCGAGGGTCACTCTTGGTGTTGGCTCCCTGGTGACGTCTCCTTCCTCCGTGGTCGACCCATCCGGAAGGGGTTTGGGTTGTTTTTCCCGGTCGGGAAAGTCACGGACTTGAGGCTCCATGATGCCAATCCTGCAATGTTGAGAGAGCAGCAACCGGGACGGTCTGAGGGACTTCAGTCACGGTATGGTTCAACTGCCTCACGCAGATGCGCCTATGTTGGGTTGTTGGGTGGGCCAATTCGTTACTTGGGATGGTCCCTCTATTTAGATTTGTCGCAGTTGTTGTCGTTGTCGTATTTGTCGTGTTTGTCGTGTTTGTCGTGTTTGTCGTGCTTGTCGTTGATGTTTCATTGTCATATGTGTAGAGCGGGCTCTGTCTCGTCGAGGTGGACGGGCGGTGGATAGGCCAAGGCAGCTCCCGGCCTTATAAAAGGTAGAAAGAGTCCGCTACGACCCCCACCTTGCGGCCCATGTACCACCCACGCAACGGCTATGTACAGGGTTCAATGTTACAATGGCTGGGTGGAAACAAACTCCCGTTAGTGCCCGATGTCAGTGCGGTAGCAACCACGATCAACACCCAGCCCACAGGCAGAGCCTCCTTTTCCTTGATGGCCATGGCCGTGGTAATGGCAGGCGAAAGAAAAAGAAAGAAGAAATCACGTTGAAAATCCTTGTTTGCTTTCGCGGTCCGAGTTCACGCATGTCACCACGCAGCATACCCTTGCGTGGCGCGGTACAGTAGCAGTGACCTCAAGGTCTGGCCATACTGCCCACGGTCTGACCTGCTCTGGTGCCATCACATCAGTCAAGTCAGCCTCTCTTGCTAGGCTTGGCCGAGGCCATCTAGCTGTCGAATGGCGTTGTCTGCCGGAGCTGACACGTGGTGAGGCAAGCCAGGAAACGAGCGCCAGCAGGTGCTTTGGAGGGCCAGCCCGGCATGCTGGCTTTGCGAGCCCACAGAATTCCGGCCCCCAGCGCCTCGGATCTTGTCCCGATCAGCCCATTGTGACGGCCGCCCCCTGAAAGAGCACAGGGGACGCCTAGTCCAAGCTGTAATCCTCGCTGCACATCCCTGGATGATACCGCCACCACCACCACCACCACCAACAATGACATAGGTAGGCCTGGCCTTTGTCTCGCTTATTCGACTTTCGTGTTCAAAAGACACAATCCATGGCCACAGCCCCCTGAGCCCATGATGATTCAAGTTATAGTGGACGGCTTACTGGACAGAATGGGGTATACGAGCCGTGATCCGGATCTTCGATTCTTGGTGGTCAAGACTTACAGCTCCTCTCAGCTGTCTTCTAAAATCTAAGCAACTTGTTGGACTGCCTGTGGATGGTCAGTGCTGGCCCATGCGCCCCCCCCCCCTGGCCCCTCGGGAGATTTATCCCATCAGGTATTATTCTATACGACGTCTTTTTATTTATGAAACAACAGCCTCCCATACGATCCAGACACTGCGCCGTCATCCCGCGGCAGGAGTACATTTGGCAAGAAAGCCAAGCAGGTCTCGATTCGCCCTCGAACATGCGTTCGCAAAAGGCAGAATACCTGGAACTTGCAACAGCTCCCGCATTGTCGTCGGCAGTTTGTCAACAAGATGTTCGACCGTATCCGGTGGTAACTGTACCGAGGCCGCCGCGAGCTTGTTGAACGCAACAATCTTGTTGCGGAGTATCTTGACGTGCGATTCCCTGTCATTTGACAACCTGGTCGCAGGCTGTAAATTGACCTTTGACTCTACGGACGAACGCTGTGGCGCAACCGCCTTGCTCGGGGCGGCTGATAAAAATCGGCTGACCGCCGATCTGGTTGTTTTGCTGATCCCTCGTGGTGCGAGCGCATCGTTGCAGTCAATGCGTGGAGTCTGCATGATTACAGGGCCGACATCAGCGTTCCTTTGTTCGGACTTGTGAGAATTGGCAGTGGTCGCAAGAGCATGGCTAGCCCTATAGGTTTCTGACGCGATAGCTCTGTACCCTCTGCCTGCGTGGTATTGCCATGGTGGCTGTCCCTCTCGTGCTCTGTCTGGCTGCTGAGGGGATTCTACTTCTTCTCGCTTGCGCTTGAGAACAGATGGGTATGCCTCCTCCAGGGGGGTGCTAAATGCCGAACTGTTGGCTGACGCGTCCTCGCCGTCTTCCTCGCCGCCCAGGCTTGCAATCTGCATGCTGAACGATATACCAGTATACAAGTTGGGCATTGAAAATATAGGTTGGTCGGGTTGCACCTGCGAAGCAGACAATTCCGGGAGCAGTATTGGGTGTGTGACTGAAGAAGGCTGCTGGACACCCTCATCTGGCCTCGACGCATCGTCAATGGCTGCCTTTTCGACAAAGTCTTTCACAATCGCTAGCCACGCCGAACCATACTCTGCCAGCTTCTTTTTGCCGATGCCATGGACGCTCAACATTTCAGCATGACTCCGCGGGCACTTCCGGGAGATTGCATGAAGGAGAGTATCGTGGGCAATCACGAATGACGCGCATTTGCGCTGCTTTGCCAGGTGCCTGCGATGTTCTCTGAGTTCCTGAAACAGTAGTTCTGTCCTGGTCTTGTCGAGTACTGCATGCTTTTCAGCTGTACCACACGCCTTGGGCTCCAGCGGCGCCGAGCTAGTTGCTGGCGTCATCGATATGCCACCCGGCGAAACGCCTCCTTGTTGCTGCTGCTGCCCCGCGGCATTCTGGACTCGCAGTTGATGGACCACGTCCGCGCCAGCATCCGCAGCTTCGGCAAAGAGAATATGTCTGCCATGCGGACCAACCCTGACGTACCGACGACGACCTCCCCCAGTGGACGGCGATGTTTCCTTGTCATGTGCAGCCTGGTTATGTTGCGCTGGCTCGGATTCAGCGCATACTGGCGGTTGGTAGAAATGCAACACACTGGTAGGCTGAACAGCGCCAGGTTGCGGCAGCAACTGAAGCAGCCTTTTGGGCCACCGTCCCGGGGCGGCGCGACCGTACGTCTCGGCGTAGACTGGCGGTGGGGGGGAGGGGTCCATGCCGATGCGCTTTGCGTTGAGATAGTGGAATAGCATGAAGCCAGCATATGCATCGGCGGCAGCGTAATGGAGCTGGTCCTTGTTGAGTGGCCCACTCCAGTTGCTGGTCCTCACGGTGCCCTTGTAGAGGGGGAGGCCAAGGTGTTGCTCGACCTGCGCAGCCAGCCCTCTCAGCCTGGTGGTACACCTGGCGGGTTCGGAGGCACCGAAGGACACGAGGTTGTGCAGGTGGCTCAGCTCGAATGCGCCGCGTGGTTTGAGGCCGAACCAGCGCTGGAGGCGAGCAAAGTCGGCGTTGTAAACGCCAACTCCACACTTGGCAATGGCGGGGTCCTCGATAATCTTGCGCAGGGCTGGGGCTAAAAGGTCCTTTGCAGTGCTGCCTGAGTGCATACCGATATGGAAGAGGGCGATCTTGTCCTCGCAGGCGATCTGGATTAGTCCGATTCTCTGCTGCAGAGGGATGCTGGCGGCGGCGTCAGCATTGGAGGGCCATTCCATATCAAAGCCGATGACCTCTTCGTCGAGGAACTCGTGGGCGATCTCCTCGGATTCCAGCTTGGTCCTGGAGTAGAACACCCTCACTGCCTGGTCCTGGGGGCCACGGTACAGATGATGGCCCCAAAACCCAGTGCCGTTCGGGCTCATCTGGAACGAGAGTGGCCATGTTGCCCTGCCCCGCCCGCGATCAGCCATCAATAATAACAACAGGCGCACTAAAACATAGCCCTTGCGGTCGTCCAAGGTCGGCGTTGCATCACTATTCCTGCTGCTGCTGAGTTGTTGTTATCAAGTGTTTTTTGATTGTGGCCTGGTGACTGGTCTTGGGATGGTGTGGATGTTGTTATCTGCTGCCGTCCTCGTCATGGCTGCCGTCAATTGTTAATAACTGAGCGAGATGGTGCGGAGTACATTTACATACTAGGGGTCTAGGTACCTAGGTACTTAAATGTGCGACAACAACCCCCCACACTCAAGCCCAAGTGCCATTCATCTGATCCATGGATGCAATCCCATCCATCGGGATCCATGTAAACCACGAATTCGCCAGGTCATGATTATGTAACCCACCGGGCATGTTCATGTTGCTGACGGACTCCGGGGTCCGTCGGTACATTGATTGTTGCTTGTCACTGCTCGTCCCGGGCTGAATTCCAGTTACCATGTCAACTCATCAGCGCCGCCTTCAGAACGCCCCACCCTACCAACTAGACAGCAGCCATCCGTGCAGCACGAGACCTCCAGCATGAAGCTGTACGCAATAGGTGATCTGCACCTCAGCTACCCAGCCAACCGTGATGCCTGGTCGGAGCTCGACCTCCACCTCGACGACGGCCTTATCCTGTGCGGTGATATTGGCGAGAAGGCTGAGCAACTCGAGCTCGCCTTCTCCACCGCGACCAAGTGCTTTAGGGACGTCTTCTGGTGCCCTGGGAACCACGAGCTCTACACCCTCGCCTCGCCAGCTGGTGCGCCCCCACAGCCACGCGGCGAGGCAAAGTACAACCAGTGTGTGGCCATCGCCCGCAAGTACGGTGTACACACCCCCGAGGATGAATATGTCGTCTGGGACGGCGAGGGCGGGCCCGTCTTGATTGCTCCCATCTTCACCCTGTACGACTACTCCTTCCGCCCAGATCATATCAAGGACAAGGCCGAGGCCTTGAAGTGGGCTGAGGAGTTGGACACGGTGGCCACCGACGAGTTCATCCTGCATCCAGATCCTTATCTCTCTCGCGAGCAATGGTGTGAGGCCCTTGTTGAGAGTACCCAGGCCAAGCTTGAAGCGGCCGCAGACCGTGGCCTGCCCTTGATCCTCATCAACCACTGGCCACTGCGTGAGGACCTCATCTGGATACCCAGAGTCCCAAGGTTCACGCTGTGGTGCGGCACAAAGAAGACCCAGGACTGGCACAAGAGATACAACGCCAAGGTTGTTGTCTCCGGCCACCTGCACGTAAGAAGGACGGACTGGAAGGACGGTGTGAGATTCGAGGAGTGCAGTTGGGGCTATCCGAGACAGTGGGATCACGTGAGGAAGTCTGGCAAAGATATAAATTCCTTCCTACGGGAGATCCTCCCCGGTCCCCCAGTACCAGAGGGCGGTGATGTCCCAACTCAATGGAGGAGATGGGATTGATGTCCCGCGTCTGCCTTCGCTGGTGCCAATGGCGAGACGCGAGGCTAAATTCTACTTGCGCCGGGGCCAGCTCTACCACAGTAGCATCCTTAGGAAGTTGGTGTGTCTGGGTCTCTTAGCACAAGTGCCTATAGTCAAGTTACCGGTCTTGTCGCTGAATGAGCTATACGGATATGCTTGTGCCTACACTGGAATGTATTTGCCCTCAGAGAAGCAGGGAGTGTTTATTGCGAGTGTGAGCTTTTCCAAATCGAGCTGGGAATTGTGGGCACTCAGCAGCCGGTGACCGGAACTTTGAAGCTACTACTGCTCCCATCTGCTGTCTGGGGAGGGGCCAGGGTAAGCACACGCCATATAACTGCTTTATGGCTCACCCCTCATCACCACAACCAATGCAAGCACGCATTTTCTTCATTCATATAATATCACGCCTCTGACACACTTCTACCACAGTCTTTGTTTCACGATTAATGATGGCATTTTCACGGCTCTGGAACGATCTTCTTCAAGGATTAGTACCCTCGCACAGTGCCATGGTTCTGGTTCTGCTGCGTTGTGTATTGTACTACCACATGCTCCTTGCTGCATACAGACTTTCGCCCTTACACCCCCTCCACAAGTTTCCCGGTCCAAGACTAGCGGCTGCCTCCTACCTCTACGAAGTCTGGTTCGATCTGGTCAAAGGTGGCCAGTATACGTACGAAATCAAGAGGCTCCACGATACCTACGGTAAGTCGGCTTGGAAAGCCACGAGCACAACACAGCCCCTTGATATTAGCCAGACCCTTAACCGATAATTAGGCCCAATCGTCCGCATCAATCCAGCAGAACTTCATTGCAATGATCCTCACTTTGCCGACGAAGTCTATGCGCCTAGCAACAGGAAAAGGGACAAGTCTCACTTGTATGTTAGCCACCTGACCGGGGTAAATCAAATGTCCAGCTTTGCTACCACAGATCACGACCTGCACCGTATTCGTCGCGAGCCCCTCAGGAAAAAGTTTTCCGTCGCTCAAGTATCAAAGCTAGAGGCTGAGGTACACGCACTGGCACAACATCTCGGAGATAAAATACTCGCCAGCAGTTCGGTCTTTGACGTCCAGGACGCAATGAGCTGCCTGACCTCGGACGTTGCGTCTCTGCAGGTATTTGGCGAGCCTTTTGGTTTTGTGGTGCAGCAGAAGGGGTTCCATCCAAACTTGAAACGTGCGAGCTATGCAATCTTCACGACATACTTCATCTTCCGGTGGTTCCAGCCGCTAAAGTGGCTATTTGGCCATGGAGGGCGGTGGTTGGCGTGTCTTATGCCCGAGGAAGTGGCTCAATTCCAGTATCTGAACGACGTGGAATTCCCCCGCAAGTTCCAGCACGCCAAGGCCGAGCACGAGGCAGGAATAATCAAGCAACGCCAGACTGTGTTAGATGTCCTCCTTGAGTCAAATTTGCCCGAGCAGGAGAAGACGGCCGAGAGGATCACGGGCGAATTTGTCGCTATTCTCCTTGCCGGCACCGAGACGACTAGCTGGACCTTGACCGTGCTGATATTCTACATTCTTGCGGACAAAAGAGTGTTCACTAAGCTCACCGAGGAACTTGAAAACGCCGTCGAGTCACCCTCTCAGCTTCCCAGGTGGTTCGAGTTGGAGCAGATTCCCTACCTCAGCGCTGTGATTCAGGAGGGTCTCCGCCTCTCATATGGCGTGACCCAGAGGCTTCCGCGGGTGCCGACCCAGGAAGACCTGGTTTATAAAGGGTCATGGGTGCCAGCCGAATTCAGCCACGCACCAACTTGTAACAGCTACACGATACCCAGAGGCTACGCTATCAGCATGTCTAACGGCATGATGCATCACAACGAATCCGTGTTCCCAGATTCGGATCTGTTCTTGCCCGACCGGTGGCTCAATGAGGATGGGAGCAGGAGAAAAAGCCTCGATCGCTATCTGATGAGTTTCAACAGAGGCAGTAGGATATGTCTGGGCATGAAGTGAGTCCACCGACCCTTTCGTATTGGTCTCCCCCATATCTTGCAGGGTACTGACTCTTCACATGTACAGCCTGGCTTACTGTGAAATATATCTCTCATTGGCGGTTCTCGTTTTGCGCGTCCTTCCTCATTTCAAGCTATATGAAACAACAATCGATGACATTAGGCCTACGAGCGACTATTTCATCCCTTTCCCCAAGAAATGTAGTAAAGGCGTTCGTGTGGTGAGAAAGGATTAATTATAACAAGATTCACCCCTTCTCGTGCATATAAATAGAATATAAAGTAGTTTTTCTTACATACTTACCACTATATAAAGGCACTATATATATTCTTAAATATATATAGAATAAAAGTAAAACTTTATAAAGTAGTTTTATTTTTAAATACTATATATATAAAGTTTTTATAATATTTTTATATAATAATAATTAATAAATATTTAATAATTAATACTTTAAAATATATAATATTAATAATAATTTAAATATAATTTTATTTTAAAAATATTTAAATAATTAAGTTTTTATATATATAATTAAATTTATAATTCTTTAAACTTTTAATTATAAAAGTATTATATTTTTATATAATATTTTAAAAAGTTATTAAAGTTATAAATTTAAATAATAAAGTAAATAAATAAATATTAATTTTAAAAATTAAAACTTTAATTAAAATAATAATAGTTTTATATTTATTTTATTTTAATTAATTTATATTAATATATAATTTAAACTATATAATAAATTTAATATTTTTATATTATATATATTAATATTAAATTAATTTATAATTTTAATAATTTTAATATTTAATAAATTAATTTATATTAAATTAATTTATATTAAAATAAATAATATTAAATAATATTAATTAAAATAAATTTATAAAATAATATATTATAAATATATTAATTAATTAATTATAATTTTAAATTATTTTAATTTAAAATTAATTATTTATTAATTTATATTATTATAATTTATTTTAAAACTTTTAAAACTTTAAATAAATAAAAATTAATTATAATTATTTTTATTTAATATATAATTAATAAAAGTTTAAAATTAATAATATAATATTAATTTTAAAGTTTATTAATATTTATTTTTAATTAATTATTAAATAAAAGTTTATATTTATTTTAAATATTATAAAATTTATTTTAAAATAATTAAAATTAATTAAAGATTTTTAAATATAAAATTTAAATTCTTTTAAATATAAAATTAAAAGATTTATAATTATAATTTTTAATTAATTTTTATTTAATTATTTTATTATATTATAATTTAATTTAATTTTTAATTTTATTTAAGTTTTTAAGTTTTATAAAAGCTTTTATTTTTATAAATATAAATTTTAAATTAAAACTTTTAAGTTTTAAATTAAGATTTTTATAAATTTTAATATATTTTAAATTAAATTTATAATTTTTAAACTTTTAATTATAAAAGTATTATATTTTTATATAATATTTTAAAAAGTTATTAAAGTTATAAATTTAAATAATAAAGTAAATAAATAAATATTAATTTTAAAAATTAAAACTTTAATTAAAATAATAATAGTTTTATATTTATTTTATTTTAATTAATTTATATTAATATATAATTTAAACTATATAATAAATTTAATATTTTATATTATATATATTAATATTAAATTAATTTATAATTTTAATAATTTTAATATTTAATAAATTAATTTATATTAAATTAATTTATATTAAAATAAATAATATTAAATAATATTAATTAAAATAAATTTATAAAATAATATATTATAAATATATTAATTAATTAATTATAATTTTAAATTATTTTAATTTAAAATTAATTATTTATTAATTTATATTATTATAATTTATTTTAAAACTTTTAAAACTTTAAATAAATAAAAATTAATTATAATTATTTTTATTTAATATATAATTATAAAAGTTTAAAATTAATAATATAATATTAATTTTAAAGTTTATTAATATTTATTTTTAATTAATTATTAAATAAAAGTTTATATTTATTTTAAATATTATAAAATTTATTTTAAAATAATTAAAATTAATTAAAGATTTTTAAATATAAAATTTAAATTTTTTAAATATAAAATTAAAAGATTTATAATTATAATTTTTAATTAATTTTTATTTAATTATTTTATTATATTATAATTTAATTTAATTTTTAATTTTATTTAAGTTTTTAAGTTTTATAAAAGCTTTTATTTTTATAAATATAAATTTTAAATTAAAACTTTTAAGTTTTAAATTAAGATTTTTATAAATTTTAATATATTTTAAATTAAATTTATAATTTTTAAACTTTTTAAAAATATATTAATTATTTTAAATAATAATAACTTTTTTAAAATAAAAGTTTATTTTATATAATTATAAATTTAATTATTTATAATTATTTTTTTTAAAGTTATTAAAATTATAAATTTAAAGTAATAATAGAATATAATTACTTTATTTAAAGGTTATTTTTAGTTTAATAGATTAATTAAGTAATTATTTTTAAGTAGTTTTATTTATAAAGTAGTAAAGTTAATAATCTTTTAAGTTTATTAAATAAATATTTATTTATAAAGTAAAGTTAAAATTTATATATATTTTTAAGAAAGTAATAGCTTTTATTTTTATTTATTTTAATTAATTTATATTTAAATTATATAATAATATTATATATAATATTTAATAATATTAAAATTAAATAATTTATAATTTATAATAATTTTAACTTTTAATAAATTAATAATATTTATTTAAATTAATATAATTTAATATATTAATATAAAAGATATTTTTAATAATAAATAATATTATAAATAATTATAAAGTTATTATAAAAGTTTTATATAATAAATTTAATTAAATTAATTCTTAAAAATATATTATATTTTATTTTTAAAACTTTAATTATTTATTTTTAACTTAATAATAAAATTAAAAATATAAATAATTTATAATTATATAAATTTAAATTTATGTTTTTAATTTAAAATTAAAATAAATTTATAAAGTAATATATTATAAATATTTTAATTAAAAACTATAATTTTAAATTATTTTAATTTAAAATTAATTATTTATTAATTTATATTATAAATTAATAATATAATATATTAATATAAAAGTATTTTTAAAATTTTATTTTTAAAATTTTAATTTAATTTAAATAAATATTTATTTATTTACTTTATTATATTATATAATAAAAGTATAATTATTAATTATATATTTATATTATTTAATTAAAAGATTATAATAATTAATTTATTTATTAATTTTTAATAATATATAAATATTATATTATTATTATTTTTTAAAAGTTTTTATAAAGTTTTAAATATATAAAAAAGAGAGTTTAAATAGTTTTAAATAATATATTATTAAATTAATTTATATATTTATAAAAGCTTAAAAACTTTAAATAATATAAATTATTTAATTAAATTACTTTTAAAAATAAATATTATTTTTAATAATATAATTATAAAGTTAAATAAAATTTTTAAATATAAAGGTTTAAATTTATATTTAAATTAATTATTATAATAAAAGGTATAATAATTAATTATATATTTATATTATTTAATTATAAAGTTATAATAATTAATATATTTATTAATTATTTTTAATAATATATAAACATTATATTATTATTTCTTATAAATAAAATTATTTATATTTTTAATTTTACTATTAAATTAAAAATAAATAATTAAAGTTTTTAAAAATAAAATATAATAAATTTTTAAAATTAATTTAATTAAATTTATTATATAAAACTTTTTATAATAAATTTATAATTTATATTTATAATATTATTTATTATTAAGAAATATTTTTATATTAATATATTAAATTATATTAATTTAAATAAATATTATTAATTTATTAAAAGTTAAAATTATTATAAATTATAAATTATTTAATTTTAATATTATTAAATATTATATATAAAATTATTATATAATTTAAATAAATATAAATTAATTAAAATAAATAAAAATAAAATTATTATTTCTTTAATTAAAGTTTTAATTTTATTTAAATAAATATTTATTTATTAACTTTATAAATAAAATTACTTAAAAATAATTATTTAATTAAATTAAAAATAATTAAATAAAATAATTATATTTTATTATTATATATAATATTTAAATTTATAATTTTAATAAATTTATAAAGAAAACTATTAATAATTAAATTTATAATTATATAAAATAAATTTTTAATTTAAATAAAATTATTATTATTTAAAATAATTAATATATTTTTAAAAACTTAAATATTTATAATTTTAATTTAAAATAAATTAAAATTTTTAAAATTTTAAATTTAAATTTAAAGGTTTTAATTTAAATTTAATTTATTTAAAATAAAATATTAAATAAATTTAAAAATAAAATTAAATTAAATTATAATATAATAAAATAATTAAATAAAAATTAATTAAATAATTATAATTATAAATCTTTTAATTTTATATTTAAAAGGAAATTATTTATATATTTTAATATATAAATTTATAATTTTAATAATTAAATAAAAATAATTATTAATAATTAAATTTATAATTATATAAAATAAAATATTAACTTTAATTATATAAATTATATAATTTCTTTTAAATATAAAGTTAAAATTTATAATTATAATTATTTAATTAATTTTTATTTAATTATTTTATTATATTATAATTTTAATTTAACTTTATTTAAGTTTTTTAAGTTTATTTAATATTTTTTAAGTAAATTAAATTTAAATTAAAATCTTTAAATTTAAGTTTAAAATTTTATAAATTTTAATATATTTTAAATTAAGTTTATAATTTTTAATTTTTTAAAATATATTAATTATTTTAAATAATAATAACTTTTTTAAAATAAAGATTTATTTTTATATAATTATAAATTTAATTATTAATAATTATTTTTTAATTTATAATAAAATTATTAAAATTATAAACTTAAATAATAAAATATAGTTACTTTTATTAAAAATTATTTTTAATTTAATAAATTATATAATAAATTAAGTAATTATTTTTAAATAGTTTTATTTATAATATAATAAAGTTAATAAATAGATATTTATTTATAAAGTAGAGTTAAAACCTTTAAAAAATAATAATTTTATTTTTATTTATTTTAATTAACTTATTTAAATTATATAGTAATATTATATATAATATTTAATAATATTAAAACTAATCTATAATTTATAATAATTTTAACTTTTAATATATTAACTTAAATAAATATAAATTAATATATTAATATAAAAGATATTTTTAATAATAAATAGTATTATAAATAATAATAATAAATTATAAAGTTATTATAAAAGTTTTATATAATAAACTTAATTAAATTAATCTTTAAAAGATATATTATATTTTATTTTATAAAACCTTTACTATTTATTTTTAACTTAATAATAAAATTAAAAATATAAATAGTTTATAAATTATATAATAATAAATTTAAAAGTTTTAATATAAATTTAATTTATTTAAAAAATATTAAATAAATTTAAAGAAATATTTAAAATAAAATAAAATAATTAAATATAATAATTATAAATTTTTAACTTTATATTTAAAAATATAAATAATTTATAAATTTAAATTTAAAATAAAACTATTTATTTTTTAATTAATAATTTATATTTTAAAAACTTATTTTATATATTATAAATTATTTATTAAAATTTAAATTAAATATTTATAAAATTAATTAATAAGTTTATTTATTTTATTAATTTAAATAACTTTTATATTTTTAAAATATAAAATTATAACTTTATTATTTTTTATATTATTATTTAAATAACTTTAATTTTAAATTAATAAACTTTTATAAATTATTTAAACTTTTTTAATATAAATTATAAATATTATTTTATTACTTTTATAATAAAAATAATTATTATTAATTAATTAATAAAATTATTTAATTAAAAACTATAATAATTAATTTATATAATTAATTATTTAATAATATATAAATATTATATTATTATTATTTTTAAAATTTTTAAAACTTTTAAATATTTAAAAATAAAGTTATACTTTTAAATTAATTTATATATTTATAAAAGATTTAAAATTTTAAATAATATAATATAAATAATAAATTATAAATAATAGATTTTTAAATAATTTAATTAAATTACTTTCTTATAAATACTCCTTTTAATAATATAATTAAAAATAGAAATCTAATATTAAAAATTAAATAAAACTTTTAAATATAAAGGCTTAAATTTATACTTTTAATTAAATTAATTATTATAATAAAAATAGTAATTATTATTAATTAGTTATTTAAACTATTTAATTAAAAATTATAATAATTTATTTATATAATTAACTATTTAATAATATATAAATATTATACTATTACTATTTTTTATAATATAAAATTAAAATATTTATAATTATAATTCTCTAATTAATTTTTATTTAATTATTTTATATTATTAAAATTTAATTTAATTTTAATTTAAACTTTAAGACTTTTTTACAAGAAGGAACTCACCACAACACCAATCACTGTGCTAGAGCAGCTATCAGCATGGTGGGCTAACCCTGTCTGTGCCATTGCCACGCATGGCAGGACCTCCGCAAGGAACATCCGTGTTGTTCCTACTTGATCGCGAGTGCTGTAAGACATTGTGACATGTGGCTCGACTTAGGAGATCCGAATTTGGACCTTCCTTGGAGAGGAATCTTATAGGCTAGGTGGCACTCGATGGTGGTGGATACCAACTGGAAGTTGGAGAGATCCAACAGCAGACGCGGGAATTAACTTCACCGTCCCATATTGCCGTCCCGACTATGGGATAGTTGTGCTAACTTCGTACATGGAGGCAGGATCACCAGTACTAACCAGGGTCCCGAGAAAAATGAGCTGCCCACCGATTCCCGTATCTTGGTGGGGCTCATCGCCTCTGAGCAAGTTCAGCGGCGAAAAGTGGTGAGTAGCACAAGAAAGCCGCGGGGCTCTAGTTTAAATACAATCAATCACGCATACTGTCTTTCCTGGTCACCAGCGCCACAAGTCTAGCGTCTATTGATCATGTTCCGGTCGGGGTCATTTCCTCACAGAAGCAGCCAAAATACAGCAGATGGACGTACATGCGCCTTGATTTTCAGATGTTATCTAGACATGAATGCATGGCATATGATCAACCGCCGGTATTAGCCAAGTGCGGGGTGCTAGATCATCCAGGCTAGCCCTTGACGGCGTAGATGGCCTCGGCCAGCCTGCCGACGTTGTCGCTGGTAATGCCGGCGACGGAGATACGGCCGTCCTTGGTCGCATACACAGAATGTTTCTTTGCTAGCTCATCCCTAAGCCCTTGTATCAGTATCCCGCCTTGTTGGGGTCGTGTAGCTCGGGGCGGTCTTACATCTGCTCCGGCGTGAGGCCGGTGTAGGCAAACATGCCGATCTGGCTGGTGATGTGCGACCAGTCGTGCTTGGAGCCGAGCTGCTCCAGCTTCTCCTTCAGCAGCGCGCGCATGGTGATGATGCGGTCGGCCATGCCCTTGACCTCGACCAGCCACTGGTCGTACAGCTCGGGGTTGTTGAGGATCTCGGCGGCAATGCGGGCGCCGTGGATGGGGGGGTTGGAGTACAGGGGCCTCACGATAATCTTGATCTGGGAGTCGACACGCTTCTTCTCCTCTGCGGACTCGCACACGACGGAGAAGGCGCCGGCGCGCTCTCCGTACAAGCCCATGTTCTTTGCGAAGGACTGGGCCAGGCAGGGGTTGTGGCCCTTCTCGACAAAGTAACGCAGGGCGAAGGCGTCCTGGTTGGTGTCGCCGCTGGCGAAGCCCTGGTAGGCCATGTCGAAGAAGACGTAGTGCTGACGCTCGCTGACGGCGGCCTCGATGGCCTTCCACTGGTCGGGGGTGGGGTCGACGCCGGTGGGGTTGTGGGCACAGGCATGCAGCAGGAAGACGCTGCCCTTGGGGGCGGCGTTGATGTCGGCGATCAGGCCATCAAAGTCGAGGCCGATGGTGTCCTTGTTGTAGTAGCGGTACTTCTGGACCTTGAGGCCCGAGTCCTTGAAGACGGCGGCATGGTTGGCCCACGAGGGAGTGGGGATGTAGATTGTCTTGTCGCCGGGGTAGAAGCGTGCCAGGAACTCGCCGCCGATGCGCAGTGCGCCGGTGCCGGAGATGGACTGGGTGATGGCGATGCGGTCGAGGGCGGAGCTGTCCTTGCCGTAGGCCAGCTTGGCGGCGGAAGCGGTGAACTCGGGCACACCGGTGATTCCGGCGTACTCCTTGTTGAGGCGCGACTGGATGACCTTGTCCTCGGCCTTGCGCACCGAGGGCAGGACGTAGGGCTTGCCCTTGTCGTCGCGGTAGGCGCCAACACCTGCGGGCGGTCGCGGGTCAGTGTCACTGCTGCTGCTGCTGGTGGTGGCGGGGGCGCCGGGGCGCGGGCATGGTTACCGAGGTTGATCTTCTTGTCGAAGGAGTCGGCCTTGAACGCCTCGGTGATACCTGTCGAGGGGCATTGAGGTCAGCGGCCAGCTTGTGTCGGTCGGCGAGAGCAGCAGTGGCCGACGTACCCAGAATGGCCTGGTGACACGCGGAGGTGCACAATCAGCATCCGCAGGCCCGGTGGGGTCCATTGATGAGGTCCATTGATCGAGGTCAATTGATTGGGGTCCATTGACTTACATCCTGCAGACGGTTAGCGCGGGCACTCGAGCTGGGACGGCGGGTGAAGCCATTGTGAGTTGCAGCAACAGAGGTAAAATGGGCCTCGTGGGCCTCGGGGGCCAGGCACATACCGGAGGACCCTGGGGCACATTCGCCCAGGTCGATGCTGCGCGCAGAGATGCAACGTAGCGGGGAGCAGCTGCTCGCCGGGCGGCGGATCGGAAGGTCGTGGACAGCATTGTTCGTTGTTGTTGTTGTTGTGGGCAGGAACAACAGGATGAAGACGAGGTGGGAACGAGGTGGGAATATGCGTGGGCACTCGAGAAAAGTGTCGACTGTTGTGCGTTGCAAGCTTGCCAGCAGCGCGTCGGCGCCGATCCAGGCCACTTCCAAGCAAGCTCCTGCTAACACCAGACACAGGTGTGTGGGCCTTGCTAGCCACCTCCGCAAAGTCCCGGTTCGGCAGGATCTATCCTGGGGTCCCCACAGGTGGCCTGACCTCATTACATAGTACGTACCTACCTAGGTACCTAGATAGGCATCCACTCCCAACGTCAAGTCTACCTAGGTACTCCGTACTTACACGTATGTGGTACCAGTATCCCCACCCGTCGAGGGAAGGCGAACCTTGGAAGCAACCTTGGAAGCAAGTTATCTCTAGGTATACATATACAGGTGCTCGTTCATACAAACTAAAGGACACCAGGCCGCAGCTTCATCCTGGCTGATTACAAGTGTCGTACGGTTTGTGAGCCCTGTCCTGCAGAGAGGCTGCCTTCAACAACATCGACCTCAGACCCCATCAATGCAAGCGCGTCTTCTTACTTCAGTCATCTAATTAGTCCGTCATGGCTCCTTCAGCCGAGTCATCGCGGCCTCGCAATTAGCACCGCCGAGACTCGCGCCGGCCTGAGTGAATCAATCATGATACCGTCTCGCAACTTGAGCCACGAGGTTCTCATATGTCGGGGTGCCATGATCTTATGTGTTCAACTTTGGGCATCGCCAATGTGAGCCTTGCTACAAATTGGAAGGTCATAATACCAGAGATGCCAAACTTGCGTACCTGAGATTTTCAGAATCACTCCGACTCAAGGCAGGCACCAGAGTAGTGCCGGGCAACGACCTACCGAGGTGTGCGGCCCCTCGGCTGCCTCAAATCCTGGCGATTAGGCATCAAGAGTAGTCCCAAGTCAATGGCATCGTGCAAAGCACAACACGCGCAATGGACGGCGATACCGTGAGAGCGGCTTCCCACTAGCTTTTAGACACTCGACCAGGGCAGAAAGGCATGTGGGCGGGCTGACGCGACGTGAGACACAGACCGAGCATAAAGATTTCCACCGGAAATCTTGGGACCAGTGTGTTGAGTCTAACAAGGCTGATGATGGTTGGATTGGCGATGTATATGCAGTAACAAGTCTTGGTTTCATGTCCTGGATCTACCAGTTTCAGATGACGGGCATTTTGGCCAAGTTCCCCATGGTTGAGGTGATGCCTGAGCTGGATGCTGGCAACCTCGTGTCCAAGTGTTGAGAAGCGCCAAGCCGGGTCATCCAACTTCGATGTCTCTATGTGCTTATCCAGCCCCGCAAGCTTTGTCAATGGCGTTGTTAACCAAAGACAGCACTTGGGTTTGGAGACCCGAGTGGTCTTCACAGCCTTATTTAGAAGCTGCGTTCCTCCAGCGAGCACAAACGTCTTGCACGACTCGCTACGGGGCTGCTCTTCGGATTGAAATACCAACGCAGACACTCCATTACCAGGTCCTGCAGAGCTTACAGTTCTGCACGGTTGGACCTCTTGTGCACCCGTGTCCTGGAGCCGTCAGCGCCGCCTTCTTCTTTGCAGGCACGGTTCATCGGGATCAAATATGGCTGATCAATTTGGAGCTTCCAGCAAATCGGGCTTCAAATCCTTCAGAGCTCCACGGAGCGCGGCCAAAACGCGCCCGTGTAGGTTGCTCGGGGCAGCCACGATGCCGTAATTCGAGACCATCTGCCTGCCTGCAGTCCATATGATGTCCTTCCCATCAACATCGGTAATCTTGCCTCCTACTTCCTCGAACACGAGCATAGCACCGGCATGGTCCCAGACTTTTGCAAGTCTCGATCTCGATTTGTACGCCCAGAACGTCGTGTTTCCGACATCAAGTGCGAGGAGCACGTAACGGAGCACCCAGGGCAGAAGGGTGCTTCCCGGATACTCGATCCCGAGCTCTCTGGCCGCAGACTCGTGGACCGCTGGCACGCCGCTCGTGTTGAGGCACGTCACAGATCGTAGGTCGCTGGCTTGCTCTGCGTGCCGGGGCAGACGGCGTATGGACGCGCTTTGATACAGACCGGGAAGCTTCCGGATGAAGGCACCGTGGCCTCGCACGGCGAACACGATGCTACCCTCGCCCGAAGGATCCAAAGAGCTGTCCGAAGCAGGCGACTTGACATCCATTGACAGGTTGGGGCATCCTATAGCGGACAATACCTGCCTGCCATCTTCCAGAAGGCCGATGTTGATGGCATAAACCAGGTTCTTGACAAAGTTTTCTGTGCCGTCGATTGGGTCGAACACCCAGACCCTGCCCCCAACGTCGGGTGTTCCCGTGCCGCACCAGTCGATCATTGTGCACATCTCCTCAGGCGAGCTCGGGAACCTCACCAGAGAGGCAGGCTCATCCTGAACCTGGCTCTGGATGTGCTGCAGCGCAGCCTGCACACGGTCTAGCAAGGCAGGGTTGGCCCTTAGCTGAGCTGCTGACTCTTCGCCGACGAACTTGTCACCTGGAAAATGGGCGTGCAAGGTGCTGGTAAGCAGAGCTTGAATGGCGAAGTCTGCAATGGTCACAGGACTCAAGTCGTCTTTGGAGACAACCCCCAAGTCGTGGGCGTCATTTTCACCAGCCTGGGACAGGACAAACTGGCTGAGTTGTGCGGCTTGCTGGATGGTTTCAAATGCAATCTTCAACTCTTTCGAGTAGGGTGAATCCATCGTATGCGGCAGGATCCGGCCAATTTACCGGAATTTTCCCTGGATAGTGATTCCCAGAAGAGGTTTCTCCTTTGCGATAGTTGTTGTGAGGGAGGGAGAGCGCAACTTTGCCATGGGCACAACAAACTCATCAAGCTAGAGGAGGGCCGTGGAAGAGGTGACGTTTCCTTACCCGAACCCTTTTCTGGCCGACGCAATTTTGAGGTGGCTCCAACAAGCCACCCGCTTTGGCCACCCTCCCCCCTTTGCAAAGCCGAAAGAATGGAGAAGGAAAATCTTGGTCTGGACGAAGTAATATGAAAGACCGAAGTTAACATGAATGGCGACTGGGCATTACACTGGGCGAGAAGAGAAGCTTATCATGCGAGCCAGTGTGAAGTTCATTCGCCCAAGACCCAAATACGCTGAAGCCGATGCCATCAAGTAGTCACCTTTCCAGCTACATGAGGACCGTTCGTGACCATGTCGAACCGTCAAAATGTACCTGTCGAAAGAATTCAGTCACAGCTCTCCGACGCCATACTAGGATCATACGCGCATCCATCCCCTCAGTCGGTTTGTTTCTTGCCGAGTCTCTCGCAAAAGCGAGGCGAGGGGACGACCCCAACTTACTAAGTATCAGATATGTTCCAACAGCGGACCAGGCAGACAGACACCATCCCTCAAACACGGCCCGCTTACCTCGGTGGCTTTGCACTTGCACCCCAGAATAAGTCGATAACTACTTTGGGGCTCTTCTCTGAAGACTGTGTCCGCTTCGACATTCTGGACAGCCTGCTCATTTATGACCTGGCACTCTATTGCCCTCGGTCTAGCCACCTTTGCCGGCTTGGGCCTACTGTATGGCGTCTCAGTGGCCCTCTTCTCACCTCTTCGCAAAATACCAGGCCCCGTTGCAGCCCGATTCACTAACCTATTCCACCTCAACCACATTCACCATAAATGCTTCCATTACGAGAACAAAGCCTTACACAACAACTATAGGCCTCTCCTATACCTAAATGAAAACCTTATAAGCATCGACGACCCGAGGGCTTTAAAACCCATCTACGAGGGTAAGTACTTACCCAAGTACTTAGCTTAGCCGAAGGCTCTCCTTTTATACGGCGCTCTCAAGTACAGTATAGCAGTATATCCGGGCTTCAGAGACCACAACAGACTTCCGGACCCGTCGTTCTTATCCCGCTACAAGGAAACCAGCAACACAGCTTACTAACATACCTTAAAAGTTGGCTCGAGGTTTCCCAAGAGCGACTGGTACACCGCCTGGATAGCTCCTGGGCCGAATGGCCATAAGGGAGGGAGAGAGTGGAATGTGAGGAGGCACGGAGACAAGGCAGAGGTTTGGGAGAAGGGGACCACGAGGGACTTCCTGGATCGACTTCTCGACAAGCATGAGGATAACCCCGACAAGACGACCATGTATCACGTCTTTCTTGTTGGCCTGGCAAACATCAACGCCGGCTCTGACACGACCGCCGCGAGTCTTTCCGGCATACTATACTACTTGCTTAAAAACACCACGGGTGCTAGCTAAGCTGCGGGAAGAAATCGACAGCTTCACTGCCCAGGGCCAGCTGTCTGCACGCCTGACATTCAAGGAGACGCAGCGAATGCCCTATCTTGACGCGGTAGTGAAGGAGGCCCTGCGACTACATTCGGCCGTGGGGCTCCCTCTTTGGCGCGTGGTTCCACAAGGCGGACTCGACATCGCTGGGCAATACCTACCCGCGGGCACCAACGTCGGCATCAATGCCTGGGTCGCCGTAAGCTCACTCCCGCATCTCATGTCCGGGCAATCACCCATCGCTCTCTAGTCCGAGAAGGAAGAGGCTAACCCCTGGGACTCATCCCCCGACCCAGCACTTCAATGAAGGTGTTTGGGGCGACGATGCCAGGCAGTTCAGACCAGAGCGCTGGCTTGAGGCTTAAGCTGTTGCGCATGCCGGAGACAGGTACCGGCTGCAGCGGATGGAGGCGTACTATAGTAAGTGCCCAGGCGGCCACCACGGTGCTTTGATCGTTTTTCAGGATCGCTAATCGTAGCTCATATAAGTGCCTTTTGGATTGGGCTCCAGGCCTTGTGTCGGCAAGCATATAAGCATTCTTGAGACATCGAAGCTGATTCCTAGGCTTCTCAGAGAGTTCGACTTTGGACTGGAGCAGCCCCACCAAGATTGGCATTGCGAGGACTTCCGGTTCGTCATACCTGAGGGGTTGCCTGTGCGAGTCAAGAGGGCAGACGTCACCTCTTGAGTCGTGTAATTCCATATGTGTATTTGTCGTTCGGTAACACCCTTCACGGCGACGTGCCCCTCGTTGCGGATCCCAGACCATCCATCTCAGCGGCCGCTTATGAACCACTCGCGCATACAATTGAATCTCGGCCGCGTGCACTGTCTCAGAAAGAATTAATTGTACGTCCGCATTTCTGTGGGGGTGCGTGTCTACAAGCAGCCCCCGTGTAAATCTTGTGATCCACTACCTAGCCCTAAGGAGTCTACCAAACGCCGTTTCGATGCCTTGCTGCTGTCTTGATCCCGTGGTAGCCGCTCGGAACGTGCTCTCGTCAAGGGCTCCGGGACATGTCCGCCTTCCAAACCCAGGGCACGATCCCATGGTCACCGTGGTACTATACCATGAAGGACTCGCCACAACCACATTCCTCCTCTAGGTAGGCGGGCAGATCAGCACTTGGTCATTTCGACAGCATCAAGGCCAAGGAGCGAGTCGTCCGGGCCTGGGTGAAAGGGCGTATCACTCACTGATGTTTGGGTTCCGAAACACGAATTTCTGGTTCAACTTGTCCTCCACCCAATCCATCTCGCTGCCGATGATGCTGAACAAGGCCTTGCTATCGATGAGAACCTTGACGCCGTCTTGTTCGACGGTTTCGTCGAAGGCTCCCGGCTTGTCTATGTATTCCAAGTGGTAGGCCAGCCCGCTGCAACCCCTGTTGCGCACGCCGACCTTGATGAGCTTCGGGTCTGGCTGGTCGAGCAGGGCGCGTAGGTGGTCCACCGCAGCGGGGGTCAGCTTGAGCGCTGCCTTGCGTGGCGCGCGCAGCTTGGAGCGCGGCCTTGGCTTGGGCGCCGAGGGGTCGGCAGGCTGTGGTGATGGGGTGGTCGCAGGCTTGGCTGGCTCGCTTCGACGGGTCGACTCGGCTTGGGTTGGTGTAGGAGCCGATGGGTGTTGGTGGGCAAAGTCGGTCTGGGACCTCTGAGATTCGCCATCGCGTACCGAGGCCCAGCTGCCAGCATCCAGGGATGAGGGCGGCCGTGTCTCGTGGACTCTGGGCAGATGAGGGGTGACGGGATGGGTGACGGAGGTGTCTGGGCCGGAAGCGCTGCGCGGTGGCGACGGCGGTTGAGGGTTGAGGCGGTATGACTGGAACTCTGGGAAGGGCAGACGTTGGGTCGAGGAGAACTGCCGCAACATTGACCGTCTGCACGAGAGGCAGACGGACGAGGCTGTCCTCCGAGCGACTGCGGGCGCATTCATGGTCTTGAGTGGCGGCGTCGAGGGGTATCGCTGAGCATGCGGGGGATGCTGGTGAGCCGCTGGAGAGGGCCGGGCGGGACAAGGCGAAAGCAGAAGGCGAAATACGACACGGAATGTGGGGGGTTGTCTGTCTGTTCTTCGGCTGCTTTGCTGCTTTGCAGGTTGTTGGCAACGAGGGTGTTGTGTTGGTTGGACCAACAAAAGGTTGTTTCTAGGAAGTTCGGACCGTGGCTGGCTGATGTCAAATGAGCCGATTTCAAAGAAAGCTGGGCCCATGACATCTTGCCGACAGCTAAGCACCGTTTCTTCCCGGGCCAATCATATGAGACACATAGTAATGCAAGGGGTCGGCGGCCCTTTTTTGCTGCACATGGTGACATGGATCACCAGGGTTTGCTACTATCTGCATCTACCCAACCATTTGAACTTGATATAATAAACTATACCAACTACGTTGAGAGTACTCTCTCTTCTAGCGATTCCCCTACCCCTAAAACGTAAACCGGTCACCTTAACCGTCACCCCCTTCCTTATCTCCTATAGAGAGAGAGCTAAGTATTATAATATAATAATTAACATAATATTATATACCTTTAAAAATTTAAATATATATTAATAAATAAATAAAATATAAAATTAATAAAATATAAAAATATTATTTATTTATTTAATTATTAGAACTTATTATAATAAAATATATTTATTATATTAAAAATATTTTTTATAACTTTTTTATTTTTAAACTTTAAATTAAAAACTTTAACTATTATATTCTTCTTTCTTTTTTAAAGAGAAATAATAAGTTATTATAAATAATAGTTAGAGTGATACTATCTATTTTTAAAGAGGCTTAAGTATATACTAATGGGCGGGAAAAACTTATAAAGTGAAAAATGGCGCTACCGTTTGTCTATTCTTCGAAGGCTTTGAAGGTGTAACTGCGTAAGGGTTCGGCAGATTAAAAGAACGGGCCATATATCAAGGGACGGTGACTACAATGCATCTTGCTGCTCACTCAGCCACCCGCGTCCTAACATCACCAACCGCGATCCTTGCCACCTTCTTTAGGAGAGTCCTCTCATCTGCCTCCCTGTATCGCTCCCACGAGTCCAGACCCTCCTTTGCCTGTATGCTGAGCGTCTCGTAACCCTGCTTGATCACCTCTGCCACCTGTAGGCTCGTCAGCACGCCGCCCGCGCCCGTCTTGCTCCCCTTCCCTCCCTTCGCTCCGCCGTCGGCCAGCAACGTCTTGTAGTGCGCAGACACGCTGACGAGTGTCTCGATGCTATTCGTCGGCCGGTTCGCCAGTTCGTATGTGTCGCGGAACTTGACCAACACGTCGCCCGCCTCAACTACCTTGTAGAACAGGTCGTCGTATGCCGCCGGCGTGGGTAGGAAAGCCTCGCCCGCCGACAAACCCAGCGCAAGGAGGTTGACAACATGATCGAGAAGCACGTCAATGTGTGACAAGTCCTTCAGATCGGCCGCGTATGTCGTCAGGAACTTAATCAGCGACAACAGGGAGCGGAAAAGCTCCGACCAGTGATACGATAGCCGCGTGCGGGATCGCGACATATAGCTAATTATTCGCAGTAGAATTCCTACACAAAGCGTGTATAGGTTGACGTCCAGGCGGCGCTTCAGGTTGTGGTTTATGCCATCGATCATGGTGTCAATGACCGCCATTGCGATGGCCCGTTCGCCACGGACCAGGGGGAGGTAGGGCTGCCTTTGTCGGCAGAGCCTCACGGGCACCTTGTTACCTTCACTGCACATGCGCTTGCAGAGGACGGGGTCCTCAATCAGAAGTCGGAAGACCATCAGGTTGAGATGTGAATAGAGGGCTGCCCGTGTGGAAAGATGAGCGTGGGTCAGCAAGTATGACGTGAGTGAAATGTAGCTCGCGAACGGCTGCTCTTCGCCCTTATCGGGAGCCAATGTGACGAGGCTAAAACAGAAGAGCTTGTTGGCGTGTGCGAAGTCGTATGTCGCCAGTAGCACAGCAGCCTCGTTCCCTGGTCTATTTACAGTTAGTGTCAGCTGTGCCGCCCGCGTTTGATCTATTCACTTAATCCGAAAGCCACCTACAGTTCGGCAAACATTTGTCTTGCGGTTTCGGCATCATAGGTGGGCTTCTTGTCTGTCTTGGCACCAGGGGCTATTGCCCCCAGCCCGAACATGGCCAAGGTGCTTGTCAACGTCCATGCCTCCGGGAGATCCTCCTGGACATTGAGGAATTGGTCTCTTAGGCTCTGGCAGGTGTGGCCGACGCTCTTGATGACCTTTTGGATGGTGTCCTCGTTCACGAAGTCGTTCAGTCGCAACTGGTAGGGGTTTTGAAATTCGAACTTGTTGTAGTTGGCCAAAAGACCTATTAGCATAAAAGGATTGGATATCTGCGAAGGCGAGCTGGCGTCCTGGATCAACTGTCGAGAGGTCAGGATCGAGGCGGCGTCAAATTTATGCTTGTTTCCAGTAGAGTAGACTTACCTTTGTGAGGGAGGGGAACATGTCTCTTTGTATCAAATACGTCAGCAGGCTGGTCTGGTAGGCCCCCGAAGTCACGGCGAGCGCCACCTCGACGGCCTTCTGCCTGAGTTCCACTGTTGAGCCTGTCTCAGCGTCCAATCTCAACACGCCCTGACATTTTGTATGGATGAATGAGACATACTCAATCTGCCATTTCGTACGATTTGGTCCAGGGATCCCACAAAATCGGTGAAGGCGGCATCCACGTGGTCGAGACCAGCGAGGACAGTTATGATGTCCGAGCTGGGGTTGGTGTATTTCTTGGACAGGACTGCGGACAGAAAGATGCTCAGAGTCTGCTCGTCGTTCCGGGGTCAGCAATTTCAAATGAGCAGGCCACGCCCATGTCGGGCAGGACGGGGCAGCCGTACGTCGAGCGCATGTAAGTCGGCAGCCCCCTGGGAATCGCCTCCCTTGAGCGCCCTGACAGATCTTAAGAAAAGCTCCCTCGTCTGCTCCTCCAGATGCAGCAGGTCGGCCGGGGAGAGCCGGTCGAATAGGCGTCTCAGCGAGGGTCGGTCGGGCCTGAGGAGGAAGAATTCGCGCCAGAACCCCTCTGGATGCTGTCCGTCACTATCTTGGGCATCTTGGTCGTCCTTTCGCGAATCAGCCGGCTGGAGGGTTGGTGTGTGGGATGGGGTGCCTGTCTTCAAACCTTTGATCACATGCAAGAGCCGTCAGTGGATTTGGCCCAACAAGGCGGGGCAGACGAGGAGGCCAGGGAAGACAGCGCAAACCTTGAAAAGCTCATCGTACAGCTGTACGATCTTTTGCTGGAAGGCCTCGGGGCGAGGCTGCTGGGTGAGGGGGGACCTGTCCATGTACGGCAGGGTCGTCGCGGAGCGCAGAGAGCAGGTCGGCTTCGTCTGGATTCGCTCGTCAGGGCCGGGCAGGGCAGGGCTTCTCGGCTTTCAATCCCGAGGCAACAGGAGACCGACTGCTGCTATTTTGCACAGCAATATCTGAGACTGGACATGGGGTATGCCGAATTGCGAGTCGCTGGGCCTTTGGGAAATGCAGGTCTTTGTCGTCGAGGCGCTCATCCGTTTATTCAGATCCCCTTTGGCTGTGGTACCTTGCCTAGGTAGGTGGATGGGCTGTGCTGGCCCCTGCACAGTACAGAGATAGTGATCTTCGGCTTAGGAGCTAGGTACCCAGGTACTGTCTTGTGTACCTGGACAAACGTACCTAGGTACTATGCAATACGGCTTGGCTGCACGAGTAGGTACGTGGTCCCACGAGCACGGGGACGGCTTCGGGAAAGAGTCCAGGTGCTTTGACACCGGCCCAGGAGATAGGTGACTACTCGTCTGCGCGGCCAAAGTGTATGCCTGACAAGGTACCTGCCTAAGCGCCTAGCAATGTGGGGATTTGGGCCGAGCTCCGTCGGCACTCGAGACCCTGAGTTGTTGTAACGGCCCGTAAGGCTGAGTCCCTGCCTCCAGCACCTTCCTACCACCTAGGTGCCTACCTACTACTATATACCTAGGTAGTAGGTAGGTATGGTACTCACCCAGGTGAATAGCGTTGTGCGAAGAGAGGCGTGGAATTAGGAAAGGGGACACTCACCGCGTGACGATCACTTGAGCAACAGCATAGCAGAAGCCACACTGACGCACTGAGTAGAGGTCATGCGGCTAAAACCTTTGGGGGGGGGCCTCAAATCTAGTGTGGAGCCGATCGGTCGGTTTGATCAAGTCTTCATTCAGACTGCATCTCTGAAAGCCAAAGTTCCCTCGCTATGCCTGTCCCGATGCCCATACCTGTACCGTCTGCCATACTGAACCAGGCTGGTGCTGCCTTGCTGCTACATGCCCAGGTACATCAGCCCCGTCCGTCGGTGCGTTGAAACCCACACTTGCTAGTCTGCTATGCCCATACAACATCCCTCACTAAGTCCCTCAACTCCGACATGCCCAACATACCAAGAGCTCTCAAAAGCAACGCAGCACAATGTGGAAGGCAGGCCACGGCGTGCGTGCCCTGGGCTTCTCCTGCCGAGGATCGCAATGAAGCCGTGGACACTCAGATCCCCCAGCTGCCTCTCCTCTGCACCACACCCCATGCCAAGGGCGTGATGCTGTCCAGGTCCGGATGCTGCCTGGCCCATTCAAAGATGTACTTCTTGAGCGCCTTCCACCGCGGGCAACGCTTGTCTTCCTGCATGTCCAGGTCCATGCTGATCTTCATGTGTCCCTTGGCCCTGCTGCCGATCCCGTCCATGACCGTGTCGTCCTCCTGCTCGAGCTCCTCAGTTGGGATCTGGCTGATCTTGGACAGCTCCTCGTCGTATGCCCGTGCGGTGGCGGGGTATCCGAGGCTGAGGTAGTTGTACACCTGAGTGACGAACGCATCGTCAAACTCTGAGGCGATCCGCTCCTCAAGGTCGGCCACCGCCACCTCCTTCTGCAGGCGCTGCTCCAGGCCCATGAGCATGTGAAGGCCCTTGGGCTCGCCAGCGCGCGAGCGGTGTTCCGAGGTGGTGGGAACAGCGGTAGCCTGGCCGGAGGCCACAGGTGTCGGCTCGGCAGATACGGGGAAGGGGGCCAGCGTCCCGTTTGTGGCGGCATAAGGATCGCTGTGTTCGTAAGGCGTCATGGGCGCCATGGGCGTCATGATCATGGCTGGCCGGGGGGAGGGGGCCAGGGCCTCGCCACCCTTGTTCTGGGTGAAGCAGTAGCCCCTCCAGAGCCCGTGCTGGCCCGTGGAGTCCCGGTTGGGCTCGACATGGCCGCCAAGGGCCGTGTCCCACTTCTGCTCAGGGTCGAGCTTGGTCTGCTTGGGGGACGGGCACATGCGGAAGGTCAGGTCCTTGCCGGCCATCGGGGGGCTTTGCCGCGCCCTCAAGCGGAATAGTTCCTTCTCGGCGGCCTTGTCCTGTGCCTGGTTCTGGTAGCCATAGAAGCGACCGAAGGCGCCCCGAGGGCGAGCGAAGCCGGTCTCTGGGGGGATCTGGGAGGCCGGTGCAGCAGCGGGCCGCGCTGGCGGTGCGTCAGGCATATCGACGTCGGCCGTCCTGGGAGGTGGCGCGGACGGGACGTAGGGCATGGCGGACTCGCCCGTTCGCTGCGCGGGGGCCTGAGCATCGTACGAGGAGGCAGGGCCAAAGTATGAGGGCTCAGCCGATTTGCTGGGGTGGGAGCCCAGGGGGTCTCCGAGCTCGCCAATGGGGCTCAGCGGCCCCGTCGAGCCGCGCGTGGTGTGGCGGGCATTGTTTGTAAAGGCGAATGTGTTGTCGGGGGGCCCATCGCTTCTCGCGGAGGCAGAGTCGAGGTCGTCGAGATCGTTGGCGACACTCCCGCCGGCGCCCCTCTCAGCAGCCAGCTGGCCGGCATGTTTCTGCATCTCCTTGACCATCCAGTTCACGTTGTCCTCGGAGGAGTCCCTCCGCGACTCCTTGTTGCCGGCGCCGCGCGTCTTGCCCCTCCCGCGGGGGACATCATCGTCATCCTCGGAGCCTTCCCGCAGGAAGAAGTGCTCAGCGCCACCCAGCCTGACGGTGCTGTTGGGAAAGGCAGACATGGCCTCCTCCAGGCGCCTCTGCGCATCCAGCTTGTTGAGGTCGAAGACATGGTCGGCAATCTCGTCATCGCAGGACTCTCTCCTGGCGTGTCCGGGGCGGCGGTTGTGTTTCTTCTTGGAGGTCAGGGAGTAAATGTGCTTGGCATAGGGGGTGATGTCGGTCTTGTCGGCTGGCCTGGTGGCCGGGCCGACATCGCCGGCCCTGCGCGACCTCCGGCTCGACTCGAGGAGCTGCGGGGCGAAGCGGCGCTTTTCCCGGGCGACCGTCTGGGTCTCGTGGTGGGCTACGTGGACGGGAGGCGGAGGCGAGGAGGGGGAGGCGGAGGTCGGGGAGGGCTCGGGGGTGGGTTCAGCGGCCGGGCCGCCCCTGCGGTGCTCCTTGAAGGTGGTTTCAATGGGCACAGGAGCAAAGCGCCTGCGGGACTGCGTCGGTTGCGTCATACTTGTGTGTGTTGTACACCAAGACGGGGGCCAGGAATGGTTGTGTGGTGGGCGGGCAAGAGTTGGCGAGGGCGTCGGGGATTAAAAGGCAGGGGCAGGCTCTCGCCAGGCTGGTCCTCAAGTGCTATATCCAGGCGTCGATGTGGCGAGACTCTGACAAGTAGGTGGTGCCGTCGAGTTCCATGGGTGGTGGGCGGGCCTTGCAGAAACACGAGGCAGAAAATGCTGGCCGGAGCAGCGGCGGCTCTCGAGAGACGATGATCAGGAGGGCAGCGAGGGCAGCGAGGGCAGCGAGGGCAGGGGAGCTGACGAGGCGGACAGAGAGGGCACAAGGGGCGCGGAAAGGGCGGTCACGAGGATGGGGAAGGAAGGCTTGGGGCAGCTGGGAGGGAAAAAAAAGGACGTGGTGGTGCAGCGGTGCAGCGGTGCAGCGGAAGTGCACGATGAGGAGTGCACGATGAGGGCGGCCCGTGGCGTGCCCTCTCCTTGCTGCCTTCCCACTCCCTCCTCACCAACATGCCGGGCTGTTAGTTCATTATTCCCTGGGCCTGGCCGATTCATTGACGCTCGCCCAAAGGGAAGAGTGGGATGGGCTGCATTAGCCGGGATGGGCCAGAACAGTGGGACGGTGGGGACCGAGGACAGTGGACAGTGCATCGTGACGGTGCGAAGCCGGCCCTGGCAACCTGGTCCTGCTTTGTGCGAGGACGTTGACTGACGGTGGTCAAAGAGACCTAGGTACTTAAGTTCCCAGGTGCCCAGGTGCCCAGGTGCCCAGGTATGCAGCTCCTGTTGAGAACGCTACGCCCTGTGGTTGCAACCACGACCTGCCTCTCCCAACGGATCCAGAATCCAGAATCCAGACCACCAGACGGTTCCCAACCTCGGCTGTCTTCCGAGGCAGTTAGTACCTGTCAGACTCATCCCGTCGCGCATGGGCCACTGGATCGAGTGCTGGCGGCGCTGCCGCCCGGTCTTCCCTGGGGCTTCCAGAAGCCCAGATCCTCGGGTCTGCGTCTGGGCCTGCACCTGCACGGCCACCTCGTCGCCCGGCCTGGCCCCTTTTCCCCTAGCTCGCTGCCACTGTACACACCACAGTACGGACTGGCAGGCTGGCTTGCTAAAACCAGGGATACGAGCCAGCACGGCGCCGTGCTGCTGTGCCATCTGTCTCCCGCCCCTTTCCTCCAGTCTTGTCCGCCGTTCCCGACCCTGGGCCTCACTCGAATCATCCAAAAAGACTCGGTGTCCCCACTCACAGAGCTCGTGACAGCCACGCCACCTCCAGCTCTTTGGCGTTGCCCCTGTCCTCCCTGGCGACCTCTATTGTTATCCGTGTACTGTGTAGCCAGAAACCTCTGGCCTGCGGTGGGGAGATCCGCTACCACTCAGTGCCACTCACTCACACACGAGTCTGACCGCCACACTGCACAGCACGGTCCAGCTTTGCTTTGCTGCATTGTCCTGTCGAACCACAGGCAGCGTTGGCAGGTTGGCTCATGTTGCCCTGCTGCGTACTACTACATAGTATGTATTCTGCACCAGATGGGGGCCCCTCTCTCCGCAATCGGTTGCAGAAATAAGGGGTGCATTCCATGATGCCAGACACACAAAGCTGTCACGCGAGTTTTCCTACACAGTACGTAGGTATATATGTACTATGTAAGTACATGTGGTCCGTAAGCCGGCAGAGACGAGCGCTCTGGGGGCACTACGGAGTACACTCACTAGTGGCTACTTCAGTGGATGGTCTAGTACACCTCCACAGGGGTAATAAACGTTGTTTGAGCTTGTATCTTTTGCTATTGGTTGGCTGGACCCACCAGGTCACGCTTCGGCGAACTTTCTAGCAAAAGCGACTTTCGGTGGGGAGGTCACCAAACAACGTTTATTACCCCTGTGGAGGTGTAGTATGAGTCCCGAGTCCCGGCGACCGGCACGGGGTTCTGTATTGCATACCCCGCGGGGCCGGATTTGTGGGGCGACTCATTCTGTTTCGATCCGGCCAAACAACGTGTCAGTAGTGTAAAGCTGATCTGTCGGCCGTGCGAGTACCCAGGACCCTGTTTGCCTGGACAAGCCACCATGCCCACACAGAAACAAGTCGTTCAACTGCAACATGCCGAAGCCGTCCTCAGCCAGACCCCGACATCCGGGGCCTGCGGGTCCGCGTCGACATTCCGGATCCATCTGGGTAAGGTGAGCGAGCTACTGCCGTAAGCCGCTGGTCTCCCACTTCCAAGCCGCCTGCCGACTTATCTACCCACTCCGCCTCGAGACAGCCACAGTCGTGCACAATACCTGTCACCGGTACCGTGTCTTGACGTGAATTCATCCCCGCTAGGCCGTGTAAGCAGACGCAGGCTGTCGAGTCCGGGGCTTTCGATGGGTACCCGGGGGACGTAACACGATTGAAGACAGCAATTTCCCTTACAACGACAACCAGTTGGGAGCAGCTGTGGCGATGGGCTGAGGACTGCTGGAAGTAGCATTTGTAAGGCCCATCTCATGACAACTTTGTCCCAACCCTGAATCTCAACAACATACTTTTACTTCAACGCCCCAAAGTACAGTCTCCGGAACAAACTCATATGTGAGAATCTTGAGATCTGAGTGCAGTTTTTCGTCCAAAAAGGACTGGGCCCTGACCACAAACAGGATTTTTTGGGGGGCGGGGGGGGCGCCTACTGGGCCCCAATAACCATATCTATTTCTATTTATATCTAAAGAGAACGGAAATTCGCGCACCCTTAATTAGAAGGTACGCACCTATCTACTAACTAAAAAGTATAAAATATAAAATAACTTCTTTTTAAAGGGCTAACTAGAATAAAGAAAGTAAGCTTTAAAGTATAAAATATAGTAAAAAGCTATAAATAAAGTTATTAAATATAATTTAAATTTTTAAAAAACTAATTTATTTTATTTATAATCTTTTAATTATAAAGATACTTTATTTATTAAAGTTATAAAAACTTTAGAGTTTTATACTCTAATTAATTAAATAGTAAGGAGGGTATATACCTTTTTATTAAAAGTATATAAATTTCTATTTTCTATTTAAACATTATACCGCACACTTTATAATTTTTAAAAATTATTTCTATTTAATTATAATTTAATAATAATTATAACTTTTAATAACTCTTTCTTTTTTAATACTCTTTTTAAATAAAAAAAAGGTTTTTAAAAAAAATTAAATCTTTAAAAAGTATTAGTTTTTAAAATTTTTAAACTTTAAGTTTTTACTTTAATATAAAAATTAATTAAAAGAGAATTCCTTTTATATTTCTCTTATAATATTTTCTTTTAAAAAAGACCTTTAACTAACTCTCTACTTACTTACTTACTTAACTAACCCTAATTAAATTCCTTTCTCTTCTTTTTTAAAGCTTTAAATAAAAGTTTTAAAAGAAAAGATTTAAAAGAAAAAAAAGGTCTTTAAAGAACTCTTTAATTTTAAAGAAAATTTAATTTTTTAAAAAATTAATATATTTTATAATTATTATTAAAAAATATTAATAAAGGAATAGTTTTAAGGTATTAAGGATTATTTAAAGTATTATTTTAAAGTAAAAGGGAAAGTTTAGTAACTATTTCTAAAAACCCCTAGGGGAGCGCTATAGTAGTGTCTTATTAGGATATTACTAGAGATAGATTACAAGATAGGAGATCTTAATTAGAAGTATGAATAAATACTGCTGGCCGGCAAAAACTATATCATGTCTACCTTATTCCTAAGTGTCCGCAATTCCAGGCAGCTAGCTACCAGGCGGACATGGACACATCGGCAGCGTGTCTGTTGCCCATTATGTATGTGAGGCCTTAAGATGGGGAGCTGTGATTTCGAGGTTCAAGCGTACTGATCTCCGTTCTTCCGTGCCCTTACGTGCTCTATTTTTCTACCCGCCCTCTACGTGACCCGATAGGCCCAGTTCTCTGTACATGGCCAGTCTACCCATATCTACACTTACTGTGGGTCTGGAGCTACAATCGAAGCATGCACTGCTAGTGGTATCCGGCGTCCTGATTTCAGCTTCGATACAGCGGCAGTCGGATCCGTTCATGTCAAAAGATGACGAGGACAGTGTGAAGGCAGCAGCAACTTGGATCCGCGCTGCGTACATAGTAGAGAGAGAGGCTAGAGGATACCTACCTACCTACTAAGTACCTACCTACCCGGGTAGGTAGGTAGGTAGGTAGTGAGGGACACTGGCCCAGTAAGGAAGGCCGCTTCTAAGGAGACAAGAGTTCTTGACGCGGCTGAGTGACAGGAGGCCCTCTGCGAGTGTCGGCAGGTATGGCTCGAGTGACTGACTGCGCGACTGGGAGGCGGTGCCGTACTGCCGACCACAAATCAAGTATCGAGGACGCCACAAGATACTCCATGTCGAGACAGGTTATGCGTCAAGATGACGGACACGTATATCTTATCTGGCAGGTCATCCTGCAAGCCTGCCCGGGGCCGGGTCTGAACTTCGCACAGCTGCACGACTCACCACCTCATTTCAGACATGCAAGGTTCTTGGAGGGTGTTGAGATTACGAGGCAAGGGATTGAAATGAGGGCGCCACTTGAGGGCAAAAGATGCTTTACCCAAGCACCAAGGTAAAGAAGGCCCTGCTTGCCACCGGGGAGCATGTCACACAAGCATACAGGCACGAGGAAGAGACTGAAGGGCTCGGTAAGACTCAAAATAGCAACCATGCAGTTCATGGTACATATTGCAGCGCGTGCTGGTGCTTATCCGGAACAAGCCGAGATCTGCACAGGCCAGGCGGCGGTTGTTTGATTTGAGGCCATGGACGTGTTGCCCGGTTGTGTATTGCTGTTGGGCGCTGGCGACACGCGACGAGATGGACTGATAGATAAGCAGGTACAATATATCCATGTAATGTACCGGGCCCACGGTCTCAGACGCTGTATAGAACGTCTCTGTGCATTGCATGCATGCTGCGTGGCCTGGTGCGGGAGCCCACTCGGACGAGTAGGTCTTATCAGCAGCGGGAAGTGAGTGCAACGCTGGGAAGGAAGCTCATACAAGAGGTTGCAAAGTGCAAAGCCACCTGCCAGCCTGCATGCATGTCGTACCCAGGTAGGTACCCAGGTACCTAGGTAGGTAGGCAGGTAGGTTTGTGTGTACTCCGTACAGCACACGGCAGTGACAGCGAAAGCAGCCACACCCATGTCCCACGTTGGATGGAAACGGGCCTGCCAAGGCCACGAGACAAAAACCCTGCGAGGCCTTATCAAACCTTGTAGCCGTCACCGTCACCCATCACCATCACCATCACCGGGGGAAGCGGTTGCGAAAAGAAACTCGACAGTAAAAAGCAAGATTAGAACCAGCCCATGCGTCAGGTACCTAACGTAGCGCCGGTACATGGCATGTACCTCTTTGTCGCTCATCCTGCCCCTTCCCCCTCCAGCAGCACCTGCCCAGATCCAACTCCAATCCAGATCCCAAGCCCAAACCCCAGATCCATGCCTCTCGCCCACAGCTTCCTAGGTACTCAGGTACCTGGGTAGACGCTCAGGCCATGCCCTGCCGGGCCGTTTCTCAGCAAACACGAGCATCAGACAAACACTAGCCTCGCCTTCTACCATTTTTCCCGCCGCCCCCTTCCCAGCCCTTGACTGGACTGTCCCAGACACGCAACGCCAGAACACCAGGACGCCATATTCGGGCTCGAGGACCAGCGCAAGAGGGCAGAAACGGCCACAGCCGCAACCACGCCGGGTGCCAGGACAAGCACGGGGACAAGGGCGATATCACGCTCCAGACCATGTCCTTCCCAGCCGGACACAGACAACTGCTGCTGCCTCTATCTCCCCACGACCGCGACTCGGCTGCTCACCCACTGGCTACCTAGCCACCCCTAGGTAGGCACACGCTGGCTGCTTGCTTCGTTGCACCTTTCATGAAACCGCACCGCATCGCTCCCTCCCCCGCGCCCCCAAGTGGCCTGCCATCACAGTCGCGTCAGCAACCCCCGGCGACGTGATTCGCGCACTGCTGCTCCGCCGCTCCGCCTGGCCCGCCGCAGCAATGCATCACGACGTCGGCACGCACGGTGTCGACGCCCACCCACAACCCAGTCCCGCGGAGCCACAGGTACACGAGCCACAGGTCCACGAGCCGTCAACACGAGCCACCGGCCCCATCGCTGCGCTTGCCAATGGGGCCTCCGATATTGGCACCTCTGGCCCTGCACCCACCATGCCAGCCGACAATGATGGCGCCGAAAAGGGGCAAACAAGTTTCTCGCCGGCTTCGCCATCCACGCCCTCCAGTCTCGACTCAGGTTCCAATCCTCGTCACTCGCTCGACCACCCTCATCCCCTCCACCAGGATCAAGATATCCTGTCCAGCCCCAGGCACGAGCTAGAGCTCATCCCCGAGGACCGATCCCTCGACGGCATCGCCTCTCCCCCAACCGCCGCCTCGCCGCTGCACATCAGCACAAACACCACCCCCAACGCCCTCCCTTTCTCCCCCTCAACCCGCACATCTGGTGCATCCACCCCCGAGACGGGCATCATACGGCCTGCAGTACGCCGTCCTGCCCCGAGCCACCCACTGCCACCCCGCCCGGCATCGCCCTCCTCCCCCGTCGAGCCACCCCTGTCGCCCGTCATCCGCAGTGCCTCCACGCACTCCGTCCTGCGCCACCCTGCACCCGACAACGTCGTCAACGCTCGGTCCGGCTCCTACACCGGCAACATTGCTGCCCTCGAGGCCACCGCCGAGCGATTTTCCATGACGAGCAGCATAGAGGACGCCATCAGGAACGCCCACGAGGAGCTGAAGCGCAGCGACAGTCGTCGCTCGTCTATTCTCGCTGCGAGCGTCAGGAGTGCCGGCGACTTCGGCGTCGACAGCCCCCCGGGCATCGCCCCAGCGCCCTTGTTCGCGCGCCAGAGCTCCATCGTCGGTCTGAACACCGAGGCGAGGTTGGGGGGTTACTCTCCCGCGGGATACATCATGAGTCCCACCCAGTCACTCACCGGCCGTCTCAGGAGCGCGAGCAAGAGCAGCGGCGCGTTGTCAAGGGCGAACAGCACCAGGAGCAAGCCTGACACAATCGACGGCGAGGCCTTTCCCAACCTGTCGGCCTCGTCAATGACAAGGTCCGGTCCGGGCAAGGGCTCTGTGCGCAGCGTGCACAGTGTCCAGAGCAACCGCTCCGGCCCTCTGTCCCTCGCTGAGATCGCCGAGATGGAGCCCCCCTCCGCCTTGACCATGGACGCGATGGACGAAGCTGATCGGACCATTCCGAACCTACGAGACCTGGGGGACGACGATGATGCCATACTCGCGAGGGCTCATCAACATGTGGAGCCAGACGCAACAGACATTGAAATCGCCGAGGAGGTGGACAGGCGGGACTCGAGGGACCTGGACAGGACTCCCATGCTAGATCACTCTGCGGATTCATACTGGGATAGCCACGAGGATGCGAATTTCCAGCTCCGAAATCCCCAGGATCCCCCTTCGGCCCGGGTTAGGGACGAGTTCGAACAACCTCCGGCTGAGCAACGACCCGGCGGCAGCGAGTCGCCAGATACCGAAGACGAGGACAACGCCTTCGCTGATTTCGACGGAATGCATTGTGATCCTGACACGGTGGCCGAGCAATTCCCTGTACAGCCAGATGAGGCTCAGTATTCGCGGCCACGGCAGAGGCAGTCGCAGATGCCAAGGGTGCGGCCGCAGTCGTACCTTGACCCGGAGACAGGCCAACAGATGCTCTACTATCCTGCGCGCGTCCCTGCCATGCTGAATCTGCCCCCGAAACTCGGGAAAGGGGTGAAATCCACACAGCGCAACATGCGGCGAAGCCAGGTGCTCAGTCAGATGCCACAGGCATCTCGGGAAAGCAGGGCTTGGCTGCCAGATCCCCTGGAAGGCGAGGGTCCCATAGACTTGATGGGTGAAGACACAACGAACTTTGTCCACTCTGGCTCCCAGGGTCGGGGTCCCAAGGACACCCTCGTCGGCCCTGGAGAGTTGGAGCCCTCCCCCCGTGGACCATCAGTAGATGCCCCCGAAGTACAACCGCTGCGGCGTCCCGGCAAGCTGCGAGAATCGGGCCAGCGCGGTTCTCGCATGGACCTCTCAGAGCTTCCACCGCAGTTGCGTGCTAGCGTCTTTTTCGACATGCCCGGCGAGAGCCCAAAGATAGAAGTGAAGGATGGGTCCGCCATGAAGACGCTTGACAGCATCCTAGATGCAGCAGCGTCGGCGCCTGTCAACGCTTTCACAGACCATGCCTTTGCTGGTCGTCTGGGACCTGAGGTCTATGGGCTTGGCAACAGAACCAACCGCAAGAGCAGGATGATGTCGGCAGCCGATGACGCGGGTGAGTGTGAACGCGGCCCTGTGGCCTCGAAGAGCACGGCGTCTCTCGCCGTGCCAGAGGCAGAGAAGCGGAAATCTGTCTGGTCTCTACTGGCAGGGCGCAGCAAGTCCAAGAGCAGTGCCAATCTCATCGCCGACAGAGACGAAGACGCCCGCTCGAGGCTGTCTGGCTCAGGCCGTGGCGAGAGGGACTCATCTCCCGAGGCCGATGAGCGCTCAGCTTTGGCACCTGACGAGGAGAGAGAGGGCTCTGACTCCGAGGAGGAGCAAGTCTACACTGGTCCCCCCACGACTCTCTTGGCAGAGTTACAGCTGCGCAAACAGCAACACAAGAATCGCACCCGCAACCCGCTAAACAACGCCAACGGCCTTCACAGCACGCTATTGGAGCTTGACGCCGTTGCACAGATCGAGGCTCGGTCTCGCAAGAACAAGAAGGTCAACCTTGCGTGGGCTGCCGATCCGGACGATCTGGAGGAATCGGACGACGAAGATGTGCCACTCGGCTTACTGGCAGCCAAGAAGCAGATCGGGCCAAACGCCACCGAACGCGACCTGGCCGTGGCCGCTCAGGAGATCAGCAGGCCCTTGGGCCTGATGGAGAAACGTGACCTGGAGGACAACGAGCCCCTGTCTCGTCGGCGCGACAGGCTGCAGGGCAGGGAGGTTGCACCAAGCATGTACCTCCAGCCGGGGGTGAACGGGACCAGAATGACGCTGATGCCGGGGACCCACAGCCCACGCCTCCTGCAGCCTACGAGCCCCGGCGCGTCCGGACCACACTCCCGAACTGCAAGCATGGTAAGCCAGGGGCAGGCGGCGGAGGAAATAGAGGGCGAGACTCTTGGTCAGCGGATAAAGAGGCTTCGTGCCAAAGAAGAAGGCGAGAGCCCGCTTCCGAGTGCCAGGCCGGTCAGCACGGCATTCTCGACTGAGCTACTTGGCGAGCTGGGAATAGGCGGTGAGGAGGACGACAAAATCGCACAGAACGTAGACAAGGGGAAGGGCAAGGAGCCCCAGGCACCACCAGCCGAGGAGGAAGAGACACTGGGTCAGCGCCGGCGGCGACTACAAGCGGAGCGCGAAGCCCGCGAGCAGGAGATGGGAATTCGAGCTGTGTCGGGTGACAGCCAAAGAGGTGCGGTCTCGAGCCGTCTAGACATGGCGGACGTGCTCCGCGCGAACCCAATGGAGGGCCCGCAAGGCAGGGTGGACCCCCGCGAAGCAGAACGACTCCGGAAGGAGGCCGAGGCCGCGCGCGTGGTACGCGAGCAATCTGAAAAGATGGCGGCATTCCGAGCGCAGGTTCCGCACAGGCAGCGAGACCCTAGCGGCGGGGTTATGAAAGCAGGCGGCTACCAAGGGGGCAGGTTCAACGACAGCAGCGGTGGCCACGGCCTGGTCGGTGTGCTCGGACAGCCCCAGGGCCACAACCTCAGGGCGAGCATGAGCATGGGCCAGCTTGGGCAGGGCGGGCAGGCCGTGATGGCAGGCGGCATGGGCGGCGCGCGCATGGGGCCGCAGCGAAATGCGACGAACCTAATTGGTGCTGCTGGCAACTACGGCAACCCCAACGTCGGACCCGATGGCATGAACCCTGTCTTCTCGAAAGGCAACACCTTTGGGCGAGGGTACAACGGCGGTCTACTGCAGCAAGCGCAGTATCAGGAACCCAACCCCTTTGTCAACGGCAGCCTACTCGCGTCAGGAGGGTACGGTGCCTTTGGTGGAGGGATCGGACAGGCGGGTGGCTACGCGCACAACCAGACGGCGTACGGGGCAGGAGTTGGATTGTCTGGCGGTCTGCACGGCGGCTATGGGATGCAGGCCGGCGCACCACTCAACATGGGCCTGAACCCGCCGGGTCATTCCGACCGTGTCGAGAGCTGGAGGCAAGGCATCCGATGAAGTGAGGTAGGGATCTGGGCTATCTAATTGCCCCTGGCCGGCCAGCTACGGGGCTGGGCGGGGCTGGGAACGAATACAGAGAGGTGGGAGGGGACATTAGCATCAACCGGCATTACACGGGACGGCAAGTTACAATATGGGATTACTACTCGGGACGGGAATGCATCTATGTATACGAGCGTTGGGACTTTGCATTTGCGGCGGCGTCTGGGCCTCTCTGGCGAGAAAGGATCGAGAAAGGACGGAGATGGTCAGGGAGGGAGGGCCAACCCTGGCTGGGTCGTCGAGCTTGCGTACACAAGTGTAGGGCACATACGCATGTGGGTATATGCATATATGTGTGTGTCCCGCTGCGCATGTGCATGACACATCTAATTCTTAAAATTATCACCAGATATATCAACAAGCGCACGCCACTGGCGTTTCGAACCATAGCTGCCCGTGTGCGTGCCGGGCTGGTCGTGTGGTGGTTAGCATTGACATTGTTTGGCTGCCCTTTGAGTTAGCCTGGTCTGCAGCAGGGGGGGGAGAGGACGTGGGGGGCCGCCGGGGGGGGGGACTTTCTCGAGGCGCGTCACAACGTGCCAATTTACGCGTGTCTGGACCTCAACTTCACTTTCCCACTCCCGCCCAGTCTCGAGTTCAACTTGACCAAACCCCGGGCCCGGCCTCGAACCCAGCTTTCCCATACCCTCGTGCACGCAAGAGGGCCTTGATCCCCCAAGTCGCTCGCTACAATGGTGCTCTGTCCAATATGCAATCAAACTGTCAAATCGTCCGAGATCAACAGTCACATTGACTCGGGCTGCACGACCTTTGTCGTCGACGCCGCGCCCGTTGCCACCAACACAAGCAGCAACACCGGCTCCAATCCCTCGTCATCGCAGGCTCACCCACAAACACAACCCCCGTTGCAGGCACAACAGCAGCCGCAGCCCCCAGGCCCCCCTCCCCCGTCCACCATGAAGAGGTCTGCCGCCGACTTCTTCGCCACGCCCGCTGCAAAACGCCAGGCCACCTCCTCCTCCAAGGTCCTAACCCCGGTCGTCAACGGGTCGAGCGCCCCCACGCCCCGGCCATCCCCCGGCTACTCGGCTGTCAAGACCATCGGCGTCAAGAGATCCTTCGACCAGGGGCCGGGCAGCTCGCCGCCTGCCCACGCCGCTGGCGGCGGCTCCCCTCAGGACACCCCCATGGCCGAGGCCCAGCCTCTGTCGCTGCTTGCGCCGCCTGTCAAGAGACACAAGTCCAACCCTAACGCTCCTCTGGCGGAACGAGTACGACCGACCACCCTCGACGACATCGCCGGCCAGGACCTCGTGGGGCCAAACGGCGTCCTGCGTGCCCTGATACAGTCTCAGTCCTTGCCCTCTATCATCTTGTGGGGCGGCTCAGGCACAGGCAAGACCACCATAGCCCGCGTCATTGCCAATATGGTCGGAAGCCGCTTCATCGAGATAAATGCAACCTCCAGCGGTGCTGCCGAGTGCAAGAAGCTGTTTCAGGACGCTGCCAACGAGCTCTCGCTCACCGGGAGGAGGACAATCATCTTTTGCGACGAGATACACCGCTTCACAAAGGCCCAGCAGGACGTCTTCCTCAAGCCTGTCGAGGCCGGCACCATCACCTTGGTTGGGGCCACCACCGAGAACCCGTCCTTCAAGATCCAAGCCGCCCTCCTGTCCCGTTGTCGGACCTTCACCTTGCAGAAGCTGTCAAACGAGCACGTCCGGGGCATCTTGACACGGGCCCTGAAGCACGCCTTCGAGGACGACACCTCCAGGCTGCCGCCCCTGGTCGACGAGGAGCTTCTCGCCTATCTTTCCGCCTTCGCCGACGGTGACGCCCGGACAGCGCTAAACCTCCTGGAGCTTGCCATCTCGCTTGCGACCAAACCGCCCGCGGACCCGTCTTCGCCACTCACAAAGGACGACATCAAAGCTGCGCTCACCAAGACCCTGGTATACGACAGGGCCGGCGACCAGCACTACGACACGATATCGGCCTTCCACAAGGCGGTGCGCGGCTCTGACAGCGACGCCGCACTCTACTACCTCGCACGCATGTTGCAGTCGGGCGAAGACCCGTTGTTTGTCGCCCGGCGCATGGTGGTCATTGCATCCGAAGACGTGGGCCTTGCTGACAATTCGCTCTTGTCTCTCGCCACGGCGACTTATACCGCGGTCGAGAAGATCGGTATGCCAGAAGCCCGCATCCCCTTGGGCCACTGCGCAACCGCGCTGTGTCTCGCGCCCAAGAGCACACGTGCCTACCGCGGGCTCAACAATGCCTATGCCGCGTTGCGCGAGCCGGGTGTGGCCGGCCTGCCTATTCCCATACACCTGAGGAACGCGCCAACTCGGCTGATGAAGGAGATGGGGTACGGGAAGGAATACAAGTACAATCCCAACTACAAGGGCGGCAGGGTCAGGCAGGATTACCTACCTGACCAACTGCTGGGACGGAGGTTTCTAGAGGACAGGGACCTGGGGACAGAGGTCGACCCTGATTTGGATATGGAGGGTTGAGGCTCTCGGTTGCCAGTTGCTCGGCCAGTTGAGACAAAGCGTCTATACAAGCATAAAAGGCGTCTTGGATACCGATCTTGGTCTCTGAATATCTCGCCATCATTGCCAAGCAAGATAGAGACTGTTTGGACTGCGGGAGGGTGAGCCAGGTGCATCGTACGCATCTCCCCGCCAGAGGAGGCGCAATGGTGCAGGATAACGGTCTAGGAACCATTCGTATCTGACTCATGAGCACTGTGATGGGCTCTCTTCGGTGTTGGTCTCGAGATTCGATCCACCGCCCCGGTGTCGCAGTAGATGCTGTGGGGGGGGGGGGGGTTGCTGCAGTGCGTATCACTGAAGCAGAAGCAGAGAAAGGAAAGATACATGGCAGGCGCTGGTTTCAGCGTGCCCCAGTCGACCTCTTCAAAAACGTAGTTGGCCAATCAATAACCAGGCCACCTCCTCGCCTGGACGAGCAGCCGGGTCAAAACTCTCGATGCACACCACAACCTTTTCCCGCGCAATGTCTCAGCTACTACAATTCGAAATGCCGTCCCTTGTCAGACATTTTTAAACACAGACGATTTGGTAGGTAGAGATGTCCTGCTGGCCACGGCGGCCAATGTTTTGATCTATGTCTTCGATGCCCAGCCGAATATCGATTGGCGGATGCGTGTGGCCTCGGTATCCAGGTTCGTCGCAGGATTGATGTCAACCTCGGAAGGCAGAGGTTCGAAGGCTATGCGCTCAAGCATGCCCTTTTACACAGTCAATGGTGTGGGTTTCCTCCCAGGGACACGTGTGCACGCCAGGGAATCGGCCAAGGGTCTCCTCGTCGGCCTTAGCTGCGATATACACGATGTGGTGTGGATGAGGTGGAACTTGACAGCAGCAATACTGCACTCCAAGCTCTGTGAAATGCGTGTCGAACGGCAGGATGGAGACGCCTGAGGCCACAAGAGTTGGGTTGCCCCAGGCTTTGATCCTGGCCGTTGGGACGAGAATTGTGCCCATCAGAGTTGAGCGCATTGCTCCCCACGCAAGTGTATAATTCTGCCCGTGCGAGAGCACCTGGCTTCCGCGTAAACTGGGGGTCGTGACACGAACATCTGCCTCAGCCCCCAGGCGCAAGGGCCGAGATAGTTCGACAAGATATCGGTCTTGTCCCCTTTCTCGTACCATCTAGAGGGAAAATATAGTGTGCTTGAAGCCTCTGGACAGTGGTATCGGCTAATGTCCGCGAGGTTGCACGCGTTGTCCTCTCAAGGCCCGAGGCCTGAGCCGACTCGAGGATTGTCGAGCACCTGTGCGAATACCACCAGCCCGGCCCATACCTAGGTCCTGTGTTAAATCCAATAGCACGTCGGCTTCTATTTGCCATGCTTGTGCCGATGTCAAGATCTTTGTGCACCAGAAACTCCAACGTTGTGATCCACCTGTGCGACGGCGACGAGGCCCGACTCCTAGATCATGTCCCAAGCTGGACAGCTCAATTTCATATGTGTCCCAGTCTTGGATCTGGGGAGGGGAGGCCGCTGTTGGGCACAAGATGAGGTAGTTATGTCGTTGTGTCACAAGTCTTCACACGCTTCTCGGCTTGTGTAGACCCTCAAAACCAAGGCATCACCTCCCCCCGCACATATTGCGTGGATTTGTTAAACACTGTCGTTAGGAAATAAGCATCGTCAGCACGCCTCACATTTTCTCTCGGGATACAGTCTGCCTGCTTCGCTTCCAAGATCGTACAATGCACGCACATGCATGGCGGACATATTGTTGGGGAGCTTTGATAGATTGGAATGCCGGGGCGACGTTTTCAGTGTCGCTCAAAGGACGTGAGATCTCACTGGGGTCATGTAACTTGTGATATTCATGGCCAGGGCCTACCTACCATTTGTCTTCCGGCTTACTCCTGGCCACAAGGGACACTTGAGAACAAATGGTCTCGGTGTTTAGGCAGTATGAATAATCTCATGTAGGGAGCTGCTGCAAATCTCGCCTACCCAGCGTCCTGAGCTCACCTCCCCAAGCCCCCATCAACTATTGGCGGACGCCACAACATGCATATAGAACAGGCCTTTGAGGAGCATGAGCAGCCACCGAGTGAAACAATTTAATGGACGAGAATAAATAACTACCATGCTGTCCTCAGTCAAACAACCATACAGATTGAGCCATGATCGCGAAAGTGAGTTCAAAGTGCCCTCGATGTATCTTCCCAGTAACATTCTCGGTGACTATCGCCTCCTTGAAATAAACTCAAATTCCAATCGTAAAAACCAGTGCAACTCTCATTATGTTTCTTAGTAGACTCCATCAGCCAGACCCTCGGACTTCTGTTGATGTATCCACAGGTACTGGCTGTCACTGGACAAAATACCTAGACTAATCTCTACTGTCAGTGATTCACAAGCATCTCGATGCCACTCCAAACGATGACTCCAACCCCCACTCACCTGGACACATTCTGCCCTTCATATATATTCCTTCATACCCGTCTAACCCATAAGCCTATCGTTCTGTTTCTACTTGCCACCAAGCATGTACAGTTAGCTACACATTGTGAAGCCGCAGCCTATGCCTCACACATCAGACATCCTCCACCACATACCCATTTAAGCTGGTCTCCTTTCTCTCGAACCATCTTCAGTTTTCATATTCCGTGAACTATATTTTGGACTGTTTGTCATATCAGTCTGCTCATTGTACTTCCGAATGGAGAGTTGCTGACAGTTACTTCTAGCTGGACTCAAATCTTCCAGGCCGCCCTCAACATACCACAATCGTTCTCCGATGCTCTTTTCGAGGAGATCAGAGACGGAGCATCCCCGGTCGCAGACTGTATGGCCTGCTGTCCCCCCGTCGCTCCGCCATGAGTCCTTCACAGTGGACGAGGATAATCCGGGGGCTGCACAACCGTCCACCAAACCCCCTTACAACCATGGCGCAGTCACCCCTTGGGTTGGCCTCCGATCCCGAGTCTCCCAGGCGCCCATGAATCGATGGACAATCCTGCTTCTTCTCGTGCTGGCGCGACTCCTTATTTCTCTCAACAGCCTGAACAAAAATATCGTCGCGGCCAAGATAAAGGCCGTGTCTGCTTGCACTAATGTCGAGAATGCTGGGAGTTGGATGGCATCCACGCCTCACCATCTCTCAGCTGGCGTCAATCGCATGGCGGCTGATGGGATCACAAACGCTGTCCAGGGCTTGGTCGAGATCCTCTTGATGATCCTCACTGGGGTCCAGCAGCTCATAATGTTCTTTATCGAGCTCGAGGTTGGTCTCGTTCTGTGTTTCTCAACCGCCATCGCTAGGGCAGTCCTCGAGCTTGGCGAGTTCGCCATAAAGGGCGCCACTGAGGCGTTGAAAGCTTCCCTCCAGACCATCGCAAGCGGCCTGGATTCTGCACTCGGCGCATTGAACAAGGCCCTAGACGGGATCGGAGATGTATTGGCTACGTTGAGCTCAGTTCCTGGCATGAAAAACATCCATATTCCTGGCACCGACGTCCTCGAAGACAATTTGAAAAAGCTGCATGATGTTCCCATCGATACCACCTCAATTCTGAAAGACCTGGAGGATCTCGAACAAAAGATCAATTACGACAACGTCAAGAACGTGGCCAAAGAAGCCATCGCAGTCCCGTTCGACATGGTCAAGAGACTGCTCAACGAGAGCTATGGAACGTGGGAATTCGACCAGTCCGTCTTCCCGGTCCCACAGAAAAAGTCTTTATCCTTCTGCTCCGACAGCACTCTAGAGGGTTTCTTCGAAGCCCTGTTAAGGGTCGCCGCCAATGCGAAGATCATTGGTATCGCGTCGCTCATCACCACAGCTGTCGCCGTCTGTGCCCTCATGGCATGGTGGGAATCCAGGCGATACAAGAGGCAGCGCGACCAATCCAAGACCATCACCAGACATGCGCCGATGGACATGATTTACGTTGCCAGCCGACCTTGTACGGCCCGAACTGGAGTGTGGATGTCGGAGAAGCTCACTGGAGATCGCCGGCGCCAGTTTCTCATCAGATGGGTCATTGCGTACTCGACCACGTATACTGCGCTTTTTGTGCTAGCCCTATCTGCTGCCGGAGCCCTGTCGTGTCTGTGCCAATGGATCATAATGCAAGCCGTCCAGAGGGAAAGCCCCGGTGTCGCCGCCACCGCCGGAGACTTTGCTGGCCATGTCGTGACCTCGCTAGAGCAGGCCTCTGCCAAGTGGGCTAGGGACTCCAACATCATCATCCTCGGGTTTCAAGACGACATAAACAACAACATGTTTGGCCACGTCAAAAATGCCACCCATGCGGCAAACGACACCATCAACAAGTTCGACAATGCCATGCATGAGGGGGTCAGCAAAGCGTTCGGGGGTGTCCCCCCGTTAGAGCAGTTCGTGAACGACATCCTCGGCTGCCTTATCGACAACAAGCTCGAGTCTGTCCAGGAAGCGCTGACCTGGGTGAACGAGAAGGCCCGCGTGACGTTCCCACTGTTCGCCGCTGATGTCCTCTATGCCGACCCCAACTCGACCATGTTCCTATCTGCACCAATCTCATCGGCGACGGACGAGGTCGCAGACGCGACAAGCAGCGTAGTCGACATGCTCTGGAGCAGTCTCGTCCAGGAACTAGTGATCTCGGTGGTTCTCTTCCTGATTTACGTTGCTTACGTCTTCTTCGCGGTGGCCCAGGCGGCGATTCGCATGGCAATGGGCGGCAGGTACGTAAACGATGCCAAAGACAAGACCTCGGCTTGGCGTGGAGTGCAGGGGCTAATGCTGTAAACGAGCAGAGACCATGGAAACGAAGACAGCCCCGAATCGAGCACGACGGCGCCGGACATTGCGGCCAAAATGTCAGCGGGGGGTCACGACGGGTATGCATCTGCATCTGCATCTGCGAACCGGAACGGCACAGCCGGCGAGGATGTGGACGGCAGGCTCGTGGAATCGAGAGACGGGTAGGCAGGCGAGGACATCGAGGTTGGATATAGGTACCGAGGTACAAGGCTATAACAGTCGCGAATAACGTGTTCCGCCAATACGTCCGTAGCATCTTGTCAGGCACAACATCAGTTTAAGTCGTGGTCGGCACATCTTGTAGTTCAAATTTTCAAGTCTCTCCCAGCCAAAGCTCCCGTTTCCTGTGTTTCCCCTTTTACACGCATAGGAACACGCGACAGAGCTCCAAGCCCTTGTTCGCTTCATTTCTTGGGCGACCTCTATGGTGGTACTATTATGCTGCGTATTGCTGGGAGTATCTCTTGCCCTTCTCCCCTAACCCGAGGATGGGTGGGCTGACAGGGGTCGGCAGGCTTACAAGTATAGTTTGGGCGGGATGCAGGGGTACGTGCAGCATCCCGGTGCCGCATCGGAGTCTGAATACGGAGTAAGTGTGCTTGGTCCAAGATGAATTCTGGTGACTCAATCGACTAGATTGCCCTCTGGCCTTCTTTACCTCCCCCCCCCCTCCAGCCCCTCCTCCCTCGTACTTCATTCCTCCCCTTGTCTCCAATTGAACCCGCGAACCCTGCGAACTCGTCAAACAGGTTCAGAAGATCCAACATGGAGGCAATCAAGCAGACATTCCAACGGTGCAAGGCCGAGAAGCGGGTATGTGCACCATGACAGCAGACGCGGAAAAGCTCCTGTCCAAAATCGCCATGGCCCTGCTGACAAGACCCTCAACGACCCACAGAGCGCCTTGGTCACCTATGTGACTGCAGGCTATCCCAAGCCAGAGGACACCGCCGAGATCTGCCTGTCCATGGAGAGGGGAGGTGCAGGTACGCTGCCATCAGTTCCCCTTCCCTGCCCCTCCTCGACCGGTCACTAACACATGCTCGCCCCCTTGAAGATATCATCGAACTCGGGGTGCCCTTCACAGACCCCATAGCGGACGGCCCGACCATCCAGACCTCCAACACCGTCAGCCGACCCAACCCTTCCTGCGCACAAGACGCCTCGCTGACCGTGTCCAGGTCGCCCTCGAGAATGGCGTCACCCTGTCGAGCACCCTTCAGATGGTTCGTGATGCCCGGAAAAGGGGGTTGAAGGCGCCTGTGCTGCTCATGGGCTACTACAACCCCATGCGCGCCTACGGCGAGGAGGCGCTGTTGGACGACTGCAAGGCCGCCGGCATCAATGGCTTCATCATCTGCGACCTGCCCCCCGAGGAGGCCGTCTCCTTCCGCAAGCTATGTTCCAAGGCCGGGTCAGTCGCACCATCCCACTCGCTTCTATGGTCATGCCGACCGACCACCGACTGACACTGGGCTACAGCCTCTCCTATATTCCCCTAATCGCCCCCGCCACCTCAGACAAGCGCATGCGCCTGCTCTGCCAGCTCGCCGACTCCTTCATCTACGTCGTCTCGCGCATGGGCGTCACGGGCGCCCTCGGTACAATGAACGCCAACCTGCCCGAGCTGCTCGAGCGTGTCAACAAGTACTCCGGTGATAAGCCCGCCGCCGTCGGTTTCGGTGTTTCCACCCGCGACCACTTTACCAGCGTCGCACAGATCGCCAACGGCGTAGTCGTGGGCAGCATGATTGTCACCACCCTGCAGAAGGCACCCGAGGATCAGCGCTATAAAGCTGTCGAGGAGTACTGCTCATACCTTTGTGGCCGGACCCCCGAAGATGGCCTGACGAGGGAAGTCGGTGTTGTCGAGGCAATCTCTCAGGCCAAGGAGCCCAGCGCCCAGCCCACTGTGAGCGCCGTCATCTCAGACAACCATGTCAATGGCGACGACGCCAGCCTGGTGTCCCAGCTCGCCGCACTGCATGGCAAGATCCCGGAGCGCTTCGGTGAGTTTGGCGGACAGTACGTACCCGAGTCGCTGATGGACTGTCTGTCCGAGCTCGAGGATGGCTTCAACAAGATCAAGGACGACCCGTCCTTCTGGGACGAATTCCGCTCATACTACCCGTACATGGGCCGGCCGGGCCAGCTCCATCTTGCCGAGCGGCTGACCAAGCACGCTGGCGGTGCCAACATCTGGCTCAAGAGGGAGGACCTCAACCATACCGGAAGTCACAAGATCAACAACGCCGTTGGTCAGATCCTGCTCGCGCGCAGGCTAGGCAAGACTAAGATCATCGCTGAGACCGGAGCGGGCCAGCACGGGGTCGCAACTGCCACCGTCTGCGCCAAGTTTGGCATGGAGTGCACAGTGTACATGGGTGCAGTAAGTCTCGTGGCCCCCGCCCCCCCCCCCACAAACCGACGCTGCCCTCGTACTAACCACGGCTGCAGGAGGACGTCAGAAGGCAAGCCCTGAACGTTTTCCGCATGAAACTTCTCGGCGCCAAGGTGGTCGCCGTCGAGGCGGGCAGCAAGACGCTCCGGGACGCCGTCAACGAAGCGATGCGGGCCTGGGTGGTTCAGCTGGAAGATACCCACTACATTATTGGCTCTGCGATCGGCCCACACCCCTTCCCGACGATAGTGAGGACCTTTCAGTCCGTCATCGGCAACGAGACCAAGCAGCAGATGCTGGAGAAGCGAGGCAAGCTGCCGGACGCCGTCGTGGCGTGCGTCGGCGGTGGAAGCAACGCCACTGGCATGTTCTACCCCTTCTCCAACGACCCGTCCGTCAAGCTCCTCGGGGTCGAGGCCGGTGGCGACGGGATTGACACCCCGCGCCACTCGGCGACGCTGGCGGCGGGCTCCAAGGGCGTGCTGCACGGCGTCAAAACATATGTGCTCCAAAACGAGCACGGGCAGATCCAGAACACGCACTCGGTTTCCGCCGGCCTCGACTACCCCGCCGTCGGGCCGGAGCTGGCCTCGTGGAAGGACAGCGAGCGCGCCAAGTTTGTTGCCGCCACAGACCAACAGGCATTCCTCGCCTTCAAGCTCATCAGCGAGCTTGAGGGCATCATACCTGCGCTGGAGTCGGCGCACGGTATCTACGGCGCCATCGAGCTGGCCAAGACCATGAAGCCTGGCGAGGATGTGGTCATTTGTCTGAGTGGCCGCGGCGACAAGGACGTACAGAGCGTGGCCGATGAGCTCCCTATCATAGGGCCTAAGATCGGCTGGGACCTGCGGTTCTAGAGGCGCAGCATGTGCGACGACCCGGCTCGGTGTTGCCGGGTTCGAAATGGCGCTTGAAGAGGCAATAGTGATTGGGCGAGTACTGTGGTCTGGGCTGGTGTACCCCTTCTGTAGATATACAATGAATGCCATCGGCCACGATGGTGCCAGGGCGTCAATAGAAAATACACACGGCATGTACCCAACGGGATACGGAACCGGGCATATGCGCTCGCAGAAACTTTGTACATTTTACATTTGTGTATGTGTGGGTCGCAGTGTCATGGCGCTTGCTCCTTCATGAAGCCTTCATCCTTGCCGATGACAAAGTCCTCGTCCCCATCTATCATCTGCTGAGTTTCGGCCATGAGCTGCTGCGTCTGCTGGGCAGGGGCACCAGCGGGTATCAAGCCCATAAGGATCGCCTCTTGCAGGGCCTCAGCTTCCAAGACACCGTCTGACTTTGGCGGGAGCCCCAGGGCCATCCTCTCCGCGGCGAACCTCAGCTTGACGGTCTCGCTCTGCATGATTCTCCACCTCAGCTTCCACCCCCACGGCCCCAGGTCCTTGATGCGCTGGCTCTTGTCGCCGAGCAGGTAGTTGTCGAGGCCTCCAGCCTTGTCGATGGTGCGCAGCACGCGCGTGGTGACCCTGGTCTGGACGAAGCAGCTCAGCGAGTCGCTCCACAGCCGCCGGCGCTGGACGTTGGGGCGCCACTTGCGAGGGGTCTTGACATCGTGCTTCTCGGAGACATTGTTGCCGAACTGGATGCGCGAGGAGCCGTAGAGGCCGCCATTGGACTGCTTGTAAACCCGGCGGGGTCCATATGGGTAGGGCGGGATCTCGGGGGACCTGGAGCTGGGCTTAGGGATGGGCACGGAGAGGCCGTGGCTGTCGCGAGGCACGCCTTGGTAAGGGTAGCCCGTGGCGAGGAGGGCGGAGGACGTGCCAAAGGCCCTCGCGGCGCGATGGCATGTGGATTGTGCAGGGCAAAAGTGTGAGGCTGCCGGTCGGGCCAGGACGGTCCGCAGGGGCAGTAAGGTCGAGGACATGGCTGAAGTGATGTGGCTTATCGTCATGTCGGTGCCATGGGTGTGCAACGCGGTCCTCGGCTCCTCGGCTCCACCACACAAGTGTTGGCGGTCGTGGGTTTGCGGTCGCAGTCGCGGGACTGGAGCTTGGGTCGTCACTCGCAGATGCGTCTTCACTGCAGTTGCTGTCTCCTGGGCCGTTGTCTGCTGAGGGCCCCGGCCAAGCAGGGTCGGTCGGTGGATGCGCGTAAGCCAAAATTTTGGGACTCGCCCCGAGCCCGTACGGCTGATTGTTATGTAAGCCACGAACAACAGACGCCCCAGCAAGTGCCTTGGTACCTAGGTACTTAAGTACCTACCCAGGTCCGTCAACAAGACAGTCTCGCCGGGCCCCGTGCTGACCTTTACTACAACCCTCTGCATGATGCTGCCGCCAGTCGAAGAGGCGGTGCTCCAGAGCAACCCAGGGTTCGCTGCCTTGTACGGCACTCTCACCACCGCGATACTCAATCCTGACGGCACAACCAGGGATGACAAGAGCCACATTGCAAGGCAGAGGGCCGCCGTTCGCGAGGTGCATTCCAACTAGACCCGTCTGTCAAGTCTTGTGTGTGCCCCAGTTGACCCTTGGCTACTGCTCAGGAACTTGACACCCGTCGTCTTGTGTCCGCAAAACACCATCTGCTAGCCCAGGCCGTCTCGGCAGCCGCGCCGGGGGCATCGGAGCTACCGGGGCCTCTTTTGGACCTGTTGTTGCTCCTGCCCCCGCTCATGACGGCCTTGGAGGAGCCCCCGCCCGACACCCTTCACCTGTTGCTGGCCAATCCTCCCTTCTCGTCCCTGCATGAGCACATCCAGGGCCTCGCCAGCCTCGTCTCCTCCAGCCTCGTCTCCTCAGCTGTCCAGATCTCTCGGGCAGCTTTCCCGGCCACAAATCCCTCATTCACCCACCGCCAGGTACCCTCACTTGCGCGCCGCATTGCCGAGCTGTCTTCCCGGCTCGACCGACAATCCGGCTCGTTGGCCGGCGCTCGTCTGGCTGCCACCAATTCCCTCGCTCAGCTCCTTCAGAAGCAGACGGAGGCTCTGCTTTTGCTCGTCCGCTCGCTCGAGGCCAAACATGGTGTTATCGCCCGGTCCCTCGAGCACCGAGCCACTGGTGTCTCACTTGAGGCTCAGCTCGGCCAGGCCAATGCTGAGGCGGCCTTGTGGAACGTCAGGAAAGATGTCTATAGTCCTGAGGTCCGCGAGGCCCTGGTGAATTATTCTGCCCACTTGCGGGATTGCCGTTTGAGGCTCGGGGAAGCGATGAGGACGGCCCAGGTTGAGCTTCAAGACTACGGTGTCGCTGTCGGTGGCCGTGCCGGCGATCTGAGCAAGGAGCGCGCTCTGAGGGAGGCTGCGAGGGCTTACAGGGATACACAGAGGCAGATAGAGGACGCCTACAATGACTTGAGCCGATTGCGTTGACACGGCCCTGTCCAGAGTGGATACGAAACGGGAGCAAACGGGAGCAAACGGGGCCACGGGAAATCACCGGGACCTTGGTATCGCTGCTCCTCCTCCCGAGGGTGCACGAGTGGCCGATGTAGACGACAATGGATCGCAGCCAGGATTGCCCACTGGGCTCAGGTATCTAGGATGGCATTGGGCCCTGGTATCTACCCTGACACAGCAGCTGGCCCGGTCCGGTGAGTGTCAGCAGCCTGCTACAGAGCCAGAGCACGTCACCCCGGGATACTCCAGACCACAAACCAAGAGAGCTGGAGGTGAAAGGGGGAGTGGACTGCACAAGGGGTGTTTCGACTTATGTTGGCATCCCCCCCCCCCCCCAATCCGTTGGCAACATAGCCATTGGGGTAAGTGTATACTTGTCCCGGGTAGGATCGGGGAAAATGGCGATGTTGTGTTGGTGAAATTATCGCCACGCGAGGGATTGACGCATGCCCTACACTCATCCAGTTCTCTCTAGAGTGGAAATATTCGGCAGCCCTCGTTTCTCAGGACTGACCTGGGAATGGCAGTGGGGGCCATGTACCGAATGACGTACTCACAGCACAGCCTCCCCGGGCAAAGACCTCCTTCATGCTCGACTTATCTGTATTCCCTTACAGTATCAGATTACAGGCAATGCGAAGCCATTCCTGAGCAGTTCAAGCTCAGGCACTACACTATGTGACGACGTGTGGTGCCTCTCAAACGTAGCTAATGTCGACGTTCGTGACTGGGATAGTAATCCAGGTTTTGCACAAATTGAGCTCAAATAGAGACAAATCACCGGTGATGGACCTTGGACCCTTGGGAATGTCTTGAATGCAGTAGTCAGTGCCGTCGACGGGCTTCTGCGTGGCGGGAGTCAACTGAGTAATGGTGTCCTCGATGCCAGGGTTGACGTTGCCGGTGGCGATGGTCGTGAATTCCTGATCGGCAGGAGAGTAGGTGCGTCCACAGTGGACTTCAGTCTTGATGGTCAGGGTGGGTGTCTAATCTTTTACCTTTCTCATGGCTTCAGTGCTCATCAAGTCGCGAGGAAGGAGGCTACGTAGGTATTTATTTAACCAAGGAATTACCACTCACTTGGCTGATAAATATCATAGAAAAAGTCACGCGCTTACTTCTAGAACGAGCATACCAGTAAGTGGTTTCGTTTCTAATACTCATACATACAAAACGTATGTCACCATATGAAGGCGCCATGTATATCCTCGGACGTATACGGAATAGAAGCGAAACCACACAAAACGTATGTAGGGCCTTCATACAGTGGCTGTCCTGTTAAAGGTTAGGAGGCTGTCTAGTAGAAAAGTATGATACCGTCTCCGTGTAGCTGGCACACAGGTTGAACATCGTAACGGCAGTGTAGACCGCTGCATAGTGTGCTCTCCAAGCCAACATTTGAAGCTTACGTGGCGCTCTACGTTGGCGGGAGTGCGAGCTGCGACGCAGGTGCCAATGCGTAATATGGGATTATCCCAAGGCTAATTCTGCGCAGAGAACCCGGGAAAGTGGTCATGCGCATGGGAATGAGGAGATTCCTAGAAAAGAGTGTGGGATACTGCGTAATACCGGTACGTCCTCCAATGAGAGCGACAGCAGCTCGGACGGGAAGCAGCCCGTCTTACTATTCACTTCCATCCTTCAACCCGCCCTGGATCCTATTTCAGTAGTATATGACCCATCCGCCGCGCACCACCCCTCGGCCCCCGAGCTCGAGAGCAGTGTGTCGCAGCACGAGTGTCGAAATCTCGCCAAGAGTGCTGCTGATTGACTACAAACATCTGCTCTCTGAAAACAGACGCGACAAACCAGAATCAGGGGTTGACCAAAGAACAAATCACATAGTACAGCATCTGTTGAGCTTTGACGATTTGACGATTCGTTGACCACCGCCTCGTATTGCTGCATCCAACGCTTTTGAGATCGTTTCCCACAACTGCGACCATGATCGACCAGGCCGGTTTCTACGAGTACCTTACCCAGTCACTCACCCCCCTCGCACACCGAGAAAGCAGCGGGGACGCACACGGTAGTGGTATTTCGACCTGGGTGTGTGATTTCATTTGTCGCATGGCAGCTGTGATGAACCCTCAGTCGGTCTCACAGGGCAATGCTCTAGAGCAACGCAGCACTTGGGATAATGTTACACACTAGAAGTCCAAGGAACAGGCCCTGCCAAGATAATGGAGCAACACTTGCTGAGCCCATGGCTGACACAAGGCTGTTGGGCAGTACAATACACCAGGCGCTACTGTAGCCGCGGCGCGATCAACTGCACTCTACGGCTCTGGTGTGACTGCTCAGACAAGCCCGGAGATCCGTCACGCCGAATGGGGGAGAAGGAGGCTGCCTGATGGGCCAACCCCTGACGAGGATACGCTCTTTCAAGCCTGTTCCATCTCGAAGGCCTTCCAGAGCCTGGCCATTTTACATTTCTACAGTGAAGGGCGAGTTTCCCAAAAGTAGCCTGAATATAGGCTGCGTGATTTTCCGTTGACACAGTTGGCAGGATTATCAAGTCGCTGGACGAGCCAGTTAGGAGCAACCTTGGGAAGGCCGGATACGATATTCTCCTGCAGAATGCCGTGACCAGAGGCGTGCCCGAGGACGTGGCCGCCCAGCTTCTAGACAGAGTGACCATCACTCAGCTCTTGTCCCATACCGCTGGCACAACGGCGTCCGGGTTCCCAGGTTACGCCCCCCAGAGCGACCATGTCACAACGTCGGCCGAGGTCCTCCAGGGCGGACTGGGCGACGGCAACAGCCCCCCCGTGTACGTGCACGGCATCCCTGGCCTGCAGCGCCAGTACTCTGGCGGGGGGTCGACAGTGCTGCAGGCCATGCTGGAAAACATTGCCCGCGAGCATGGGTTTCCATCATACGCGTTGTTGATGAAAGAAAAAGTCCTGGAGCCGCTTGGGATGGCACGGTCCTTCTATTGCGATGCCGCGCCGCTTCCACAGTCCGAAGCAAACTATGCGACGGCTTACCAGAACGGCGCGCGCGCTCTGGAGGACAGGCAGGACTTCCACGTATACCCAGAGCAGGGCGCAGCTGGGCTGTGGACGACGTCTCTGGATCTCGTAAAGGGCCTGTTGGGCGTGGCGCACACAGCCCTGGGGACGCCGTCGGCGGTGAAGTTGGACGGCAAGACATGGATCAAGCCGGGCATCGCACAGGAAATCTTCAAGAAACGCCCGGACCTGGCCCATCAAGATCAAGGAGACGCTTACTTCTGCGGGTTCCAGGTCGAGTTCCTGGGCGGCGAGGATAGGGTTCCCGGAGACGAGGAGCTTGTGCGCATCTCACACGCGGGGGGCAATGAGGGATACGTGTAAGTCCAGGCTAGGACGGCGCGCCCGGCCGAGAGGGCATTGCTGACCGCGCCGCAGATGCTGGCACGCGGCGTCGTTTCCCCTGCCCAGCACGGCCGAGGCTGGAGATGAGGTTGTGATCCATGCCATGTCGTGCATGACGAACTCAAACTACGGGGGTGAGATCTGCGGGCCCATGATCTGCGCCATCTCGGAGATGCTTGATAGCGCCTTGGGGGCAGGGCCTGCAGACGGGCCATTCAGTGACAATGCGCCGTTTGTGGCGCCAGACCCGAGGCCGTCGGCGCCGCGGGCGGGATGGGCGGCGTATGAGGGCAGGTGGAAGATCAACAACCGGGCTCAGACACTCGAGATCACAACGGGACCTGGGCCGTGTGCCCGAGTCGAGTTCAGCCACTTGAAGGGGGTGGTGCTGCCGCTGGTGGGCTGCGCGAGCAGGAAGAGCGGCGGCATGTTGAGGCTGCGGGTGAGCTCGCTCAACGCGACCGTGGACTTTGGCACGAAGGGGGGCGAGGGCGAGGTGTCGCTGAGCCTCTGCACAGGGGGGGCGAGGCTCGAGTGCAGCCGGTGACGGCTGCCTCCGCGAAGATGGGAAAGTGGTGGCCCCCTCGCCTTCGGCGTTTGACGGAGACTGCCCGCTGACGCCGAAGGACGAGGGGATAGGAAGAAAAATAAGAAGAAAAAAAATTACCAGACGGCAAGGCAAGGTTGAGGATAGTACCTAAGTACCTAGGTAGGTATGTAGTGCGTGCAGTTAGTGGGCACCCAGGTAGTCAGGTACCCAGGTACCCAGGTACCTAGGTACCGTTGCCCAGATCTCTGGATCCCCCTAGTGCCCAGCGGGGCGTGGCGGGCCCAGATCCTCGGCATCTCTTACATCAAGTTCGCCCACCAAGCCTGCAAGCCCATCAAGCCCATCATGCCCATCCATCAAACCCATCAAACCCATCTCGGCATTCGCAGCTAGCCTGCAGCAGCGGATCTTTGTGCTCGTGTCCACCACTCTCTGACCCTCTCCCGGACCCTCTCGACCCTCTCGACCCTCTATTGCGCACACAGCAGACCCTCCGCCTCCTTGATGACAAAACGGCACAGGCTCTAATAGAAAAGGTTTTCCCGTCACTGCGGCCTATCTTATCCTCGGCCTGGCAGGCTGGGACACCCGGTCCAGCACAACTCGTGCAAACCTGGAAGAGGTCCCACTGATGACGTTTTGACGAGATGCACTTGGCCTCGTCTTCCGCCGCTTGGGTCCTCGACTCCCAGCAATTCCCGTGACTCCTGCCCACGATACCGGAGTCCCCTTCAAACAATGGGGTTTGCACAAGAGAATTTTTATCCTCCCCTTCTTGCCCTCCCTTCGAGAACGTCATCGGCTTTGCTCGGTGACTGGCTGGGTCCTTGTCATGGCCATAGCGCCCGGTCGGAGGCATAGGACTGGCACGCTAGGCTGTCAGGATGGGCATATAAAGGACTTGTTCTCGAGCCATGTCCTGGAGGAGGAGGTGTCGTGCACTTGTAGACCATCCTCGTACTTTAGAAACAAAGATAACATCGCCCGATCCATCGCAAAAGGTCTCTCTCTGCCTTTCCCTCGCCAGCTTCTTCACACGAACCCGCCGCCATGCCTACCTTCACCGTGTTCAAGGGCTCCGAGGGTGGAGTCCACAAGACCACCACCACCAAGCCAGACCAGCTGTCCGGCGACCAGGTCCTGCTCAAGGTCACCGCCTCAGGTCTCTGTGGCACAGACCTGCACTACGTACCTCTCCCAGTCCCGGTCCCCGTGCCACCCACCAAGCAGCTCTGCTAACATCGTCTTTCCCGCGCAGAGACATGCAGATATGGTGCTGGGCCACGAAGGCGTCGGCGTGGTCGAGGCCCTCGGCCCCGACTGCAAGCTGCTGAAGAAGGGCGACCGCGTTGGCTGGGGCTACGAGCACGACTCCTGCGGCCACTGCAAGCAGTGCCTCACAGGGACCGAGCAGTACTGCAACGACAGGCAGATGTACGCAGCCGCCGACCTGGACCAGGGCTCTTTCGCATCCCATGCCGTTTGGCGCGAGGCCTTCCTGTTCAGGATCCCCGACGAGCTCAGCGACGAGGAGGCGGCACCCTTCCAGTGCGCCGGTGCGACAGTCTGGACCGCGCTCATGGCATATAACACCAGGCCCACCGAGACCGTCGGCATCATGGGCGTCGGAGGTCTGGGCCACATTGCCATCCAGTTTGCACGTGCCATGGGCGCCCGGGTTGTCGTGCTCTCGGGCAGCGACTCCAAGAAGGACGAGGCGACCAAGCTCGGCGCCCACGAGTTCATCGCCACCAAGGGCCAGAAGGAGCTCAAGGTGGCCCGGAAGCTGGACCGCCTCCTGGTCACCACCAGTGCCCAGCCGGACTGGAACCTCCTCATGCCCATCATGGCCGCCGGCTCCACCATCCACCCGTTGTCCGTCGCCTCGGGAGACTTCTCGATTCCCTACATGGCAATGCTTGCAAGCGGCATCACCGTCCAGGGCTCCGTCGTGGCCGCCAGGCAGATGCACAAGGACAGTAAGTCGACCCCTACCCGCGGGCAGAGGCTCAAGTTCGATGGTTATTTTGACCCAGGATGCTGACACGGTTTCTTCTTCTCCCTCCCCAAAAGTGCTCGAGTTTGCGGCGCTGCACAAGATCAAACCCGTCATCCAGACCTACCCCATGACCGAGGAGGGCATCACGGAGGCCATGGACAAGTTGAACCGTGGCGAGGTGCACTTCCGAGCGGTCATCGTGCCGCAGTAGATACCCACCCCTCTCGCACTTTCTCCGTTGCCTCCTTCAAGTCGAGTCCAGCAAGGCGTTTAGTGATTGTAGTATAGACGAACACATCAAATAGAGATCATTCTGCAAAGGCCTCGCGTTACCAGGACGTCGTCTCTCGAGCATCTCTCGAGCATCTCTCAAGCACGCGAGTCACAGGGCAGCCCGCACCAGCCATTGGACCGTCACCCAAGACGCGCATTCCCGTGCAAGGGTGGGAGGCTGCTCCTTCAATGAGGCGGCTGTTGGATGGCCGTGACTGTCCATTGACTCTCTGCGTCAAGGATGGGCCGGGGTTGCGGCACGCGGAACGCAGCCAGTCAGTGGGGATTCGAGACGTTTAGACCACAAAGGCCTGTTGACGTGTCGGACCATTGTGAAAGCCGCGCATTTGCTGTGGTTTCGTTTCATCTATGAATAGCCACACCTTTGGTGCTCGATTGTTGTGCCGGGGCCGGGGCGGCCACCCCAGCTGGCTACATGGAGAACTTCAAGCATGTTCTCGGTCGTCTAGGAGGCGAGGAGGGAGGAGGATATGTTGGTGGTTGAGAACCGGCCAGGATGTCAGGCCATTACAAGACCCCGGCATATCATGCGGTCACAGTCTGACACTCCAGATTTGCTCCCTGATGCAGCAGCTGTGGAATGCTGGAGGGCTCTGGGTCGCTGCGGCCAACTGTGGGATCTGTGTGCCGACGACCAATACGACAGGTGCGCATGCATGCATACGTAAGCGTCATCGAAGCTATCCTCTTTGTGGGCTAGGTAACCTATTCAAGGAGCAGTATTCACAGCCCCCGCCAATGGGCGCAACGGCCGACACCCCAGCATGCTCAGCTTCTGTCTAGTGCGAGTGCTCAGGCGGCCTCCCGCGCCGTCCCCACCACAGCCGCAGCCGCGATCATCTTCTCGACAACCGAGGGCCCGGGGCAAAGTTCCTGACCCCAGCCCAGACTCGGCTGGGAAGCTTGCACAGGCAGCCTGTTGTTCCCGAGCGAACACTAGCTGTTGTGCCGCACCAGCAGCGGCCATGAGATAAACCCAGACTCAAAGCAACATCTTCCGCAGGTCCGGTTGGCTAGCCGGTCAGCATCGGCGCTTTCGGGGGTGTCGAGTCATCCCACCGGCTGAGCAGGCTGGTGCCTCGGGGCCGAAGCCACAATAACCTTGGGCGATGCCGCCAATCCGACCCTGCCACCGCTGAGCACACCAAGGCCATCTTGTACTTGACTTTGCTGACTCGGTAGCTTGTGTGCCCGACAACAAGGTTTGCTGAGCCCACGGCATGATGTCACTGTCACTCCTACCGTCTCGTGAGAGAATCGGCTGGCCAAGACCTCGGTAATGCAATGTTAGGGCTTAGTAAACCAGGCTCGTGCACCACACCAGATTTGGGCTCAAAGTCGACATCGGGGCCATGCAGACGCCCGGGCGGACAGTATTAGGTGGTGGCGAGGCCGTCCTGGTCTCCTGGTCGCCTGTCGAGAACAGATGCCGGGTCTCAAAGGGCAGGACATCCCCACACAGCATGAATTAAATCTGGTTCTGCTGCAGGTCGAGGAAACTGCTTCGGTCGTTGTCCTGATCGAGCATGTGTCGCGCCGTCAAGCGGGCAACACCTGGTTCCTCTGACTAGGAGGCCAATTAGGGGCCGGCGAGGAAAAGGGAACAGGAGGGTTTGCAGCCAAGTATGGTCAGGAAAATGTGAGACCCTGGTGAATAAAAATAAAACCTCGTCGGTCCGTGGGTTGTCTCCGCCCCCGGGCGGGAGAGCAAGAGAGGTCCTCTACATAATGCGCCCACAACCCGACGCGTAAGCCCGTGGTAGCTCAACCGTCGTCCCAGAACTCTGGACCAGGCCGAACTTATTGTGGCCCACCGGGGCGGGATGCAGGCAGTTCCACCATGCCTGGCCGGGGTTGACCGCAGCTGCCACGATGTGTTGATCTGACAAGATCGACGGCGCACCACTTGGGGCAGAAGAACAGACCAATCGATAGGAGTTTGAAGATACTGTATTGCTGGCTCAAATAGGCGTCGGTTGCTGCGCGACTGCAAGGGAAACATAGGCTGACAAGTCCAGGGATATGGCTTTCCCTTTGCAGAGCATCAGTGTCCGCCAGGCGCGTGACATGGAGCTCTCCCGGTAAGAGGACGGGGTGTGGCCAAGACGTAGCGGGAGGGCGAGCGACGAAGCTATTGCCAAACCTCAGTTGGAGGGTCCCAATCGAGTATGCTGTCGACAACGATTAAACAAGGGGAGGGGAGAAGGGGGAGAAAAAAGGGGCTGAAACCCATGAGTTGCCAATCCCGGCAGGGAGGTGGAAGGGTGGTCTCTCGCCTTGTGGGGATCTGTCTCCGAAGGTCGAGTATGCATACATACTTAAGTATAGTACTGTTGTAGCTGTACTCCATAGCTGGCGAGGCTGGGTGGGCGCAGGGACAAGAGAGGCCCCCTGTCCAGCTGGATTGCCCGGATGGGCCCCGCTTTCAACCTCCGAGGGCTCGGAGATGGGCCCGCGGCTGTTCATGCTGAGTGCCGGCCCCGTTTCTTTCGCCCAGGCCTGCTTTGCAGCTTTGCAGCTTTGCAGCTTTGCAGCTTTGCAGCATGTGTCGTGGACCGGTGCAACGGCAGATGGCGGCATGGCATGCATGTTCGGATGGACTGACTCGAAGCAGGCGTCGGCCAGGCTGCCAGGACAGGAAGAGACGAAAAAGGCTGTGCCTGGCAGCCAGCCTGGCAGCCCACCACAATATAAACGGGACTGCAGTCTGCACAGGATTGTGTACTGAACGGGAGGAATTCCCGTCAGCCTTGGTGTGGGCACTGCGCACCTGCCCAGGTACCTAAGTACCTAGGTACCTAGGATATACGGGGTGCTGGCGTGTGCGTTATATCCGGGTGCTGGCCTTGGACGGCAGCGTCGTCGTCAGCCTGCCCGGTGAAACGGCAACAGGGAAAGGAAAAAAACGCTGCTGCTAGCCTGCTCCTCACCCACGCAGAGGACGACGAGACAGCACTGTCTGGCTTGCTGGCCTGCTACGTTCGAGCCTCGAGATCACATCTCATTATCGCGGCTTGCTTCCCTGGTTTCCGTGCTGTCCTAGCTCGCCATCATGAGAGATCCGGACGGACTGACAGACACGCAGATGGGCACAGCACAGTCCAGATGTCGGCAAGCCGAGCGGTCGAGCTGGTGGGGGCGCGGGCTGATTGGTCCGTCGGGCATCAAAGTGGGTGACCAAGGGTGCCGAGGACGCGCGTCCTCTCCCTGGACGGGGACCAGCTTCCCTGTCGCTTCTCGCACTGGGCCCTCCCGCCCTCCCGCCGTCTTCCCCTTCTCCCCTGCCCACCTGTCCAAACCCTCTCCAAAATCCCACACACACGCCCCCATCCCGCTGCGCCCACTTCCACCGGGACGCCCTGACTGACCATCCAGCCCATCCTGGCACGTCGGCAGCACAGGCACCCACTCAAAGATAACCCCCCAATCTCCCACTCCGTGCCCGTGCCCGTCCCTTCTCCTCCTCCTCCTCCTCCCACTCCTCCTCCTCCCGCGAATCTGTTTCACATCTGCTTCTACTCGCTTCTGGCACAGCATCAACCTCCATTGCTATCCAAATTGCATCCGCCGTCCTTCTCCCGTCACCACCACCAACCGAACCAGCCGATCAGCCTCCGTCGATAATCGCTGCGACACGCCGCCCGCATCCCACCCCGACTCGACTAAGCCGCGCCTGGGTTGCCGCATCGCCACTTGTTGTTGGGATAAGAAGACGAGCTCGTCTGCGCGGGTTGTCACCAGGGGTAAGGAAAGAGACACGAGCATGTCCACACAACATATCAAGTCACAGAGCCCAGCTGCCTTGCAGCCCGGGTCCGTCGATCCCCTCGTCGACTCCATGCTGGACCTGTCCGGCTACGACGACGCTGCCGCCCAGTACCACCCTCACTCTCAATCCCATTCGCCCTCGCTATCGCCTGCCGCCTCCAAGAACCTCACCCCTTTCGCCAGGCCGGTCCCGGCCACCGTCCAGTCCACACAGGGCTCGCTGCTGTCCGCCTCCTCCGCACAGCCTCTCACCGGCCCCAGCCACCAGTACGACCTCTACAAGCAGCAGACCGGCATCGTCCCCGGCGCCCTCGCCAACACCCTGCAGGTCAACCAGAACAACGTCCACATCGGCTCGGGCTACCAGCAGTTCGATATCGACGCTTACTTTGCTGCCAACATGAACGACGCCTTTGATTTCAACGCCTCCCCCGCCCAGGCCGCCATGGACATGGACTTTGACTCGCCCTCCGCCGCCGACCAGAGCCTGTTCTTTGGCGACTCCACAGTCAACCCAAACGCCATTGGCGGACACGAGGACCACGGCCTGCCCTCGCCCCCGGGGTTGCCCAGCCAGAGCAATGCCGGTCGTGTCTGGCCCGGCATGCACCAGCAGGCTGCTCTGGCCAAGGCCCAGGCCCAGCAGAGGCAGCAGCAGCAGATCATCGCACAGCAGCAGCAGCGCTCCAACCAGCAGCCCAGGCAGCACCGTCAAAAGGGCGGGGCCCAGCCCACCGATCCTATTGTCGAGCAGAAGATCACCCAGCTGCTGAACTCGATGCGCGCCAAGTCCTCGGGCCCCGACTCCCAGAACAGTGCACCCCTGATGAACCTGCCCCGCCCCAGGAAGGATGAGGACGACATGGATGAGGACGAAAGGTTACTGGCAAGTGAGGAGGGCAAGAAGCTGAGCAGCAAGGAGCGACGCCAGCTCCGCAACAAGGTCTCCGCCCGCGCCTTCAGGTCTAGGAGAAAGGGTAAGTCTGCCATCCTGTCACCTACACCGTCTCGACGGACTCGTGGCTAACCTGTTTTCTTTTTTCTTTTCTTTTTCAGAATACATCACCCAGCTTGAAGCCGAGATTGCCGGCAAAGTCACCGAGAACGGTGACTTGCGAGCTCAGAACCGGGCCTTGATCGACGAGAACAAGCGCCTTTCTGACCTGACTCGCATGCTTCTTTCCTCGCCTTCCTTCTCGGACTTTCTTGAGCGCCTCAGCACAAACCCGGCTCCTGCCTCCCAGCCGGCCCCACAGGTTGACCAGAGGCAAGACGCACGGCAGGCACCCAAGGACGTGAACCCTTATGCCGTCCACCAGCAGGCCCAGCGCCAACAGATTGGTCTTGCCATGCTCCCGGAGCAGGATATGGATTTTTCCATGATCGGGGTCGACGCCGAGGCCTACAACTACCAGCCTCAGGTCTACGCTGTCCTCGAGACCCCTGAACCGGTTCTTGATGCGTCTGTTCTTGCCGGCAAGTCTTCCAACTTTGTCGGCGAGGCTTTTGAATCCGAACACGACGAGAAGGTTGACATGCCGGTCATCGAGCGCCCAATGATGGCCGAGGAGAAGCCCAGCGCACCAAGGGCCCCCGAGTCGCCGCTTCCCGTGGATGACCAATTCGAAAACGACCCCGAGTTTGCCTTGTACCACGGCTCTTCGGCCGTAACCTGCTCAGAGGGCCGGACAGCTGCCGAGCTCGACTTGGGCGGCCTTGTACCACATGACCTTTTTGGCGGCGTGGAGTCCGGGAAGATGCTCGCCCGCTATGAGCTTATTGATGTCGACGAAGAGGAGGGGAATGCAGCTCGCGCTATGGCTCGGTTCCAGAGGCTGTCAGAAAGTGTGGAACACGTCTGCTCGAGGCTTGAAATGCTTACGGCCGACATATGATCTGAGCTCAGCCCCTTGGCCCCTCAGCTAATTGTGTCACATGACGGTTTCGACTCCCCAATCATAGCCACTCGCACTTTTTCTTCTTTTTTCTCTTTCTCTTTTCGCCTTTTACCATTTACTGTATATGGACGCGGTCACGATGGTCTACAAGTTTTATTCAATGGCGTTAGAGGATCTCGGAAGTACCGTTCCGCGGGTTATGGGCAAAAGGTTCGGTACCGGCTTGGGTTTGCTCATCGTCCATGTGTGTCTGAGCGAGTACCCGTGGCTGTTGTAGGGTGGGTATGGATACCTGCGCATTTCTGAATATATAAAGCTACAAGAACCGCGAGGACTTGCTTTCAGCGTGTTGAAGACACTGTGCAAAATGCCGGTCTGCCGCCAAAATGACATTATGAAATCAACACACCCTCCCCTCTGCGTCGAGTCCGCAAAGCGGTGGGCCTTCCCGCGACTTGGTGCTGCGCTGATTACCCGACTGAGGCCTACGTCGACTGTTCGACGACCGATCTATGAGTCCCGTATGCGCGCGAGCCTCTGTCTTGCTCTGACGCTCGGCGCTGGTTCCAGGGCTGCGCCGCTCATGTTCTTGCTGTAGAGCACCGTTGACGGCGCCAACTTGGGTGGGCTTGAAGGGAGTGCGTCATACGATGGCCGGGGTGCGTGGCATGGCCCATCCTCTTATGTGGGCAGCCGCTACCAGGCTTCCACATCATGCTCGCGGCGATACTTAGCCCGAGGGTCTGCCAGCCTGCCAGCCCACGACCCTGCCCCCCCTGTCTCAACCCCAGATTTTCTCCGCATGAACGCCTGCGCCCAAGTCTCGTCGCTTCCCACGGGCCGCGACGGACCGAGGACCAGGATGATAGATACGAGTATATAAATTGAAGATGAACCCAACACTTTGGTCGTGAGCCAAGTTGTGCCCTGGGATCACCGGGATCACCTACGAGGGCTGCCCGTTTCTTTCTCAATCCACGCAACGCCAAAGACCGCCCAGATTCTGGGAGCTTGACAAACAAGACGTGCCCGGCCTTGACACCCGCAATGGGTCTATCCTCGCTAATAATCCTGGCCAGCGCCGGGTCTGCTATGGCTCACACGAGCAATGTCGAGGTGCCCGCGAACCTACCCACGCGGGCTCTTGGTCCCGTGAGTGACCCACCAGCCCAGCCCAGCCCAGCCCAGCCCAGCCCAGCTCCGTACTCGCCTACAGTCCTCTTATCCGCCCCCCCCCCCCCCACACCCAGTCTTCGTCCATGGCTGGTACCATGGTGGTATGAACTCTGCGTAAGAGGATCACCAGGGACCATGACTCTGGGGCGCGCAAATGAGATATATGTGTCCTTACCAGGGCTCAGAGAGACCGGCTAACACGACACACAAGGATGCCATCGCGTATTCAGTTGAGCCAGTCTGGTTGAATTCGTTCACCAATAGCAGTCTCATGGCCACCCTGCTAAACGACCTCTCGGAGCTGACAGGCAAGGCCACACCTATTCGGATCGGAGGCACAACGAGTGACCAGACATACATCGTGGACAGCCTCCCCGGCAATGCGTCCTCGCTGGAAAGGAAGAAGCCCAGCACAGAATGGAATGTCACGGCAGCCTGGTTCTCAACCTTTGCGGATTATTTCCCAGAGGGCACCGAGGTGATCTATTGCCTCAACTTTGCGGACAACTCCAGCAACTGGGCCAACACCCAGGAACAAGCAGGCGCTGTGTGGGATGCGCTCGGGGAGAAGCTGGTAATGTTCGAGCTCGGTAACGAGATAGACCATTTTATCGACAAGGGCTGGAGGTCTGCGAGCTGGGGAATAGCCGAGTACATCACGCAGTTCAACAACCTCACTGCGAGCATAATGAACGCCTCGTGGTACGCCGAGGCGGGCGGTTCTGCACCCAAGTTCCAAGCGGCTGTGTTTGCCGACCCGCCCTGGGTCCCGGACCAGCAGGACGAGATTGACGATTTTGACATTGTCAACCTGACCCGGGGAGGGCTGGTCGACGAGGAGCACGAGGTCGTAGAGACCTATTCCGTTCACCTCTACCCGCAGTCGACCTGCGACACGGAACGCTGGCTGAGGATGCGCCTGGACCTGCTGAGCAACCATACCACGCTGTGGCTGAACGTATCACAGTTTGTGCCTCAAGTCGCTGCCGCGGATGCGGCCAACACGTCGCTCGTCTTTGGCGAGACCAATAGTGTCAGCTGCGGCGGGCGCAGCGGAATCAGCGATACTTTTGGAGCCGCGCTGTGGGCTGTGGACTACGTGCTCATGGCCGCCAGCATCGGTATGCCCAGGGTCTACTTCCACCTGGGCGCCCAGTCGCAGTACTCGGCGTTCACGCCCTGGTCATACGAGCTGAACAACGAGACGCTGTCGGGTGGGATCCGCGCCCCCTTCTACGGCCACTATTTTGTCGCAAAGGTGGTGGAGGGACTGGCGGAGGACGAGTCGTACGGCATAGCGGCATTGCCAGGTGCGAATTCTAGTGATCTCAGCGGCGTAAGTGACGAGCGACTCCCTCCTGTCGGCTGACCGACCACCTGCCGGCCGTGTCACTGGCTAACATGCGCATGCCCCCAGTATGCCGTCTACCGCGGCGAAGATCTAGCGAAGCTCGTGTTTCTCGATATGGGCGTCTGGAATGGCACAGAAGGCCTGTCGAACCCGTCCACGCTCAGCAGCACGGATGGGACCGACTTCAGCAACGGGACCAGGCCAAGTTATAACATGACGGTCACGTCCGCTTGGTCAGCCGGGCAGAATGTCAGCATCACCAGACTGCAGGCCCCCGGCACGAACGCCAAGAGCTCGGTGAGCGTGTCGGGCGTGACATTCGACCCTGCGACGGGGGCTCGAGTGGAAGGTGACGCCGGCGAGGAAGTCGTCCAAGTGGGCGAGGGAGGAGCGGTCAGCTTCAGGCTGACCACTGCGGAGGGTGTTCTCCTGCAGCTCGTGACCGACGCGGCGACGACTTCGCCGGGGAGTGGCGAGGCCTCAGGAGCATCTGCCACTGCCGCGGTGTGCGGCCCATGGATGCTCGTGGTCGTCGCCGTAGCGATGGCGTTGACTACATGAGCCGTCACCTATCTCGGGACATCTGCGCTGTACAATCTATAATGTCAGAATGTAGATAGGCACTTGAGTAGATATGTGGTACACCAATGACGGGCCCGGCATCCTGGATGCCCAAATCTTGCCGAGTGGTGTACGTGTAGACGAGATGAGATGCGACGAGATTAGATGAGACAGCTTGAGCCTCGGCCACAATGAGGCTCGTGGGGAGGCCCGGGCCTGCATTTGCCACACGAGATTGGTGCTTTCCATCAGTGGCCCAAATGTCCAACGTCGGGCTGATGCACACCGGCCCCGGCATGGGCATGCAATGGGCCTGGGGGCCTGGCACCTGGCAAGCAGACAAGTTGGCAAGTTGCAAGCCTGGGGGCCGGGGGGGGGGGCGCCGGAAGCATGGTTGACATGGCGCAGGGGACCTAAGACCCAGACAGTAATTGATCAGCACATGCTCGCTCGGCACGTGTGGCATGCAAACCTGTGCTGCCTGGGCGGAACGTGAATGGTGGACGTTGGGTTTTTGCCGCCGATTAGTCCTAGTTCCAGGGGTAATGAACGGCGCGGTGCGAGGGGTGGGGGCAGTTGGATTGAGGGCAGTCAGGGCAGTTAGGCGGTGGGCACGGATCACGCCCGGCTGGTGCTCCCCAATGGGTCTGCTACCTACCTTTCCCCATGAGGCCGACAGCTACACCACAGGCAGAGCCAGAGCTTACTGAAGTGTCAATTGATTGATGAAGCCTTGCAGAGCCAAGACCCTGGTCGTCGTCTTCCTGGCCCCACCCTGTCTGTGCTCGTGTGCGGCCGTCTCCTAGGTCTTCTGCGGTGCCCAAGATCAATACACCCCCGTCCTCGCCGCCGCCGCCGTCGCTGCCAAACAACGTCTCTGCGCACTCAATTGTCTTCTGCGATAGTCGCCTGCCCACCCGGCCATGCCGTTTGTTCGTCCTCAGACAGGACTCGAGGACACCCGAGACCCTTGTTCCTTTTCGGCCGCCCCCATCGCCCCCATCGCCGCCGCCGCCGCCGCCTGAAGTGCACACGCCTGTACAAGACACGCACCCAACGCCGTTCCCTGCGTGAGCCACGTCGATACCCTCACGGCGCTGCTCTTTGCCCTCGAGCCGGCACCACCTCCTTCCCCGGCCCCAGCCTCTGCCGCCCACCCTCACACTCACCCTCACTCATAGCAGAACTACCCACGCGTCTGGTCCGCCCAAGCAGGTCTCTTCCTCTGACCCGCGACCCTCGAGCCGCGAGCGGTCGTGGCCGCCTCGACCTGCACAGGCTCGCCCCGATAACCGCCCCCGTCCTCTCCAACTTGATGTGCTCCAGACCAAAATGCCCTGGCAACCTCTGCCTCGCATCGCTTTCGCCATCGCGACCTACCCCTTTGCCCCACAAGAACCCGAGGACCTGCCCCTCGAGATAGGCGACGAGCTCTACATCATAGAGGAGACCCCTGACGGCAGCTGGCTGCGTGGCTACCTGGTCGCCCAGCCCTCGCTGGTCGCCGGCCTGACCTCGGTCAAGGGGCAGACTCTCGAGGCCAGGATCTACAATGGCATCTTCCCCAGGAGCTGCGTCGAGATCCGCGAGGTCCTCGGCGAGGCGGACGACGCCGACCGTGGTCCCGACGCCGACAGCTTCGTGCAGCCAGGAGACCCGGGCGCTGACTCTGCCAAGAGCGGTGTCACCGGTGACGTGAGCAGGAGCCGCAGGAATGACGGCGAGCTCGCCCCGGCCCTCAGCCCCGTCAGTGATGGCGGCCGCCTCAAGAAGTGGACAAGGGACCTGCCCAACGGCACCAACGGCACATTGTCCGTCCCCGTGCAGAGGGATCCCGACGCTCCCCGCCCACAGGCTCCGGTGCCCATGCTGAAGATCGGCGACGAGACCCCCACGTCTATCTCGGAGCCCTTGATCGACGAGATCGCCTCCTGTCTCCGCGAGTGGCATTCGACAAACCTGCACGAGCTCTTGCTGTCGCGCCAGTATCCCAAGCTGGAGAACCTCGGCCAGCTCGTCACCGCGCTCTATTTTGCGCGCCAGCAGTTTCTCCACAACGTACTCACGGCCTGGGAGTACAGACGCCTGCGCGAGAGGACCGTCTGGGATCTGGTGCGCGTCAACAAGCTTTGCGGCGGCGAGGTCATTGTGCGCGACCCCAAGGAGAGGGGCCGGGTGCTGACCGCGGACGATTCTGTTGTCGAGGTGACAAAACTACAGTCCGTCATGAGCCTGCTCGACGAGCCGCCCCGCCCCGTGGTGGAGTCGACCTCCCTGCACCACCTGCTGGTTGACGTGCGGAGCGTCGCCGGCTCCCTCAACGAGTCGATGACTCTGGTGCTCCATCTCGTCAGCCGGCCTCTTGGCGGGCTGCCCGCCCAGCTCTCCGAGCCATACATCATCGAGATTCCTGCCGGTGGTGCCATGGGGAGCCTGGGTAAGAACGCACACGCCCGCATGCGGACGCTTTTCGCCGACCTGTCGCCCCAGGACACGGGGATGGCGCCCTCGATGGAGTCGGAGATTTACCTGGTGGTAAAAGTTCGCGTTGCAGAGCAAATCATGACTGGCAAGCCGAGCTCGAGGTCTGGCTCGTTCTCGAGAGAGGCAGGGTCGCTGCCGAAGGATGGCACGCGGCCCCCGCTTTCCAGCGGGAACAAGTCCGTGCGGAGGAGTCTGATGTGGGCGGGCAAGAGCACGAGGTCGGCCCTATCCAGGGGCTCGCCCATGGCCAAGGTCGACGAGAGGGCCGAGGAGAGGCCGTTCTCCGGGGGCGCGGAGAGCAGAGAAGGCTCGCAGCCCCCGGGGACCGCTAGCTCGAAAGCCTCGCACTCGTCCGGCGACGGGGCGCCAACCATCACAGTAGACCGACTCGCGGGTGTGGGATGTCTCCGACTCAATGCCATCATGAAGCAGGACGAGGAGGTTGAGCAGGTGCTCGAGATTTGGTCTCCATCGGCGAGATTCGTCTCGGACAAAGAAAACGGGGACGAGTGGGATCCTCTGATCAGGGAAATCGTCGACAGCAAGTCCGGACAGTACGAGAAGTCGAAGACCGCGGAGCGACTGCATCTACACCTAAAGGCCTTCAACCACCCCGATTCGGATGTCCTCATCAAGGCCACGCCCACGCTGCTGTCCGGCACCACAAAGACCAGAAAGATGGGGTTCTCTGGGGCTCCTACGAAGCCCAGGTCGGACATTTACATCACCCTCGACGAGGCGATCCTCTCCAAACAGACTCTGTTATCGCGATATGGCGGCAGTGCAAGCTCCTTGCCCGCCCATCTGCCAGGAAACAACATCCAGGTAACTCTGGAGGTGCGAAACTCCAGCGGTGAGCAGATTGGCGGGTGCATATATCCCTCGTCCAACTCTGACGGCCTCGACACTTGGAGGTCGCTTGCGGCAGAGCCAGGTGAGCCATGGAGGCAGACCCTACGCCTGGCGCTGAAAGATGAAGATGTCCCGGTGGCTCACCTGGTCATGTTTCTGGCCAACACACCCAATGCGCCTTTCGCCGTGGCCTACCTGCCTCTTTGGGATCAGCACGCCTTCATCAGGGACGGAGTTCACGGCTTGCTTCTGTACAAGCTTGACGAGTTCACCTCGTCGGCACAGCCAGGCCCGATCGGCAAGGGTGGCTACCTGTCGCTGCCGCCGACTGCGAAAGGTCACTCGGCGGACGTCACAGGACCGATCGCGATCCTGCGGCTGGAGTCTTATCTTTGTAGTACCCGATATTCTCAGGATCGTGTGGTTCTGGCCCTGCTGAAGTGGAGAGAACGGCCAAGGACCGAGATCCCCGGCCTGTTGAAAGAACTCATCTTTGTCGACGAGATTGAGATTGTCAAACTTCTTGATGACGTTCTCGACTCGCTCTTTGGCATTCTTGTCGAATGGGCGGGCAACGATGAATACGAGGACCTTGTCTTCAGTGCACTGGTTCGGGTACTGGACATCACGCACGACAGGCGCTTTAACATTGCACCCCTCGTTGACCAGTACGCGGAAACAAAGTTCAACTATCCGTTTGCGACGCCTTGCCTGGTCAGGTCGTTCACGAGGCTCCTCCAGAAACCCACCGAGCCCGAAACGGCAAGGAAGCTGAGGGCCACTTTCAAGGTCGTCCGCCACATCCTCAAGTTCATCACCCACGGCCGTGGCCAGCAAAAGGAGAAAGAAGCGGGAATTGGCATCACCAGCAACAACCCGGGTTTCACTCGGCACCTGCGCAGCATCTTCAAGGCTCTCGACTCGATGATGCGCAGCTCGGCGCCAGTGCTTGTTGGCAGTCAAACGCTAGCAGTGCAACACTTCCACACGTGGCTTCCGGAGCTCTCGGGGCTGCTGACAAACGAGGAGATATTGCACATAGCCATCGATTTCATGGACTCGTGCTCGCTGGTCAAGGGCAAGCTGGTGCTCTACAAGCTCGTCCTTATCATCAACTATGCCAGACTGGATATTTTTTCCCACCCCGAGCAAAGATCTGCTCTGAGCGCCAACACCGTCAGATGGATCTCGCCTCACTGGGGCCACACGGAAGAGGTGACAGATGTTTGGAAAGACCAAGTCCGTCTTTGCTGCTCGATCCTGGCCAGCCAGGTTGACCATCTTGGCCCAGAGATCCCAGATTACATACCAAAACTCATTGATTCATATCTTTGCATCCAGGCGGCGCCTCAGCGCCCCAAGGCTGGGCTGTCGCTGTTGTTCCCGACTGCGTACCCGTTCCCCTCGAAGCCCACAAAAGACAAGATGGTGGTCGAAGAAGCCCTCATCGAGCTGTCGGCCGTACTGTCTGCACTGGCGAGCTCACCCAGTGGGATGCAGCTCGAGCTGACCGACGATGATCTGAGCTTGGTGCTGGAGAACACGCTCCACGTCCACATGAGCATCTTGCAGGGTGAGGCCTTTCCGTCCGACTGGCTCAGCGTTCATATATACCACCACAAGTCGGCCATGCGGACCTTACAATACCTGTCCAGCATCTTGCTGGAGACCTTTCTGCCGCACCCAGACGAGGCGGAGTCTTTTAACACTGAACTGTGGAAGGTGTTCTTCACAACCCTGTTGAAGTTGGTCGGGAGTCCATCACTCGCTCTTGAGACGTTCCCTGAGCAGAAGAGGCGTGCCGTCTGGAAGATCGCGGGTGACGTCCGCGAGCATGGATCGGAGCTCTTAAGGAGGACGTGGGAGGCCATTGGTTGGGACACGAGCCCAGATGAGAAACAGCGATATGGCCTGAGTAGGATGGGCGGCTACCAAGTCCAATACGTGCCAACACTCGTCTCTCCGATTGTGGAGCTTTGCCTCAGTGTGCACGAAGGCCTTAGGAAGATGGCGGTTGAGGTCCTTCAGACGATGATCGTGAGCGAGTGGACACTGAGCGAGGATCTGTCCGTCATCCAGACTGAGATTATCGACAGCCTGGACTCATATTTCAAGACAAAGCCCCTCACGGAGAGCATACTTCAGAAACTGTTCGTAGGCGAGGTTCTGGATCGGTTTGAGCCCCTGGCTGAGGTCCCAGACGAGCCCCTCTACGCGGGGATCCGCGATCTCATGGCGACCGTGGACGAGTTCTTGGACCTGCTCGTTGCAGTACACAGTGGGGATGGCACTGGCGAGGCCTCAAACCTCATCAACCGTCTGCGCCTAATGGAGTTCCTGCGGGACATGCAAAAGGAGGAGATATTCGTACGCTACGTTCACCAGCTGGCAGAGCTTCAGGCTGGCGCGAGGAACTTTACAGAAGCCGGCCTGGCATTGCGCCTTCACGCCGATCTGTACGACTGGGATCCTGCCAAGCCCATACCCGCCCTTCACGACCCGGAATATCCTGCCCAGACGCAGTTCGAACGGAAAGAGCGCATCTACTTCGACATGATCAAATACTTTGAGGATGGGGAGGCATGGAGCAGCGCACTTGCGGCCTACAAGGAACTCGAGGCTCAGTACGAGTCGAACGTCTTCGACTTTGCCAAGCTGGCCAGGACGCAGCGGGCCGTCGCTACAATCTACGAGACGATTGCTAACAGCGACAAGCTTGTACCCAAGTACTACAAAGTGGTCCTCAGGGGCCTGGGATTCCCCGCGAGCGTGCGCGACAAGGAATACATCTATGAGGGTTGGCCGAACGAGCGTGCGTCTGGCTTTACTGATCGGATACAGGAGCAATACCCGTCGGCGCAGATTGTGACCAGCGAAAATATCGACGACGTAGAAGGGCAATTCCTGGTTATCTCGTCCGTCAGCCCCCATCGCGACCTCGCCCACCACGTTTTCCAGCGGGCCAGAGTCCCGCAGATCACCCGAGACTACATTATCTCTGCACACCCCCAGCGGTTCTCCATCTCCACGAAGAGAAGCACCAGCGGCGCTATTGAGGAGCACTTTGCTGAAAAGGTCGTCTATACGACTGCCGAATCGTTCCCCACCATACTGCGCCGCAGCGAGATCGTGGGCACCGAGGAGATCCGCCTCGGAGCAAAGGAAGCGGCACTGGAACGCATCGTGCGCAAGACGCAGGAGATGACAGCGGTCGAGAGGAAGATCATCGACGGTGACAAGAGCGACGAAGTTGCGCAGCTTCTTGTGGATGCCATCAGCATCAGCGTCAATCCAGACTCGGAAAACAGCGTTGTGTGCTACCGTCGACTGGTACCCGGGGCGCAGCCTACCGGCGAGACAGCCTCACAGGCCGATGACGCAGGAGACCTCGAGGCCCTGGAGAACCAGATGCTGGACCAGGCGCCCGAGTTGGACGCGCAGGAAAATGCCATCAAAATGGCCCTTATCGATCATGCGATCATGATCAAAAGATGCCTCGCCACGTTCGCGAAGAGCTCCAGTCAAATCCTCTTGAGCCACCACGGGGACTTGCAGAGATGTACGTCGCGCGACTTGGCGCAAACCGTGGGTATACCAGTATCTGAAGCATGCTAACACAATTCCAGGCTTCGAAGCCACCTTTGCGCCGGAAATTGAGGCGTTCACGCCCCCGCAACCGGCCCGAGACAACCCATTGCCCTCGCCGTCCATGGCGACGCCAACCACTCCAAAGCATCAACACCAGTTCAGCACGACGTCGGCCAATGGTACAGCGGAGGTTTCGACAGTGCAGCCCGTATCCCTGCGCCAGGGACGTGGCGCACGGTTGAGCTTCCTGGGTGGCCGCAAAAGGGAGCCGCCCCAACAGCCACGGACGCCTGTCAACGGCGAGCAGCCGGACAGGAGTGAGGCCGGGAGCAGCAGGAGCGAGGGGAAAGGCGCAGACAGCCACAGGAGGAGCTTCTTCCGTGCGCCTTCGCATGAAACCCAGCGACCTGGCGTGGGAATCTCGGGCAGTGTGACCAACGGCAGCCAGCAATCCAACGGGCCGCTTCCACGGTCAGGGACAGAGGCCAGCGATTGGGTGACGGACTCTGGCAGTCACGGGAGCTATGACACGCGCATACTCGCGAGTACGCCAGTAGATTCCCTCGACAAGGAACGGGAGCGGCTCGATGGTGCCGGGACGCCTAAACTAGGGGGGATGAAGAAGAGGCTCAGCCTGCTCAGGCTTGGCAAGAAAACGGGCCGAAGCAACGGAGCCATGGGCGCCCTTGACGAGGAGTGAGCTGGCAAGATAGCCTGTCTGTTCTGCGGCTGCCGGCGACTCCCTGGCGGAGATAATGAAGAATGCCGGCAGTCAAGTCTAGTCTTGACCCAGCTTCCCTTCCTTCCTCCTCCAAACACAACCTCTCTAGGTGGCTGGGGACTGTTATTGCTCATGGCTTGTCTAGCGGACTGCCTGTTCCTACTGCGCTCGACCAGACCATGTTACCAGGGCGCGAAATCTATTGGTTTCCGGGCGTTTCCCCCTCCCCATACCCCATCCCCCTTTCGATTTTTTTTTTTTTTTTGTTTTATTTTAACAGCTTAATATGATCGAGGACCGACTGGTCATGTCGGCGGGTTGGCTGGCATCTTGGTTGCGCAGTGTCGGGACCAGGCGTTCAGGAAAGCCAGGGGCGAAGCTGGATAGACAAATGAGTGTGAGGTATCTAATACCACGGACCCAGTGTAGGAGCTTCCAGTCGGGAGAGGGGTGGGGTGGGGTGGCATGGGTTGTATTATTTATTCTGTATATAATCGTTGTCGTCGAGTTCACCTAGATACCACTAACACGCGTTTTGCTTTCTCGTGCCGTCTCTAAGGCTTCCGCCTGTCAACCCAAGACGATAACCCCATTCCTGCACGCGTCGGCACCTGTGTCGTAGGTTCCGTAGAAAGGCAAGTAAGTGTTGGAGTTTTGGAGGTGCGGTTGCTGCAATATCTTGTCGCCGCCATCAAACGTACCCAGGTACCTACCAGGGTAGGTACTTGGGTAAGTAGGTACTCGCTTACCTGCTGACTCAGCCTGCTGTTGGCCCGCAGGGGCGAGTTGCAATGCAAACGCGGTCGGCTGGGGCACGTCAGCTCGCAGCCAAGGGACGACCCGTCTGCAAAGACGCCCTCTTGAGAGCAAAAGGCCAAAGGCGATATGACGACGCCCAAGTCCAATAGCAGACGACTCGACAAGGACGAGAAGAATGTCCTGCTCCACCTTCTCCAGGCTCCCAAGCTGACCAACTGCGACATTGCCCGGTAGGTTCTGTCCCGTCAGCGGCGGTCCTCCCGGCCGAGGAGGCTTCCGACGAGGAAGCATAAGCATCGCATCATCTCAGCCTCCGGCAATGCAGCTCGGCAGCATCCCTGCGTGACAAACAACTGCCCTGCATGTGGCCGCATGATTAGCTGACCGCCCACCAGGATATTGAAGGTCGACGAGCGCACAATCAGCCGGAGGAGGAAGCAACTCAGGACCCTCGGCCACCTGAGCCCCGAGAGGAACGTCAAGAACGCAGAGAAGCTCCATGAGTGGCAGCTCGAGGTCGGTCTCGCATTCCGCGCCGGGCCGCCGCCGTGCTCCGCCGTGCTCCGCCGTCCGTCGCCTGCTAACGTGCGCCGCTCCGCTCCAGAGAGTCATTGCCCTGCTCGACCAGAACCCGGACCTGCAGCTCAAGGACGTCAGGGACTTTTTGCAGACAGAGTACGATCTCACCGTTACCGTGTCCACCATCAGCCGCCAGCTCTCTAGGGCAAATCACGCCCGGGCGAGGAGACCAGGCTACAAGGGCAAACGGCCAGACCTGCAGCCCCCAGAACCACCCTTGCCCGCCCAGGGCCAGCCTGAATATGGCTTGTCTGATCCAGCAGTTCTCGAGCAGCCACGCCAGAATCAGCCTCCAGCAACAAGCAAGCTGCCACCCACGCTTACCGCGCAGCAGGAACGCCCTGCCATATTGAAGTGTCCCTACTTTGCAGCTTTTCCCCAGGAATATTCGAGCCACCCCTTCTGCCAGAATGCCTGGCCTACCGCGCGTGATGCAAAGTGCGTAGCCCCCCAGCAGTGGCTAGTCCCCATTCATTCCCTGTCTCCTCTTTTCTGACTGTCATTTGCCGGACAGGGATCACATAATAAAACAGCATTCCGCACCCAGATTCAGGTGCAACCGCTGCATGGGTCACTTTGATGACAACACCGCCCTGGTCTTGCACCACCGAGCCCCACAGCCTTGCCCGCTGCGCGAATGGGTCGTGCCCGAGGGTGTCGATGAAGATCAAAAGGACAAGCTACGGAGGGTAGGCCAGGTACGGACAGAACAAAGCCACTTCTGGCTGCCTGCCGAGACAGCCAGTGCTGATTCTAGTCCTTTTTTCTCTCTCTCTTTTTTTTCTCTTTTTCTTTCAACTCGCACTCACTCACACACACATACACAGGGCGACGAGATTGAGAGGTGGAAGAAGATGTTCCGCATAATCTTTCCAGGTCTCCAAGAGATGCCCGATCACATGTTTTATGATCCTGCATATTTCCCAGCTATTGACCCTGCCTTGGGGGCTCTTCCACAGGCAAGCCAGGTGGAAGGTGCGGCGGCAGTAGCAGCCGCTGAATAATGTCGAGCCCGCCAACAGCCCGCTGCCGGGCTGATATACCCAAGCCCGCCCCGTCGCCTGCCTGCGATCTAACAATATGCAACTCTATAAACGCCTACACTTATGCAAATCCAACCGTGTCCTGATGACAGTACGCCAAGGTGTGCCCCATGCGCCACTGCCGTCTGTAAACAATCAAGCCCAAACAGGAGAACAGGAAACAGGGGAATAGGGAACAGGGGAACAGGCTCCGGAGGGCTGCTGACACGCTCCGCCCGACCTTTTACCAGTACGGTCCATCGCTGCCAGAGCCCTCCGACGCGGGGTCCCAGTCCCGCTCTATGCGCCACGCGTCCTCGGCCCTGATGCCCATGAAGGCAATGTCGCATCCGCGGTGGCCGTACTTCTCCGAGAAGACGCGCCTGCCCGTCTCGATCATCATGTCCAGGCCTACCTGGAAGCCCTCGGGGTCCCTGTAGAAGGGCTCGCCCTCACCCCCACCCTGCCGGAGCTGCCACATGTTCCGCCACCAGCCGCCGTCTATGTACTTGACGGCCTGCATCCGGTAGGCTATGTCAACCAGCTGCTCGATGGTCTCTCCCTGCTCGTCCACCAGCCTCTTGCGCTCAATCTCCTTGGCGTCCGACTCGGACCTGTTCGACTCGTCGGGTCTCGGCGGATCCTTGGCTGTCTTGTCCTCGTCCTGTTGTGCTTCGGCAGGGCCCGGGTCACCGGCAAACGTTGCATGGATGCCGGGTATCCGGAAGAAGGCGGCTATATTGTCGAGCGTCGTCGAGGTGTCGATAATGATGCCGATCTGGGTCGAGCCTTGGAAGTAGCCTGCCCACTGGAGGCGGTCGTACCTAGGAGCAGCCCGGTCAGCCAGGCATCCCCACGACGTTGTACTGTGGCAAGGCAGAGGGTGGGGGGGCGGGGAATGCGGCCGGGAAAATGCCAGCTTACATGTCACAGTCGGTGGCGTAGAAGGGGATGTGTGTATCCCAACCGCCGACGTCCAAGATGGCATCCCGGTGGACCAGGGTCAGGTGGTCGTAGGCGAAGAAGTGGTGGGCCCACTTTGGGATGCCGGGCTGGTGAAGATAGCGCATGATGGCAACGGCCCTCGCGTAGAGCGAGTAGTTGGCGACGTGTTTGGAGCCGTCAGCGTGGGGGCGGAACTCCTTCTCGAATGAAAAGGCCACGACGTCCTGGTGGGACCAGAAGAAGTCTGACCAGTTGCGCTGGAGGGCGGTCCAGGCGTAGAAGTTCTGGAGCTGGGCAAAGGTGAAGAGGGTCGGGGTGACGATGACGTTGACGCCCAGCATGGCAAGCTGCGAGTGGTTCAGGTAGAAGGGGTTCTGGAGGGTGAGGAGGTTGTCGCGGTTGGAGTACATGACGCCGGTGTTCTCGACGACGTAGATGTCCTCGGGGGGCCATCCGGCGGTGATGTAGCTGGACACGCACTGGAGCAGCTGGGGCCAGTTGCGGGTGAAGCCGATGAGGAGGGGCGTGTCCTCGGGGACGTGGGGGTGAGGAGGGCGGTTGATGTCGGGCACGCTGGCGCGCAGCTGGCGGGCGACGTCGGCGGGGTTGTCCCGGGACAGCAAGGGGAAGGGGTCGGGGATGGGCTTGGCGGGCTGGCGCGGGGGCTTGGGCGGGGGCTTCTTCTTCATCTCGTAGTCATCGTTCCTCCAGGAGAAGAACTCGCGCTCGAGGGGGTCCATGGGCTTCTGGTGGGGGCCGGGCTCGTCCAGGAGGAAGGCGGCATCAGAGTCATGATGGGCGGCGGGGGGCCCGGTGGCACGAGGCTTGACGTCCTGCTTGGTGGGCAGCAGGATCTCGTAGCCGCCGTCGCTGATCCAGGTGATGATGGAGGGGAAGTCTGCGTGGGGGGCAGGGCGGTGGTGGTGGTGGGAGGTCAGGTAGAAGATGCTGAGCAGGAAGACGAGCAGCACGATGACGCCACGCAAACGGTAGAGGGCTGAGCGGCGGTAAGACATGGCACTCGGAGGCTGGAGAACAGCAGCACAAATGTTCCCATCACGCTCGCCGCGGGAGCTTGCGGGTGCACGGGTATAAAAATGAACAAGCAACCCGGGCCAGGGGCGCCTCAGCCTCAGGGAAAAGGTGGGCGGATGGATGATGACGATGTTCAGGAGCGCGGGGCGTGGGCACGGGCGGGTCAGGCGCTCGGGTGCGGGTATGCAGACAGGGCCCTGACAAGGGCTCGGGGCCGGCGAGGCAAGGGGGAAATGATGCTAATGAAACATGCAAAAGAGAGAGTCGCCGATGGCGGGGGTTGCTGAGAAAGGTGAAGAGGTGAAGAGGTGGGCGGTAGAAGACAGGAAAAGAAGACAGAGAAGACAGAGGCAGACAGAGCAGACAGACAGGAAGAGGGAGGGAGGGAGAGAGAGAGAAGAGAGCTGAGGTGGCAGGATGCTTCTCCGTAAAGTCGAAACAAATCGTGTCGTCTCGGGGCCATCGATTCATTCATTCGTTTGTTCGTTGTTCGTTTATTCATTTATTCGCCCACTACTGCCTCACCCACCACCACCACCCATCCCACCCGTCGGGATGCATGGCCCGACCAAGACCAGTGGCCAGGTCGATTGTCTGGTGCATCATTATACTCCGTAGAGCCTGCGAGTGCCGGTGGTTGATTGCAACCAGCAGCCTGGGCCAGGGACCGAGGGGCCGGGGACCTAGGGGCCGGGCCACGCTAGGGCCACGCCAGGGCCACGCTGACTTGGGGGTACCAGGTACCTCTTGTTTCAGACTAATAATAATGGCTGATACTATCCGCATGTAGCAGCAGCCCTCGCTACCAACGACCAGCAGTGGCGCATCCCCGTCCCCATGGTCTCGGCCTCGACGCCTGCCGCGTCTGCCCACCGCGTCCTGTCAGCCACCACCACCATGTCGTCGGCGCCGCCCTCGACCTGGAAGCTGTGCACGTGCATCGTCAGCTTCAGGTGCGAGAAGGCCCACGGCACACTCCCCAGCTCGCCGACGTATCTGATGCTGCCCCTCCCCCTCTCAAACAGCCCTGCCACAAGCTCCCGGGCCAGCTCCTGGCCTGTCCGCCCCCGTCCCCGGCCCGCCGCCGGCACCACCGTGCTCGGGAGCTCCCACAGCCCGGCAAGGAGCCCCGCGTCTGGCCGTCTCTGGATCAGGTAGCTCCCGTCACAGCCACGCCGCACCGCACACACCACCGTCTCCTCCTCGCGCACTGCCTTCTTCGCAGTCTTGACCGGGAACTTTCGCACATGCGCCATGCCCCCTGCGCCCCCCACGTCCCACTCCGAACAGATGCCGCAGGCATCCTCCATGTCCACCAGCCCGCCTGAACCGCGGGCCCCGTCCTCTTCTCTTATGCTTGCTATCGTCTTCCCTTCCTCGAATGCCCGGCACGTCAGGCTGATCGGACAGCCCACACACTGTGACCCGTGTCCCACCACATCAGTGAACATCCAATATAGAGATTCTCCGTCTCGTGATAACTTCACTTACATTGGGCTGTGGCGTGCAGACGGTACTGCCCAGCTCCATCAGGGCCTGGCCCCAGCGCCCGGGCACGTCACTGGCCTCGTCCACGTCCACGTCCACGTCCACGTCCACGTCGGAGCGCTCGAGCGTGGCGGCCTCGACGAGAGCCTGCGCGGCGGCCCACAGCAGGTCTGTGACTGCCTTGTCTGACTTGACGTCGCCGAGGATCCCCAGCTGCCGGCTCAGCACGCGCAGCACGTTGCCATCCACCATGCAGTCTGCATTTCCAAATGCGATGGCAGATATCGCCCCTGCGGTGTAGCGGCCCACCCCGGCCATCTCCTCCTCGAGCTCCTTGGCCGTCTGCGGCAGCAGCCCGCGCCGTGCCGGGTCCTGCACCACCTTCTTCGCTGCCTCGAGGATCCTCCTCGCCCGGCTGTAGTCTGTTGCCGTCGTGGGCATCATCAGTAGAGAACTACGAGTCTGGCCAGTTGCACTCACATCCGAGGCCCCGCCACGCCGCCATCACCTCGTCCTCCTCGGCCGCAGCCAGGTCCTCCACGGTCGGCCATTTCTTCATCCACCTCGTCCAGTAGTCCTTGACCACCGCCACCCTGGTCTGTTGGAGCATGATCTCCGAGATCCAGACCTCGTACGCACGCACCGAGAGCCCCGCCCGCGACTCTGCTCCAGGGCCCAGGAGCTCGGCATTGAATGCTTTCCGCCATGGCATAAGTCGGTCCTCGCTGACCCCGTCGTACCATTCCAGCAGCCTCGTTCGGCCCAGCCGCCCAGTCTCTCCAAAGAGCAGCAACGGCCTGTGATAGAGCGTTGAGTGCAGCCGCGGCGCCGGGCGCCGGGCGCTGCCAAAGTCGCAATCGTGAGCCTGAGGCTCCCCGGGGCCCGTAAAGAGTCGCTCAGCGAGGCCGCGCTTGGTCCTGGACCCCGTTGCGGCCCTTTTGACAGCCCTGGGTCGTTTACCAACGTGCGCGCGCGAGGCTGGTGGCGGTTGTTGTTCCGCTTCCGCAGGCGCGTGCCCTCTGTTGCTCAGGACGCGTCGTTTCAAAGATGCCCGTCCTGCTGGGATCGGTGCCCGGCGCGCCGAAACACGGTTCCCCCTCTCTTCATCTGAATCCAACTGGGATCGAATGCGATCGGCAGCAATTCTCGAGCTTTGTCGTCGACTGGCCATTGTGCAGACTCGGATGTAGTAGTGGTGATAATGTGTTAGGTAAGGAGGATATAGTACTAGTGACAATATATTAGGTAAGTACCTAGGTAGGTATTAAGATAAGAATTTTTAAGAAGTAATTATAAAGTAAAATTAATATATTTATTTTAAAATTAATAAAAATTTAATTTTTATTAAAGTTTTATTATAATATAATAATAATAATATATATATATTATTTTAAAATTATTAATTAATTAATTTTTAAAATAAATTAATAAGATTTTATATAAATAATTTTTATTTAATTTATTTAAATAATATAAATATATATTAAAATAATAAATATATATATATTAAAATAATATATATATATATATATTAAAATAAAAAATTATATTTTATATTTAAAATTAAAATTTATTATTTTAATTTTATAATTAATTAATTATTTATAATATATATAAAAGATTATATTTAAATATTAATTAAATAAAATAAAATTAAAATTATTTTTTAAAAAAATATATCTATTAAAATATATTTTTATAATAATAAAATTATTAATTATAAATTAAATTATTATAAAAAATACAAAGAATATATATTAAAATATTTAATATATTATAAATTATTTTATTTAAAAATAATTTATTTTATAAAGTTTTATAAAATAAAAACTTTTATTAATTAATATTTTATATTTTATATTTTTTATTATTTATTTAATTTTTAATTATTTAAAACTTTAATTTATATTATATTTATAAATAAAATTTTAATTTATTTATTATTATTTAATTTTATAAATATAATCTTTTATTAATTTATAATATAATTTAATATGTATATATAACTTTAAATAATAAAAATTTATAAAAGTTTATAATAAAATATAAATATTAATAATGTTAATTTTTATTAATAATTTTAAATTAATATATATATAAATATATATAATTTAAATTTAATTATTAATAGTATTTATAAATAAAATATTAAATATTTTATTAATATTAATATTTTTAATTATTTTAAAATTATTAAATTAAATATAAAACTAATTAATATATAAAATAATAAATATATTAATAATTATTATTATTTATTTAAATAATTAATTTATTTATATATTTTTAAAAAAGTTTATTTAAAATTATTTTATAAATTAATTAAAATATATAAAAATTAATAAATTATTAATTTTTAATTAATTAATAAAAGTTTATTTAAAATAAATAAAAGTAATTAATATTAATTATAATAATATTTATTATATATATAAATTTAAATATATTTTATATAAAAACTTTTAATAATTTATATTAGTAGACTTACTTTATATATAAGAAGTTATTAAAGTGGTGTGTATTTATATTGGTTAGAGGTCTACCTAGCTAGGTGGTGAAGCGCTTAGTTAGGTTGGCCAGACCTGCTGACTAAGCTTGGCCCATATATAGACACAGACCCACTAATCTTGCTTACAGTGCTTACAGTAGCTAATCTATTGCAGCCTACTATTCCCACACTGGCACCTTTTTAGTCTTCCAAAATCTTCCTTCCTTCCAGCCAATCAGAGAGCTCCATTTTGCTGATAAAGTAGTTTCTAACTAAATCACTCCAATTACTTAGAATTACCACCAAACATATAATTACAATTTAGTCAATTTAATCGCTTTAAAACGCTCTAAATTAACATTTTATAAATCACCTAAATCGCTTAAATTTAAATTGCTTTAATAGGTGAAATCGAGTCTAAATTACTAATTAACTAATCGCTTATCAGACCGTTACTAAGTGGCACCAACTGCCTACATTTAACCAGTTAATCCCTTCTAGCAGTCTTCTTCTATAATTAACACTCCAAATCAACGTTTTTTAAGTTACCTAGTTACCCAGTTATTTAATTACCAATCACTTACCAGACTATCTACTAGTTACTTACCAACTATAACTAATTATCAATCAATCCACAACTATTAGTCAGTCTAATTAGTCCTTCTAACAGTCTTCTTTTCTTCTCTTATAGCTTAACTAGTTAAAACACTCTAATATATATTAAATAGGCTTCCTCTAGTTAAAGTAGCATTCATTAAAATCTTTCAATCCCTTAGGCGGATTAACATACTAGATATACTTTAAGAAGCTACTACTAATATAGCTAATTATAGTTACACTACCACTAGGCATAGAATTATTCATTAATAGAAGTAGCTTAAATAAAGGGTTTAGTTTACTTAGTTAGTTAGGTAGTTTAAATAGCCTTTTAAACCTAAACCACTACATATTCCTCTTTATAAGTATTATTAATATATCTCTTTAACTTAATTTTTAACTTTAACTTCTTTTTATAATAAAGGCACTATTAGTATACATTTATAATAACTATAGATAACTTTATTTTTTAAAAAAAACTTAAGTTTATAATTAGTTATAATATTAAAGTACTTCTATTTCATTATTATAAAAGAAAAAGGAGTTAAGAATATAAAAGTTACTTACTTAATTAATTACTTAAATAATATAAGATAAGTAATCTACTAAATAAACTACTAAACACATTAGCTAATAGACAGCTAAAACGTCAATTTAAAGGTCTAATACATAGACTTAAATTATTAATTATAAGAAAGAGAGAAAGTTATTATAAAAGTTACAAGACTTACCTAATAAAGGGGTCCTACTTAATAGTTAAATTATACCTAAACTACCTAATAGGCTAGCAAATAAGGGTCTTAACATACTAGCTTAAAAGAAACATATAAGGTTATTACTTACAAGGTTATCACTTACTATAAAAGTCTAATTAACTTAAAAGTTAAATTATTTAATAAAGGGTTTAATAAATAATTATAATATATAATAAATATAATTATAACTATATAGTTTTAAATATCTTAAAAACTATATAATTATAATTTAATCTTCTATAATAAAGTTTTAAATATCCTAAAAACTTTATTATAATTAATTATAACACAAATATTACTACTTATAAAAAGAGTTTTAAATATCCTAAAGACTCTCCTCATAACAGCAATAGTAACCTACCTCTTTAAGGAGAGAAAGCCATCAAATATCCTAGTAGGCATCCTCTCAATAAATAGATTAAAAATAGTTACCTTACTATTAGAAGCTATCAACAACTAATCAGTATTAGTGGGCTTGCTTTATGTGTAAAAAGTTGTTAAAGTGGTGTGTATTTATATTAGTTAGAGGTCTGCCTAGCTAGGCAGTAAAACGCCTAATTAGGTTAGCTAAACCTACTAACTAAG